TGATGTTGTTGTGGTTACTGCTACTGTCTTTGTTGCTGTTACTCATACTGCTATTGTGATGGTTGTTGCGGTTGTTTTCGCTGCTGTTATTGTTGTGGTCCTATCTATACATGTATTTGTATATATAAATATACATATATATATATGCACTTCATAATAAATATATATATATATATATATATATATATATATATATTTATACACACCCCACACACACATCAGTCTGGATACACCTGTCATGCTAAAGCAACCATATATGCACACTGTTATTGCCACCACATGTTCGACAAGCATCGGCGATGGCAGTTCAGGAAGGCCTTAATGGCATGAGCATCGGGGTTCAGCGTGTTCGCATCGATCTTGACCTGCGCAAGAATACACATGCACAAGTCATGTAGAAGGCGTTGTGCTGCAACACGTGCGCTCCAAACTCACAGATACCACCACACCTGAGACCGCTCCACGTTCAGGTGCTTGACCTGCATGGTACAAGACATGATGAGCAAAGCCGTTCTTGATTCAACACCAAATCTTGCATGAATCACTCTCCCACCTTCACCTGCTTCCGAAATTCGCCAAGAGCATACGTCAGGATGTCAAGCATCGCCCACAGAGAGGTGCCAGGACCACCTTGGCAACTCAACTGCAACCAGGGCATTACACAATTTGCCCAAGCCATTCATCACAGAACTTAACCAAGACACCGCATTCAGCTTCAACCCCAGAGCTGTGGGAGTACGATTCTGCCCTTTCGAATCTGCAGGCCATTGAATAAGTGGAGCATCTTGCATGGCTCTGGATTGCAGCTCCGGGGAATCGAACCACTCCTTATCAGCGTACACAGACACTCACTGTATCATCAAACCAACTCTGATGAAATCAAAGCCACCTTCACGACATGCTGGAGCAGCTCATGCAGCAGCTGTGATGCAGCTGGCTCCTCGCCCTCATGCATAGCACCAGCTCCCATGCTGAACTGGTCCATGGCAGCACTGAAAAGGGAACTCCAAAAACAATGGAAAAGCAAAGCCAAAGGCTGCATGGCCAGCATAGACAAGTCACACAGCAGGATCGAACAAATGTGCATGCACCATGCATCCAGCACACTTGTGAGTGGATGGGCAACTGCTAGGGCCCAGGCGTCTCTGCAGAGGACGCAGCCAGCCATCAGAAGACATGTCATGTATACAATCTATACAATGATTCTGTCATGCAGCATGCACATGTCCTCTGTGCCCTGCTCTGCCTAAAACCGTTGTAACAGTGGTCTCACAAACGACAAGACCATAGTGCGAAACACCTACATATACATGCCTGCACATGGCTTGCACAGCGGCGACATGAAACTGCACATCACACCGTTCATGTGCAACCATGTATACAAATGATTACAGCAATATTCTCCCTCATAACAAGATGCATTTCGACAAATATAAACATGAAACACATTTCTGCCACAGATGTTTCCATGCATATGCCCTCATGCATCTTGATATTGTTAGATTATATAGGCGCAGACAGACGTGGACATGGTTATATTTCCCATTCATGCATATATACTATATATTTGAATGGAAGCACATGTTTTTGTATAAATATAATTCCAACATAATAGAGTTCAGAAAGAACTGGTTTCCACACTTTCGGGGAAACCAAGAACCATCGGAAACCTGAAACAGCTTGGAAGAATTGGGAAACCAGAAAAAGGAACTACAAACCCACCTACAGGTACATACATACATACTATACATGGCATGCATGCATGCCGACGCGCGCACACACACACACCGAAATGCGAAGCCGCAGACTCTCGCCCACCCGCACACACGCACCCACACCAAAATGCAGATGTGCATCTTCACATATCGCGATACAACTGCATGTCAGTATGAACCCAGAACAGAGGTTCCCTCCCCCTTTGCCCTCAGTCTACATTGGAAGGTACATAGAGCCCGTTTCGAATCCACGCTTGGGGCTTTTTCATGCGAGGGCCTCGACCTTGAGTTATTGGAGTTTTCGGGCTTACGGCATTTAGGTCATGCCTCTGTGCAAACTGAAACCTGTGGAACTTACGCCCCGAATCTTAAACAGCTAAGCGAAACATCCAACCGTAGATCCGCCAGCAAGCCGAAGTCGAGGTCCCAGCTTGGCACCACCAGCCGTGGAAAGCTCCCGCAAAGAGAAGGACAGGCTCTGGGCAGCGAGCGGCACGGAGAGAGTGAGACGGAGAGAGAGAGAAAGAGAGAGAGAGAGAGAGAGAGAGAGAGAGAGCGGGCTGGGGAGGGGGAAGGGCGGAGCGGGAGCCGCGGAGAGGGAGACAACCAAAGATGGAGAAGCGAGGAATGGCTTTTGAGAACTACCATCCACTACCACCGCCCGTGCTTCTGCAGGCAATGTGTTTCTTGTCTCAACACAATCGGTCCCTTGCAATTACAGTACTGAAGAGGCCACAGTCGTTTTCCAGGTTTTGCCACAAGATGTCCTTTGGGACAACCAAGGAATATCTGCAAAGGCATGGTGCTAAATCTGCTTGACTGACGTTCTTGTTACCATACACAACAAAATCACAAGTTTTGCTTTCGAAGCTCGTGTGGCCTTTGCAACGCCTGTAAGCCACGAGCCATGAGCTGGTAGGTCGAAGACACAGAAAAAAGCTATCGTGACATTCCATGAGGAAAGCCCAGAGGAAAGGACATCCAGGGGCTCTCGTGGACATTATCCTGGAAACAATGCAAAAGCAAACGTAGCACTAGGCCCCGGGTTGCACACATCGGTGGTCGGCTGCTGCGCCAGAGCGTCGGGAATCTGCCCGGCAAAGGACGCCAGTGGGATGCACAGGTGGGCCGCGGCGCAACAAACCCAAAGAGCCCATCTACTATACAAGTGAATAATAGGAACAACTTTGTTAACTGATCATAACCATAAATAACCAAAATCATGGTGCTAGTAATTATAATTTTCACCATAAATAATAGTGAGTCATGGTCATGGTAATAAAGACAATGAATAGAAACAGTAGTTGCGATTATACTCGTGATAACAGGCCTTACACCTATGTCAAGGAGCATTTCGAACAGCTGCAAACCAGCGGCTTCCATTCCACACAAGAGTCCTTGCTGTATGGTTTACGACTGTCGCTATGTAACTATGGCCCCTGCTTAGTAGATGACGTGGGCTCAATCGCTCACGAGCTGAAAAGCACAACCCCCTGTATGCTGAGCGGCGGGGGCTTTCTTTTTCCCCCGGCGTGGCTATTTCTATGTCATCTCTCGCCTTGGACTTGAGTCGAAAAGGCCCCATGAAGCCCTCAAGTGAACGACCTGTTTGTCTGAGATATGTCGTGTTAGTCTAGCGGGATATGACAAGCTTCAGACTAAGCCTGAACCCCGACACGCTCCCCCGACTTGTAAATCTACACTTAGCCTCAATGCTATTATTCACGGCAGACAACCCTTTGAAAACCCAACAACTCTGAACCGTCAAGCCATAATCCGGAACCCAAAACCCTACTACAAGCCCTATTCTATACCCCCCAAAACACCTATAGCCCGCAAGCCCTAAACACAACTCCCTCAAACCCTCAACCCTAGAAGACAACCCCAAGAAGTTTGAGATTTTTCCCCCCTCTAAATCCTAAACCCAAACCCCTCTAAATCCTGAACCCTAAACCCCCCTAAACGCTCAACACCCCAAACCCTTTAAACTTACCTTTGGATAGTAGGGAATGGAAGAATGGTAGTAGTAGTAATAATTGTACCCCATTCCTCCATTCCCTACTAACCAAAGGTAAGTACAAGCAGCAAAAGGAAGCTCGCAGCCTGCGGGAGGATGAAGAAGCTCTTGGGCTCTAAGACCTCGGCGTGCTCGACTGCTTCTGGGTTGGACAGGACTAGGGTTTAGGGTCTATAGGGTTTAGGAATATGGCTAATATCATAAAACACTACATAATAATAGTAATAATAATATGGCATCTGCCATACATCATGTATAAAGGACAAGATTACATAAGGACAGATAAGGGTGATTGTCAAAATTATGGTCCCTTTTCAGGAACCCTAAATAATATTTGGTCCATAGTTTTGACAACCACCCATATTATAAACTTATAGGGGCTGAGTGCCCTAGCTCAATCAAGGTGAACCTTTCGGCTATGGTAGGATTACACAGTATAAACCCCGAAAGGTTACCTACTCTGCTACTATGCAAAGACTTGTTCTGCCACCTTCTCAGCAAGGACGAAGAGATGGGATAGGGCATCGGTCTTACTATTCAAGGTCCACACAGTGTACTGCCAACAGCAGAACGTTCTGATCTGGTGACTTGCTGATCGCCCCTCGTGCAGGCATTGCCGGGCTTAGTGAGGATTGTCCCGTCCTGGTCTCCTTCTCTCCCTTGCTGGTCTCCCTTCCAGTGGCATGGTGCACCGGTAGGATGTGCCAGGGCGTAAACCACAGTCCCTTGCCTCTTAAAGATCCGACACCGGGAGGTAGCGTAGGAGAAACCCACACAGCAGGAATTGAAGGACGTCGGATGCGCCCGTGCTGGGTTTGAGAGCGTGAAGAATCCCAAAGCAGTTCCATTCATTTTCTCTGCCGCGATGCAAGAAAGGAAACGACGGACGTGCAGCTACGCCAGATGCTCTCGGGCATCTGGGCATCTGATGCGTTCGAGAGGGGCCGGTGCTCCACATGTAACTCCATTCTTGTCTGCACAGACTCCTTTCTTGCTGCCCTTTTGGCAAGCTTGACGGGACTGCTAACCCACGTCCGCATTCTGCCTCTCGCATTGCTGGGTCCAAACCACTAGGCTCGGGGCTGACTTTTGAAGACGATCTGTGCCTAAATATTGCTTGCCTTGAAGCTGAAGGTCGCAGCACATCTCGATAGAAGAATCATAACTCCGGTTAGACTCAAGAGAACTAGTTACCCCTAAACCCTGAACCCTAAACCGTTAGACGCAAGAGATAGCTAGGCGCCCCTTGCGAGCTGCATCGCGGCAGCCTATGAATCTTCGATGAGCCTTACAGCGGCTGCCTCCTCCGGCGTCAGGGCACGCTTCGTCAGCATGCGCTCCTGCAGCAATTTAAATTTAGACCGTGCCGTTATACAAGATAGAAATGCGAATCGAACCTCCTGGCATTTGGAGGACGACATGACTGTAAGAATTTACACGCTTTCATGTCCTGCTATCGAGAAGCCCTGTCATCTCTTCAGCTTCAGACCGGCGGGGCATTCAGAGAACGCTAACTCCTCCGATGTCCCAAAGACCTTACAGGCCCATCCCACACGAGCATCTAGAAACCAACGGCACCAACACAGAAGCAGACACCGGCTGCTCCAGCAGCCCTGTCTGCCGCAGCGACGCGACGACTGCCCTCTGTGCCGAGAGGTTGCAGGCTGAGCCCGGCATGACCTGACGATTGTGGTCTCGGAGCACTAGGGGAGTTCTTTGCCACTACCTCCACGGATGCACCTCTCAGGGCAAGTGCTGAGGGAAATAGCAGCAGCAGCAGCAGCAGGAGGAGGAGCAGGAGCAGGAGCAGGAGCAGGAGCAGGAGCAGGAGCAGGAGCAGGAGGAGGAGGCGGAGGAGGAGGAGGAGGAGTCGTAGTCGTAGTCGTAGTCGTAGTCGTAGTCGTAGTCGTAGTCGTAGTCGTCGTAGTAGTAGTAGTAGTAGCAGTAGCAGTAGCAGTAGTAGTAGTAGTAGTAGTAGTAGCAGTAGTAGTAGTAGTAGTAGTAGTAGTAGTAGTAGTAGTAGTAGTAGTAGTAGTAGTGCTCGATGAATATCTGTTGCCGAAGTAATCGGGCCTCAAACCAGATGGGGGGCAAAGCAAAAAACGACACGACACTTTGGCAAAAGAGCTGCATGTGCTGGCTGCTCTGGTGACGACATCGCCTAACGTCTTTGTGGAGGTCGTAGGTGCTTGACCCAAGCTTCGACGGGTTGTGCACGGAAGTCCAGCGCCCACAGAAACCGGAGGAGCTACACGCAAAGCTTCGGAAGCCCCATGCGACAATGTTATGCTGCAATAATTATGCATTCCGCAGATCACCCGCCTCTTCTTGTTGTATGATGCCGGCCACAGCCAGCAAAACTCGAAAAGGTGTTTTTGCATCCTCCTGGTCGAGTCAGGTAGTCATAATACAGCAGGAAACAGCACTGTGAATTTCACTGCAAAGCGATGCTATGGCATGGAATAGCTGCAGTTTTTCAGGGACCCGGACATGATCCTGGCCCTGGGCCATGTCTAGCAACAACTTCCCCGAAGTCCCGACATCCACCAGGTCTGCTTGCTTGGCCTGCCTGGCCTCGTGGAAACGCAGCGCAGCCCAGATTCCCAAAGCCTGGGAACATGCTGACAAGTCGTTTTAGTTTGCTGCACCGAAACAATGCTCTCAAGTTGCAACATGTTTGAGGGCTGAAGGCCTAAGAGGGACATCTTCTGTATGTTTTGACAAACCGCCTGTCAAACGAAGAACCCAACACGGCACCGACCAAACCTGCTCCATAAAGCAGTGGTTGTGCCTTCGCCCATCGCGGTGCAAGGTGCCCCGTGCGGCTGATGCAGGAGGATACGGCCTGGGGCCATCAACTTCGCTCGGTGGAGATGTACTTGTAGCTTGCAGTTTCCTAGCGGTATCCCATGAGAAGCTCATCGAAGCTCTGCTCTGGCAGTCTCCGTCTGTTGCTCGAAGTAGCTTCTACCTGAGGAGCCACCCTGGACTCTACATGAAGGATTGCTCCAACACCGTCTGCACAGAAGACTACAATGCAAACCTTTAACCCCTGTTGTAGCACCAGCCACTCCAGCCATGCCACACCAGAGTTCGGCAGCTGAAGGAAAAGAATCGGTGCACGCGGACCCACAGCACCTTTGAAATTATTGTTTAAGGTTCTTGTGTTGTCTGTTGAAGGGACTCGACTGGGATCCTAGACACACTCATAGACATATTCAAGAGACTAGACGGGGGCCTTTACGTTCGGGCTCTTTGGACGGAAACCCCAATTCAAAAGCAATGGGCCTTGATCCATCCGTCCACTCATAACTACAACACTGTGAAGATCGGTGAGGAACCCGTCTGGCGTTCGTGGCTGGAGCCAGGGCCTTGATAATTAGAATAGGGTTAAGGGGCCCATTTTACCATAACTAAAAGAAAGAACCCCAAAAACAGCTTTGGAAATTGCTAGCCCTATATTAGAGGCAATCTTTCGAGCGCCTGGGTGACGCAACACGGCTTTGGATGCATGGCGTGGCGCCCCAAAACAGAACTGTTACGAACTTCTTGGAACCCCTCCCGACCCTTGGAGATCACATTAGTTTCAAGTTGTGCAACTTGATATATATATATATATATAGAGAGAGGCACACAGTTGAGAGGGAATTGAGTTGCGGGTGCCGCTCCACCTGGTTCCGTTTTGAACATTGTCTGAAGATCCACATCTAACTTCAATCCGCAATTCGTTCCGAGGAGCTCGAGCCCGGTCGAAATCGTTCCTCCGGCGGCACGTCCTCTGACTCCTTTCGATTCGGTGCCTTGGGGCGAAACCTAGACTCTAGACTCTATGCATGAGCACGTGGTTACGCACGTGCATCTTGCAAACCAGCAGTACTTACTTGGAGCCGCCAGGCACCAATGAGCACCGCATATTGTACGCAGCAGGAACATACAACACTCGTCACCGTCGTGATTTCCCATCACCAGAAAATCACCAAATAAATGAGTATGAGACATGAACACTAACAACTCCCACAACAACCTTACCAACAATCAAGTTCACCCGCTAAATATGGCGCCGATCGCCAGAAACAATCTGCAGTACACATTCCGGCAACGATCTCCAAAACACAGCTGGTGCTGGACAATCTGCCTGGGCTGCTTCGTCGGGCGTGGTGTCGGCCTGATGTTTCACTCTCCTCGGGGCCCGAGGATTCGCACAGGAACTCTCCAAAGCTGCACAAACCCGGACAACTCCCGACCGAGAAAAAGAGATGTAGCATAGATACGTCAGGCTATGACACAGGACCCTGCTTCTGAAGATGGCCACTGCCGATGGCCACTGCCGATCCACCAAAAACCACCTCTGTGCCGCACGTAGTTGTGTTCTTGCCCTTGAAGGAAGCTTTCCGAAGTACTTGAAGGTTCATGTGTAGGCATAAGTAGGGTTATAAGTCCCCTCATATGGGTTATAAGTATAGTTACCCTACTTATAACTGCCCCTGAACCTCCAAGTCGGCCACGCCCAAGAATTCCAAACAGCACCGGGCCAAAAACACTACGATATGCAACCGACTCCTTAAAGCCAGAAGGGATGCCGCTCTCACAATCCCGAAGGGCCCATGTGCCCACATAGTATACACTTTGGCCTTAAAGTAGTGTCTCTCTCTCTCTCTCTCTCTCTCTCTCTCTCTCTCTCTCTCTCTCCCTATATATATGTATATATATATATATATATGTATATATATATATATATATATATGTATGTATATATATATAGGTACATTGGGGCCAAAGTACATACGATTTGGGCACATGGACCCTTAGGGAATGCGGCTAAGGCTCCAGAACTGCCGGCAGCGCAGGCGAAGGATGGCAGGGCCGAGGCTCTCTCGCCCTTGGCCTGCAAAAGCAGGCTGCACAGGGCTTCTACTTGGAGGTTCATGGTACTGTAGTTATAAGTAGGGTTTTAAGGGGTTTAGAGTTCCGTGAAGGGTTCTGTAGGGTCTAGGGTAGTTATAAGGGTATAAGTAGGATAACTATACTTGTAGCTCATATTCGGGGACTTATAACCGCACTTACAACCACCCCTGAACCTCCAAGTAGGGCGAGGAAGAAAGGTCTATAGGACCGTAAATATAGTGAACCCCAGCAAGTTGGAACATGGATGTAGAATGATTAATGCAGGGATCCTCTACACTTTACGTTAAGGGTATTATGGGCAATTATGTTCCGACTTTCTGGCTTCTACTATATGAGAGTTTCCGAATAGGGCACCCCCACATAGCACCCTAAACAGTAGGATCCTTATCAATTAGAACGACCACAATATGTGGTACCCCTAGTTTTCGGAAACTCCTGTATCAGCTTCGAATCTGGGGCTGAGGGTGTTGATGCTTTTTTTGTAGGGCTGCCGGGGCGTTGTATTTTTCCCTCCTACCTAGCAGGGCGTTGTATTGATTCTCAGGGTTTTTCTGCTTAGGTCTGATAGAGACGTGTCGCGGTCGAGCATCGATCTGGATAATACTGGTGAAGAAGTTTTTCAGCAGTAAATTCCACACCATGCATCCTAGAATCAGAAACCCCTCAACCGGCTGTGCTTGGACAGGAGCCCAAGTAGGAATCATGCGGCTTGCAAAAGCTCGCCTTCGCCTGAATGCCTTAAGCTTTAGCAGGCAGCGCCTGGGCATGCAAACGACAACAAGTTTTAAACTCTGAGCACTGGACGCTTCTCTCTGCAGCATGAACTTTGAACTCTAAGTTCTGAAACCTTAAACAGTGCCAGGCGATACTAGCCCCTCTTTAAGGTTATTATACCCCAAAAACCCCCCATTACGTACCATCAAGGGGTCCTGGTGGACCCCTGACGTCCCCTTTTCCCGGCCTCCCAGACGGCAGGCACGAGTCAGAACTGCAGAGACCAGGCGCCGGGACGCCTGGAGGCCCAGTTCCTCCATCCTCTTCGGGACGAGGCTTCATGCATCTGCTCAGATTGGGGGAGTTTAGGGTTAGGGTTCGGGACAAGGCTGTGTTAGGGGTTTGGGTTTTGTTGTTCCATGGGCTGTCTGCCCTCCACTGTTTAGAGAGAGCGAGAGAGCGAGAGAGAGGGAGAGAGAGAGAGAGAGAGAGAGAGAGAGAGAGAGAGAGAGAGAGCCATCATGTCTTGCCAACCGAATGACGGAAAACCGGCCCGATTCGAACATGCACCCGAGACCGGGCAAAAATAGTTAAACGGTCGTGCGGAAGCCAGGCGGAAGCCCCAAAATGCCGAAGCCCGTAATACAGGGGCCTCAACAACTAGAATAGGATTCAGGGGCCCGCCATACTCTAAATATGACAAGGACCCCCCCCAAAAAAGGTATAGACAAGCACTAAGGTCCCTTTAGTAAGAAAGAGAATTCTAAGGGCCAGAGCCCTCGACCCTATACCCTGAACCGAAAGCCCTGAAAGCCCAAAACCCCAAACCCAAAACCTTAACCCCTTGTCGCTGCTCGGCTCAAGCCCAGTAAAACCTTAGACCCTTTTTGCAACTGGCTTGCAACGCACGCCAGGACAGCTGATGCGTGCCGGAAACCCAAAACCCTAAACCCTTTAAAGCCCAAAACCTTCCAAAACCGCTTCACGATCTCGGCCGAGCGGCTTGGCGATAAAGCCCATGGCCTCCAACAGCTGCTAATGAGACACTTAGGGTTTAGGGTTGTCGGGTTTAGGGACGTTTAGAGTTTAGGGCAGGGCAAATGAGAATGCTGCAAATGAGATATCTCCGACAAGGCAAATGAGGAGACTAGAAGGGCCTCAATAATTACCAATACTATTTGGGGGTTCCTGAGTATAGTTATAGTATAACGGGCCCCACAACCCTATTTTGAGCCCCTATTAGCTGAGATCGATACATACGATGAACCATCCCCGCAGGCATTAAGCTGCGGTCACATGTCAGCTTCCCACATCCAGACATGACGCCTTCGGAGTATCTGTGGGATGTTCCACCGCTAGAAATCCAAAGGACCTTGGAAAATAGACCCCAAATTCACTAAACAACAACTGGGCCCGAAAACCGATGGCCTTTCGAGGGTGCATCTCGGAATTCAGCGCCAGATCTTCATAGGTGCGGCCGAAGATCGGAACCCCTTTCCTGTCCGTCACGCAATTCATGCCCTGGGGGTGTCAAGTGCGAGGGGCCATGTTGCAGCCTGGTCATGGTACAGCTACATGGGATTTGTGACTCCAGAAATGGGCAGGGAAGGAACTATACTGAACTTAGAACCCTCGCAAAATTCTGATTTTCGCTGCTTCTCAGGGATTATAATAACCAACAAGTAAAAACTACTTCTAAGTTTAAGTACCCCCAAGGGAATTCTGGTGGATCTCAAGGGCCAGGTTTGTGGCAGTTGTCGGACACGGGAATGCCGAGCGGCGTCTTGTTTTCGACCGCTTCAACCCCGCATCCAAGATCCAAACCTTAAACTCAACTCATGGAAGCCCTTGATGAAGGGGGTCCGTGTGACGTAAGTTCCACAATGAGGGCTGTGGGGTGTGCAGCTGATATCAAGGGCTCCATCTATTCGGGTCTTACGCTGTGCAAATCCTCACGCTTACCGAAGCCTCATGCAAACCCCAACTCCAAAGCCCCAACCCGAAAACCCTGAAGCCTCTAAAGCCTGAATCCTGAAATTTCTGAACTAAAAGCGTAAGACAAACTGAAGCCCGGAAGCCACCCCCCTAAAACCTTGACACGTAAGTGCCTTCTCATGAACTCCAGCAAGCCCAGCGCTTCGTTCAGCCGCCCCTCCTTCGACTACGGTTCAACTCGTCGTTTAAGCTAATTGAGTGCTATTATGATTCGTCTTCGTCTTATTGTTAAGTTATAATCACTAAGAGTATTATAGCTAGTCTTATACATGATTAAACTTTTCGGTTCAGCGATCACGAGCTTGCGGGAAGGCAGGGTCCCGGTAATGTTAATTATCTTTCCGCAACGCTTGCTCCTCTTCTTGCCAGCTTTCCTAGTTCGAAAGATAGTGTTGCGCCAGTGTCGGCTAGTACGAGGTTGTAATACTCGAACTGCTGAGCAGTAGTGGCGGCAGGCAACAGTAGGAGGAGGTGGAAATGGCAATATTAGCACTACTACTGCTGCAAAATTCTCCGACGGCGACGACGACTGCAACTTCGGCCAGCACAACGACTACCAACCGCAGCGGCAATGCTTTGTTGGTTATTTGCTTCACCAGCTTTCGGGATTCGGCTGCCCGGCGAGGGGTTGAATTTGCGGGATCTTTGGTGACGTGCCGGGCGCTTAGGGGGGTAAGAAGACCGAACACTATGTGTAACTTTTTCGTGCAAGTCCTTCAGAGACAAACGGATGAGGGCGTGGAAGGCGCCGCTGCTTGGCAGCATTAGGGACAACGGCAGAAGCTCGCCTGGAGGAGCAGAACGCAGTCTAAGCTTCTCAATTCACACAGCTTCACCGAACAACGGCATCTTCCTAACTCAAGACCCTCAGATTGCCCTCCGTATTTAAAAAACGTCATTACACCACATATATGTATTATACTGCTTCTACTGCCATCACCCTGGCCACCACCACCGCTACCACCACTACGACGACGATGACTTGGAAAGAATTGGAGTCATCGGCAGTGACAATCGCAAGGACGTCGCGACGACGACGAAGACAACAGCTGCCACCGAACGACCACTGACACTCTAACAATGGCTTCCGACATCGGGGAGGTCAATGATTCCGTAACGTTAGCCTGCCGACACGTGCAAACGAAGAATATGCGCCTGCATACATGCGTATACGTACATTCGTACGTGGTCTACATGCATACTGCAGACAGACAAACACAGACAGACGGACGGACGGTCACAGAAAAACTGAGAAACAGAGGTATGCCGCGCATGTGTATTTGTAGAAGTACGGGTAGGCTTGAATCAATATGATAAGCGCGTCAGTCGAGCAAGATTATGCTTAAGGTATAAACTGGCAGACGTTCGCACAGCACGCCTACGTTCGTACACCATGGTCGTACGTTTGATGACTTCTGCAGCGCAGACACACGAACACTGAAGCAAACAAAAGAGTTAAAGCTGAAAGCGCTCATGGGCCAAAACAATAGCCAACAGTTTCCGACAACATCCGTTCTTTCTGGGACATTGGCTCCTCACTCAACAATCAGCCTAGTTGCTGGGCTTCATCGCGAGGGGATCCGGCTCCAAGCGCAGGAGATGACACAACTCCTGCCAGGGCTGAAATATGTATACTATTTTGGGGTTACTTGTTATAGTTAGAGTATAATGGGCCCCCAAACCCTATTCTAATTATTAAGTGCTGCAATCAATCCTTCACGTTCTGCTTGCTTGCTGCCTAGCAGAACTTCTGCCCACGAACTTTATACCGGCGGGTTTGAATGGGCAACACACTACGTGCCAGGATCCGCGAACAGGCAAGCCTCGCCTGAGACTCCCGAAATCCTGGCAGGTTTTTTGGCACTGCTAACTATATCTAAGTGTATCTGTGTTCGACCAGGGACAAATGACCATAAACTTTGTGCTGCAGGCTTGCTTGCCTAAAACCCTACCCTAAACCCTAAACTATTGGAGCCCCTGCATCAATGCTAAAACCCTACATCTTCAGGGCCTCCCTGCCTCTTCAGCACCAGCCTCGCGAAGCCCTAGGCGGAGCGTCCGCAGCGCGCCCTCGAGCCGGGGACCGCCTCTCAGCGGCTCTTTGTAGCACTCGCACTCGACGCTGCAGGCGAGGTTTGGGGGTGAACCTAGATAGTTGGGCATGGTGGGCGGTTCTTACATGCTTGTGCATGCTTTTCATAGGGTGCATTTAGGCTATCTTTTTTTGCAAAGGGTTCATAAGATTTTCTGGATTTCCCACAGAGGGCCTCAGATTACAGGCTAGCGGGAAGGATTCAATAGGATTTTCGCTCGCATCACTCGGATACGGGGGGGCTCAGGTCATGCCTTTACCTCCGATGTAGAGGCGGGATTTACGGGATGAAAACTCCACAGCAACAAGAGGATTGATGTAGTTGGTGCAAACATTGAGCCTACAAGTTTGCCCTAACACAGCCGACTCTCTACGAGACCCACTCTAGCCATCACTCCTGTTTCCTGAATCCAAGTCTAAAGCTCACGCTTCGAGCCCACCAGTGGATGCACCCCACCGTGTAAATGCAATACGGTTACTACATGTATGAATTCGAAAGCTTTCGTCTTAGCATACAACCCGTGATGCAGGTTGCCAACGAACACTGGCCAGTTATAGCTGCTACATTAGCCGAGTAGGTCTGCTACTACTACTAGTTCTGTTGGTGTAGCTGCTGCTGCCGCTACTGGTGCTACTACGGCATTTGCTACGGTTAAACGCTCAGCGGTATTAGATGCTTAGAGCTTCGTGGTGTAGTCTTCTCGCAGGAGCTATATAATTGGCGTTTTGCAGTGTTGGAGAAGGGTTTATAGCAAAAGGGGGCAAGTTGGAACATGGGTTTGGGAGGATTGGTGCTAGGATCCCCTATACTTTACCTTAAAATCATGAGGATGTTGATGTTCCAACCTTCTGGCTTGTACTATAGAGCTTGCCTGAGGGCTCCGATCCGGTCATCGTTACGGCAGACTCCACTCCTGTGACAGGGCTTCGGCGTGATGTAGGAAGGTTTGATCAACAAGTTGGCAAGCCGGTATCAGGCAAAGAGTCGAGATGTGCGAAGCATTGGATTATGCAGGTCACGTATCTGCCACGTCATTGCTAAACTTTTGTAATATATATATATATATATATATAATATATATATATATATATATATATACCGACAGAGCAAATGACGTTCATCGTGACACTCACCGAAGCCTCTAAGGATATCTGGGCCCAGAAGTCACTCTTGCAAGATCCGCTGCTCCTTCGTAGATGGAGTAGGTGCGAGACTCCCGCTTCACGGATGGCCTCATAAAGCTGGACGGCGGACCACCCACTGCGCTTACTTGGTCTGTGAGTCTGCTCAGCCAGCACCACTCATCACGACAGCAGATCGGCGCGGTTGGTTGTAAACGCGCTCAATGTGCAAAGTCTATGCCGGCAGGTTCATGTTTGGAAAGGAGAGCCTGTCCTGGCATGCTTGCAAAAGGCCTGCACTCTTGCCACGGCGCGATGCCTGTCTCCCTTCCCGTAGCACGACGACAAGCTATAGTACTGAGACATATTTACTTGGTGTCATGGTCGCAACCTTCTATAGTATGGTCGCAATACGATTCATTGACCGAGGATTGAAAGTGCATAGAACGACAGGTGCAGGAAAGCAGCAAGCACTGGCCGTGTTCGGCCCGCCGCCGAGCCGACAGTCGCACGAAGTGGCAGCTCACCTTCTACTTGGCTGCATGGGGCTTCTACAGGGCGCCTACAGCGAGTACGTGTCAATTCTCGGGTTCCTGCCACGCGGAAACGCTTGTCTGGGGTCTCGAGTTCACTTTTGGCACATGCAGCAATGCAAGGACGCCACGACGAACCTCCCTTCCAAGGCCAGTCAACTGCAAAGACTGCAAAGAGATTTCGACAAGTTTGGGGGCTTATGACCGTAGGACAAGACCCTCGATCTCACGCCTATATCTGCCCGGCCTGCCCAAGTGTCCAGTGAAACACAGACCCACCCATCCCGCCGGCTTATGGCGGACCCTTTGGGCTCACACAGCCTCTCGGTCGGATCACTTTGCGAGTACAGGGCAAGGTGTTTGGGAATCCTCCGGGGTGATCCCTGAACCCCAACGCCCGAAACCCAACACCCCGAAGCATAAACCCCAACCCCTCCCTAATGCCTTTCATTCCCCTTAAAATCCTGGAAACGCCTGTGGGACAAGGCTTCCACGAACTGACTGCATGAAGCTAGAGGGACTCCGAAACCCGAAGCAGATCTAGCTGGATGATGTACGGCCCTTGCTTGCAACAGGGGTTCAGGTTCAAAACCAGGTTCCGGGCAACTGGGCTCTTTGGAATGTTACGGACATGATTCCCATGACCGTTCATGGTCTTGTTCCTGCTCAGCAGGTGTCCTGATTCCCACCTGCAGGGGCGGTGGTGGGAGTCAACTGTCCAAGCTGCCAGAAGGCTCGAAATCTCTTGAACCGTAAATTCTGCGATGTCCACCCAGTGCGAGACCTCTGCTTCTTGGGGCGTAGGCTCAACATCAGGCCGACCCGAAGAACAAAGCCAACCTCCACACCGAAGCCGTTGCCCAAAGAGCAACAACAAGCACCCTTTCTGCTACTGGACTCAAATTCTAGGCAGACCACGACCTTAAACCCTAAAACATTATTGTTACAAGTAACATTGCTATTATTACTATTATTATTAGTATTATTATTATTATTATTATTAAAAATAATACTATTAGTAGTATCATTATTACTAACCCTAAACCCAAGAAGCCCGAGCCCTTAACCCAGGTCCGCCTTCACCTTTGGCAAGAGGGCTCGGAACTGAGCCATGGCACCCATGCAGGAGACACCTCGAAGCTTCGAGCTTTCAAGATCTGAAATCTCAAAACTCAGGTCTGAGTTCTTGAGATATTAACTTTCGTTTCCGTTTCCTCCTACAAAAGACAAGTGGAGTTCGTTGAAGGATTAAAATCATTGCCTGACGTCTTGGAGCCGACTAGTAGCGACTGAAGGCTCAAGGTCCTCGGAGGTGCAAATTCCGACTTCGTCGCGGGAGACCTGCTCGCACACCAATTGTACTACCTTTTCCATGACAGGATTACGTATATGTCTATAAACCCCAAAAGGTTAAAGGTTACCTACTCATCTACTGTAGAAGTCTATACCGATGACAAGAGGGTTGTTAATGCTCACACTCGCACAAGGCAGGCAAGGCCCCGTACGATCCACATGACAAATGACTGCGAGCGCGGATGGGCATTGACAGCAAAGAGCCACCACGATTATCAATAGACCAAAGACGACAAGTTATCTGCATGCATATTGGCAATGGCCATACAGCTAAGCATAGGCTCCAAACCCATCTGAGAAGTCACTGATCCTCACGGCCCCACGGCAGGGACATTGCCCTGCTCAGCACTTTGGTGCAGGCTCCAAATCAACACATCCCTGGGCTAAACGCATCAAACCTCGATGACCTTACCAGGGCTGGCCAAGGGAATTGCCTGGTGGCCCAGGCGCTCCGCCGCCGCTTCCCAGGCGGCAATTTCCCGGTCTGACCGTGACGGCGCAAAGCCCAAAGGCGCAAGGAAAGGTGCCACCTCAGGGCACGCGCTGCTGATCTGCTTGAGCACCGCCAGCAAGTTCTCCTCAGCGGCCAAGCTGTCAGCATCCGCGTCAGAGTCGCTTACCTCCGAGGATCCCGATGGCTTTGGCTTCTCTTTCTCTTTGCGGGACCGGGAGTCGGCCTCGTCCAGTGCCAGAACCAGCACCTGGAGCTGCTGCTCGAGCTCCTGGCGCTCCTGGCGCTGCCGCTGGCGCTCGCGGAGGCGAGCCACCTCCAGGGAGCCACGGCTCGCTTGGAGGAGATCGCACTGGGCTTGCAAAGCCTCGCACTGCTTGGTAAGAGCTGTGACCTTCCACAAGAGGAGCGTCTTGTCCTCGTCGGTGGTCAACTTCCGCAGCTCCGTGTTCTCCTCCTTGAGCTGCCGCACCTCGGCCCGGAGAGATCTTAGCTCCTTATCCTGCATCTTGATGAGGTCCTTGAAATGCTCAGCCACATCCTCGGCCATGACGGCACTTGCAGGCGACCCCGTGCCTCGCTCCAGCCAGATGCGGACCATGGCTTCCTGCACCTGCTGGAAGCGCCTCGCCACCGCCGCCGAAAAGCCGATGGGATAGCGCCGCAGGCAGGCGGACCCTGAGCACGAGTCGACGTTGAGACACCGCAGAAACTCCTCTGCTGCACGCGTGAAGGCATCCACGCCGACACGGCTTGCCAAGATCTCCATAAGCCGGCCCTGGCTGACGAGCGCATCCTCCTGGGCAGGGATCTCCAGCAAGCACGTTCCCAGCACCAGAGCGGTGAGGCCGCGGACATGTGCCCCAGATGGAGCCGGCGAGGGTGTCGAGGGCTCCAGCAGGGCCACCAGCTCCGGCAGCGCTGGGGAGCGGGCCAGGACCTCTGCTGCTGAAGCGCAGCCGTTGCACCACTCGGCGACCAGCTGCAACATAGCACAAAGCGATGCGCTTGGGTCACCCAAAGCTGCGGGGGCTGCTTGGGATCGCCAGGCACGGGCTAAGCCCGCCAAAGGTCCAAGTGCTTCCGACAGCAAGCTGCCAGAAGCCTGCTCTGCGGAGGGCCTTGGCTCTGCAAGGGCTTTGCGCAGGGCACCGTCGCAGAGGAGGCAAGTCTCAAGCAAGCGCGCCGCAAACCACGTGTTGGCATCCGCCGGGCACCAGTCGAAGCCGGTGCTGCCGCCTGGCGCCTTTTGAGCGCTGCCTTCTGGGTTTCGGTCGGCTGCTCGGAGGAGGGAGAGCAGCTGGGAGCCTGCGGCCGTTGCGGGCTCCTGCTGAGAGCATTCCGCAGCTTCCATGCACGGCCGGAGCAGCACCTGGCGCACGTCAGCGCTGCTTAAAGCGGTCGTCAAGAGAACCTCGATGGATGCACGGAGCTCCAGCGAAGCCTGGACCTCCTCCGTTCCCAGCAAGATGGGCACAAGAAAATCCAGGGCCGACCTCTCGAAAACCTCTGTGGCAGTGAGCCTTGCGAGCATCTTCTCCTCGGCCGCCAGTGCCGCCGCCAGCACCTCCACGGCACGAAGCCTCAGTCGCCCCAGGCCAGGGCATCGCAAGACCTCCACACACACCATCTCCAGCAAACCGGCGGACTGAACCATGACCTTGGCGTTCCCTGCTGCCTCTGAACCGGCTTTAATGACGAACGCCGCCAACGTGTCCAGAAGCACCGTGGCAGCAGCATGAAGGCCACCGGTCCACGCACTGTCCTGGGCCTGCAGCGCCAGCGCACCGAAGACGCAGCGCAAGGTCCGGAGGAGCGTCGTGAGCTGCCCGGCCTCTCGCATGTACTTCTGCGCGACCGGGCCCTGGCCGACGAGTTGCTGCACGCAAACACAGGCGTTGCCGGCCAAGCTGAGAAGGACTGAAGCTGAGTCGTCGAGCGATCCTGAAGTACACTTCGCCCTCAAGGCCTGGGTTGCGATGGAAAGCAGGGATTCGGCTCCATCCTGGAATGTGATGATCATGCGCACGTCGCCATCTTCAGCAGTCACCAGCCGCAGGAAATTCACACACTCGCCGCAGAGCGCAGCCTCCGTGACATCGGCCCAGCTGGAGCCACCCGCTTCCTGCAAGATCTGCACCAGGGCTGCAATGGACTCTGGGTTGCTGGGGAGGTGGCGTCCCAGCACCTTGCTGGTCTGTGGATAGACACGGCGCAGCAGCGCCAAGCTTTCCGTGCGCGAGGCTGGGTCCGCAGCCTGCAGCAGCTTCAACATGGCCTTGCCGTTCTCTGTCCGGCGCACGATCTGCTCGTGGAAGGCGCACATCTCCTCAAAGGTGCCGGTGGAGTCCAAGGCCCGGCCCATGCCGTTCAGTGTCCTGGCGAGAGGCGCCGCCGCCAACTTTGCAGACTCCACGCGGCACAGGGCAGCGCAAACGACAGGAACGACCCGATCCTCCACGACCCAGCCGTGCAAAACGACGGCTGCCTGCCTTGTCGCCAAAACCTCCAAGCGACGATAGGCTTCGAGCAGAGCGGCCTCGTCCGTGGCAAGCTGGATTTCCTCTAAGACGTCGTCGAGGTCCACTCCTGCGTCCATCTGCTGAACTGCCCCCTCCACCTCCTTCTCCACGGTCCCAACGACATTTTCCACATTCTCCACAACGCCCTCGAAGGTCTCCCCAATGGAGTCGATGAGGGAGAAGAGGGCGGATGCCATGGCTTGGGCTAGGGCCGGCGCTTTGGGATCGCTTGGGTATGTTTCAGCATGCTAGCAGCTGCGTACAGCATCCGGGGGTTTGAGTGGAACGTGCCAGCTTTCGAGAAGCTCCAAGTTTCACGATTTGGCCAATTTCGGAGCCTAAACGGCTACGAGGAGGGCTTAGGGTTAGGAGTGTCTACAAAAGGCAAGGCTTTGAATGCCAAATCTGGGCAACACTTCCTTCGGTTCGCCAATGCTCCACTCGGCTGGGTCCGACACGCTGCATTGCAAGACCCTTTCAAAAAGACTGAGTGGCAAGGTGTCAGGTCGACCAGAAGGCGCACTTCACCCAGAATCCTTGGTGCTAGTGCATCCACTCTCTTCCTTCTTGGACATCCGCGGGCGTGTCTCATTCATCTGTCGCGCTTCCAATCAACAGGCACAAAACTGCTCCCGCCGCTACTCGGCTATTGCTCTACTATGACTTGTAACCATGCATGGAAATGCATGTCAATGAATCCGAGGAACTTCTGATGCTGCTACTATGATTGTGGCATAGGCTGGTAACGAAAAATCCCCTAGTCATGAATGACGGCAGTGCTGGTGGTGATGACGATGAGGATGACGATGATATCATGACACTGTCATGACTATGACGGTGAGGTTGATGATGGTGACGGCAGTACCATGGTCTTGAACTTGGCAGTCTAGCTTATGGTGAGGGTGAGGACCGCAGTGTGTAATTGTTGTAATTGTCTATACATTGTGCGTATGTTTCGTGACAGCGCCTCTAGCTGTCCAAGCTTCCGAGCATGCGACTGAGAAACCTGCTTGAAAAGGCACACAAACCCTGAACCCTAAACCCTAACCTACCCTAAGGCCCCAAAGTAGTTCCTTTTTGGAGCTCGTATATAGAATCCCATAATATATTCCCCAAAAGGAACTATTTTGGGGCCTATGGGTAAACCCCAAACAAGAAAAAGCTCGCCAGGCGGCTCGGATCCCAGGCTCTGAAGAGCTTTCGCCTCTCGTAAGACGGCAGCCAGGGCCTTTGCCGGAGGATGTTCGACTCGGGTGAACGGCTACAAAGGCCAAAGTCAGTCTGATATTATTGTTATTGTTACTATTATCACAATTATTGCTATTATTACTATTATTATTATTATTATTACTATTATTACTAATTATATGACCCACACAGAAACAACGAGAGAGCAACTCGAACACCGAGGCACCTGAATCTCCGAATCGGCTTCTCTGCTGAAGCCATCCAGGACCAACGGCACCAGTGGCTCAACGGATCTTGGCTGTTGCAATGGCATGGTATGGGGTCTGGGGTTTCGGCGCTCACAGCTCGTGTACGGTTTGGGAATTTCCGGTCTATGGCCTACATAGGACTCAGGATGAGACCAGGGCAAACATTTCGACGCTTTGGGAAAAATCAACTGGGTATGATGGGGGATCTACTGCACTTCAAGGCAATTAGCCTCTACAGAGCATGATCATGGATTTCAGCTCATGGAAGAGGTGTTACAAAGGGCATGGCACAAACCTCCGGACACCTAATATAGCGGATGAAAACTTAGATTACAGCGTGGGGCTGCATGACACTACATGCACCACAGGCTAATCACATACCGCTAGCCGGAGAAGATGGAGCATGATGATGCACACGAGCAATCGCAACATGCTTGGCTTTAGCCCTGGCATGGCAAGACCTAACACTTCTTGTTCAGGTGCTTAACCCTTGCATGCTGTCTACACCCTACATGTGCTGGGGTATATGCTGAGTTCATTGCTCACCTAAACATCATCAAGATTCTACAGCAAAGCACTGCTGCATGTAGAACCCATCAACTAGTCCGGAGCCGGGCCAGATTCGACGCTCACACTCAGCCGTGCCAGATTCGAGGTGTTCGGATGCCCAGACTTTCTTGCACCCAAAATACAAAAGTGTGCATGACTTTGGGGGAATGTTGCAGGTACATAGTAGGATCTGAGCTTGGGAAGGGAGGGCAGATCAGATAAACCGGGGGAATGGTTGAGCGCAAAGGCTGACAGAGTGCAATTCTGAATCTTGCAGCAGAGTCGATCTCACACCCGCTGTCTCGGTTTAGGCAAAGCTCTGTGCTCGCTGGACGACCTCCTCACGGTCCTTCGGAGAGCCTTCAGGCTTTACTTTGGATCGAGATGCGCAAGATCTGGCAACCGCAACGATCTGCAGCTGTAGAATCTCTGAGATGCAGCTCCGACGGATGTTATGGCTTTGGTTTCGGGATTCGGTGTATATAGTTTGAGTTTCGCAAACATGTGCCACGCACTCTGCCAAATCCTGACGAAGGGGTGTGCGAAGTGGTGTTTGAGGTGAACTTCTACTGACGTAACCGAAAGGGACCGCAGTGTAATTATGTATAGGTCAGGGATGATGACAAGCCTACGACCTCTACAGAACATCGGAGCACCCAAGCCCTGAAGCCAAACACCATCGACCTCAAACAACCTGATGCCAACATACATACAAACACACACACACACACACAACCACACACACAAAAGTCCTCAACCCGAAATCAGGTTGTTGCAAGTTGAAGCTGAGCCCGCATAGCTGTCACAGCTTAGAGCTCACGTTCAAACGTGCAGTTGCGAACAAGGTTCGATCGTAGCCGTGACCGCTTCGGAGGATCAGCCGTCCGTGCTTCGAGGAGGCAACGGTTCCGGCGCATCCTTAGCTCGGAGATTGAACCGGTTTGCAAGATCAGAGTTTAGGCTTGGGGCTTGCGGATTTGTGATCGTGTAAGGGTTCAGTTTGTATTTAGAACCTCAGGGCACAGTCTGCGGGGCTAAGTTTGCCACTGTTGATGAGATAGCCCCAACAGTGGATCAGCGAGACTAGCCGAACATCGATGTGCGATTCAATGAGGAGATGACGCACAGTTGCTTAAAGCTCACAGACCGCGCAGACACTCAAAGGAGTTCACGTCAGCAGAACACATCTCCTGCAAAAAATGACTACAGACTTCTCCCATAGGGCCCTACCCGGCAAACAAACTCATGCAAGCCCTGCTCTGAAAAATCAAACGGCCGACGTACGATACGTACGTATATTCATCTGATTCTTCTGCCACTCACGAATCATAGGGCTCCAAATATGTGCATAATTCATCTTAACTCCGAAAAAACGGCCGTTTAGAGATCTGCAGTCTACACAGAATACCATGGAATCATTGGAGGTTCGGGGGACGAGATAGATGCAACCCTGCTGCTCAGGCTCCACTCAACATGCCCGAAGGTCTGGCCACGATCTGGCACAGGATGCGCCTGCGCAAACGGGCAGGAAATGAGAGCTAGAATCCGAGAGCGCGTCCTTCACTTGACCGAACCTGGTTCTCGAACACCCATTCACTGCGTCACACACTTCACCCTTGTCAGCCGCAAAACCTGCATGAATCTGAAATGCGGACCTCCAGGACCGGAATCTCCCTCACCCGCCACCTTTTGTGCGGGCTACTTATAGGGTTTATAACAGGGCTGGGGCATCCGCATTCTCGGAAGGAATGTCTCGACAGCGCTTTCAGCTTTGGCTTCTCGTGGTGGGAGATGGCGTGGCTTTGCTGGTAAGATGTTGATCTTTCCAAATCGTCTCCGAATGCGGGATCCAATGGACCTGCATACCTGCGTATATTGTTTGTGTGAATGCGTGTATGCGTATGTGGATGTGTATGTACGTACGTATGTAGGTACGTACATATGCATATACACTTCTATTTGGACATATATATATATATATATATATATATACGTGCATATATATATATATATACACATGCGTATATATGTACAATATAATGTATAGATATTTGTACATATGTATGTTATGTGTGTGTATACTTATATATACATATATCTATACATGTGTATATATATACATATACGTATATCTATTTATATTCCCATGTGCATTACTGAGTCATTACTGTACATGACAAGAAAACCCTGTTGATTCCAGATTAAGCACTTCTGCAGATCGCCAGCCAAGCAGCAGAACAGACTCGGCCTCGGCCTGCATGAAAGGATTCGGCAAACGACGGGGGTTCTCGTTAAGGAATATATAGAGTTACCAGAATAAGGAAGCCATATTATTTACATGTATTTACCATGGATCTCTATTCTGTTAACTTAAACTAACTATATTGTTAAAGTCTTAAACAAGAACCCAGACGAGCATAAGCAGATCGGCTTGTGATGGAAAAGGTGACTCGGACTCCGACACCAAGGCGAGGATCAATGTGGACCAACCCATACGTAGTCAACTCTGAATTTTTGACACTCACACTCGGATAAGCCTGGCAAGGTCTGCAGTTGTAGGTACGACAAGTTCGTTTACTGCTCAATGAGTAGTACACTCATTGAGCACGCTCTGAATTAGAACCCCTCTCCAGGAATGCTGCAACGGACGTGCTGCAAGAAAGGCCTCCCATTCCGGCTTCTCTTCGTCCTCCTCGCGCAGCTGACGCCAAGACGCCGTGAAACCCGCTTGAAGCCACAGAAACCTAGAAACATAATTCGGACGAGACGGTCCCGGGTTTTTATTCTAGCGGATATGGCCCATGGCCGCATTACAATGATACACTGATACATAAGGCTGCAATGCCGAGTCTATGCACAAAAAGAAGCGACACACCTCCAAACCCTAAACCCTCTACATCCTATCCCGATTGAAGGGAACACGCCTTTGCCGGCAAAGACCCAACAGCCGGAAGGCCCCGTGATCCAAAGCAACCAGACCTCACTCAAAGCTTAAACACGACGCCAGTTCCGGCTGGATTGTGCGGGGTAACGATTCGCGCCAGAAATAAATAGTTTTGGTTTGGGTCTACTCCTGTTCTCACTGCAGAGCGGGTCGACAACCCCGCACGACTAAACCAAATGGGGGCTTATAGAAAATTTGGGGTGGCGAGCTCAAAAGATGATCGCTGATTACGGGAGCTTGCCGGGCGAAGAAGTCCTCATGGCCCGCTGCAAAAACTTCGTGAGCAGAAGTCAGGCAGCTTAAGCTGGCGGGAGTACCATGGTCGATATTGGGGGGCGAGAGGCAGTACCCGCGCACGCCTTCGTGATCTACTCACGAATAGGAATCTGCTCAAGCACCACAGCAAAGATAGACACACCATCCGAGCTTTGCTACGGCGTCGTGCTAAAGCATGATGCCGTGACGTGGCGATTCTGCAACTGCAACTGGGTGTGCTACAGCCCCCCGACAGTGCCGACATGTCACGAACGTGATGATCAAGTCGCCCGGTGGCGCACCATGCAAGATACTGGACCTTTCCGGCCGGAGCTCAAAACCCTATAGCCAAAGCCACAAGAAGAACACGAATCCTGAAACGGAAAACTAAATAAACTCAGGGAGGCTTGTCCCCACTCGGATAAGACACCGGTCTCCTTGATCGGCCAGTCACAATCGATGTCCAAGCCTTGGCTATGGCTTCTCGATGGTTCTCTCTGGTATTGGGCCCCGGTCTCTCTCCGCATTGTTCTCGACCTCTCGAACGTGTGCAGGGACTTGCGTGAATATGAGTTCAAGGCCCTCGTGTTTACCTTCTCTTGTAGTTGCAGGTCTTACGGGCTAGATATCACGATGTAGCCAAAGCCGTAATTGTGCAGCGACGAGTCACATCAGACGAGCGGCGTGCTAGCAATGCAGCGGTAGAAGACACGTCTAACTCCGTGACCTTGAGGTCCTCCACATTCAAGATAGGCCAGGAACTGCCATGATAGCAGGGGCTTGCTGCAAACCACGTCCCTGAATAGCTTGGTACACGGATTTTCTTTGAGTTCTCACCCTCTGCTTTTGTTGCGGGGTCTGTCGGTCTGCCTCGGCTGTAGGGAGGCTTGTTTTGGCGACCCCATCTTCCAAACTCTCCCGCAAGCTCGAAAACGTGAAGAGGTTCGCAAGCAGAGCTGCAAAAAGTGCAAGACCCGTCTACATGCTTCTATCACGTGTATTGCCACTACAGGTCTGAAATGCGATGGTCCGTACCATCCAGCAGCAGCATTAAGCCATGGAAAGAAAAGTGCAATCATCCTGACTCATGTTGCCTCGGAAATTTGTTGCAGATACAGTATATTGCCCAGGACAAGCGTCTTTGACACCAATAGTTTCAATCACTCCCTGTCACAACACAACTTAAGCCTCATGATCGTGAGCACAATAATGTAGGTGGTAGTTGTGCAAGAGCGTCCTCCATGGATGCGCGGAACTGCTCTGGGCAGGTCTGGCGCAGTGAGAACGTGCTGCTTCTATGGAACAGTAACATTAACACTCGTAGAATGCTTCGAGAAGCTGATCGCCGTCTGTGTTATCTTTGCCACAACCGACACCACCACCATCACCACCTACATGCACCTTGGACAGTGCATCGCTAACCGGAATAGCGCTTGGAGTATTCGTCTTCTGCTGGGTCCATGTCTTCGAGTCCCTTGCAGTCGCGACTGGTTCGTGGCTACGATCAGCGCTCAAAAACAGATACATAGAACCTCAAGGTTAAACGGCACGAGCAGGGCATATCGCAAGGATGTCTTCTCACTTCAAAGCCGGCAGGCAGGCTGCAATTTCTACTATATACTCGTATTGCAATCTTCTTGCTGTTCTTATCATGATCGTAACTACAGCTGCTGATAAATTAGGATGCCCAGTAACTTAGGAATAAAAAAAGGGCTCCCTTTGTGGTATTGGGTAACTTTATAAGGAACCTAGGACTACAAAAAGGGAATAAGAGTACTACTGCCCTAAGGCCCCAAAGTAGTTCCTTTTTGGGGCTCGTACATAGAATCCTATAATATAGTCCCCAAAAGGAACTACTTTGGGGCCTATGGGTAGGCATCCTAGTGCCCGAAAAACCTGAAACTCTGATCTGAGAGCCTGGGCCCACGAGGCGGAAGGTTCCGCAGCCTTGCGAACACTCGAACTTGCTAAGGGCTCTTGAGAACTACCTAGAGGCTCATACCCTACTCCATTTGTTTTTTTGGGGGGGGGTACCTAGTTTTACGGTTAGGATCTGTTATAGATAATTAGGTTCTGAGTACTGTGTACTGTTGAAAAACAGGAAGATGATAGCCATTGCTGCGCGTGCCGGACAGTAAGTAATGGCAGGACTATCATTGCGCGGACTGCAGGCACTGAAGATAACTACTCTAGTAGCTCTAGTAGCATTCTCGATCCCACAACTCTGGAATTGGGATGCCAGCTGCGCCCTCTGGGAGCCTGAAGCCCTGCTGCAGAGCCCCGAAGCCCGGAGAACCGACCATGTCGGATGTAGGATTTAGGACTCAGGCTTTAGGGCTTTAAGGGTCCTTCCTGTTGATTATCGGGGTGCGAAGTTTTCAGCATCTGAGCTCTCTTGGGTCTTGAGAGTATTCTGCCTGTGAACGGCTGAATATGCCAGGTGTATGGCTCGTGAAGTCCTGAAGCCTCAAGGAACAAACGGCCTACATCCTCATGTCTCTAGGCATCAGCTGAGTTCTGGACCTGGAGGCTGACAGAAGCAAAGAAGGCGAAGCAAGCGACAGAAATGACACATGACCCACGCGGCCCGATATCAAGCTTGTAGAATCGCAGAAAAACCCTACTCAAACCCTTGCAGAACGAATACGTACAAACCCCAAACGACGAACAATGGCAGAAACCACCAAATTTCTCACGCAGCCCTACAGATCCTTCATAAGCCAGAACAAACCCTATCAAACCCTCACAGGACAGCGGACACCAGTTGAAAGCCTACCCTAAGGCCCCAAAGTAGTTCCTTTTTGGGGTTCGTATATAGAATCCTATAATTATTCCCCAAAAGGAACTACTTTGGGGCCTATGGGTAGAGAAACCCCCGAATTCAAAAATGGCCTTGTCTAGCTGCGTGCCCATGGTCTCCAAGACCTCAGAGAAGTATGCCTTGGCTGCGGTTCTTCGCCCGAACATGGGGTTGGACAATTGATTTAAACAAGAATAACATATCATCTAAAACAAGCAACTGTTATTTGTATGTGTTTGTTTATTTTCGTTCTTGATAGTTTTTTTCATGTTCCAACTGTCGGAAAGTATGAGGCTTGGGGCTTAAAGTTCGGTGTTGGATTGGGTCTCAATACAGCTTAACAACATTTCTCTGGCCAAGGGAGCTTATACAGCTAAGGACAACATACATAAAGGCTCTAAGCCCGAAGATCTACAACAACATCCAGCCAATGCTACACTCCCAAACCTAGCAACCAGAAACGAACAGCAGCAAAAATCACCTGGACCCGAGCAAAGAGCAGACGCAGTACAGTAAGTTCGAAAAGACTTCATACGTTGTCAAGCCCCGAACCTAGGAAAAGAAGGCGATGATGGTGAGTGCGGCGAGTAGTAGGGGTTGCAAGAATCGTTAGGTTCTAGCGAGCTCGGATTGACGCTGAAGCTCTCTTTACACTTCCAGGGGCAAAAACAAGGAAGTGGACGCGCAGGGCTTCTTGAAGAAGATCCTTAAACCCCGAGGCTTATACCCGCCTTGTCACAGGCAGCAAACAGATGGGTGCCTGTCCCGCGACCTTTCCTTGAACTTTAGGTAGGCACGGCCTGTCGCACCAAGTCCCAGCCGCTTGGGCTGGCACATATTCCCTCAATAAAGCCGGACAAACCCCGCGGCTTCCAAACCCTGAATCGTTGTATAGTCCCGCTTCCCTCTGCCCGTAACAAAACCTAAACCCCCAACCCTGTAAAACTTGTGCCCAACCCTACCAACCCGAAACCATCCTGAATCATACAAACCCTAAACCCTGAATCATGAACCCCACACCCTAAACCGTTTGCAACCGTAAACTTCGAATGCATTCGCCTCCACCGTGGCCACGTCCTTTGGCTCCAGCAGCTCCCGATGGCGATCGAAGCCTCTGAAGAGGATGACCTGCGCAGCGTGCCAACTAATAACAACAATAATTTATGAAAATAACAATAACAATGACAATAAATAATAAAAACAAACCAGAACAATAATAACAACACTCAAACAAAAATCAGGCTGCTAACAAAGCTGTCCAGGCATTAAGGCCAGCATAGGGGCCTTTAGAAGTAGAACAGGCTTTGGACTTTGCCGGTGTGTTCTACCTTTCTTATGCAGGGACCAGGAGGGAATACTATTAGTAATTGCTCACCAATTGCTATTAATTGCAACCCCTATATGACTCGAGACGCTGGTTAAGAAAGGAAAAGGAGTTCAACAAGGTAGTAGTAGCCCGCCGTCGTGACCAACAGTGGCCGCAAGCATCACCTTTATGAGGATGTTCATCGCACCCAAAACTCACCAATTCAGGCATTCTGCACATCTCCCAACCCCGAAGTTCCATCAACTTGTTTTTAATTCCAAAATCTTCGGCAACCCAATTCCACCAACTGCGTGCTGGCAGCCTTGCAGCTGCAGCTGACGCGATGCCAGCCAATCGCCTCTGATTAGTCTCTCGACTTTGCAGAATAAGGCTGTTGAAAGATGCAGGTCTGCAGGTTTAGGCATTATCTAAGCCCTATACACCCTAGGCCCCTGCCGTAGAGTTTGATCAATGGTCTAGACTTTCAGAATCCGAAGGCCCAATTTTGAAGTTAGCTAGTTTAACCATGGATCAGAGCCAAACGAACGACATTGCAAAGGAAAGGTCATCTAGCAGCCCAGCTGCCGTCATAGCGGGTTACTTTTCCCTGAACCCTGTATAAACCTACCGGCAACTGGACTATTTAGGGTAGCTCACTTTCCGGCCTCCGCCGCGGCCAGGAGGCGGGGTGCCAGCTTTGCCACATCCACGGCACCACGGAGGAAGCCTGACGCCAGTGCCTGGGATCTGGAAGAGAACTGCAGCTTAAAAGCTTAAATTGAAGGAAGGGCTTGGGTTAAATGACTTTTGACTTTTGATGATTGAAGAGATCGAATTGGGGATAAAGGATTCAGGTCAAAGGATTTTTCGGTTGAAGGGATTGGGCCTTAAGGGTTTCCGGAAAGATCGGGGGATGAACGGTGATTTGGAGGTTTCGGGCTTGGGGTTGCGTGCCGAGTTTCTTATGCCCCTATGCCCGCCGACCACGTCCTCTTTTCCGCCCATGCCTGTTCCTTCCGTATCTATGAGCTGAACCCCATAAACCCCGAAACTAACGCAAGTGCTATATCAACCGAAACCCGAGCCCTCTCCCCTCTCTTTCCGCAGGGCGCTCAGTCGCCTGTCAGGCCCCACGAGCAATCAACCCTAAATCCCCAAGCCCTACCTTTAATAGCGCATTTATGGCCCTTATTAGTGGGTATTTGGAGTCTATTAGGGGGTGGTTGGGGGGTCATCCCTAAACCCCTAAACCTAAACCCCTATATAGACCCTATAATCCTAAATCCTAAACCCTAAATTTTACCCTAAATCCCTAAAATCCCTAAGTATAAACCGTAAATCCCTGAGCTTTAAAACCGCAACTCTGGGCCTCCGAACCTGCAAATCTCCAGTACGGAGGTCGGACGATGCCACGGCCGCTTCGTAGGTTTCCTCTCCGGGCTCGGTTTTGTTGTTTTTGCTCGAGGGTCTGGGGTCTCTGGGTTTGGGGTTTAGGGTTGGGTGTGGTATAGTGACCGTTACGCTTCGGATGGTTTTGATATCTTTGTTCAGAGTGCTGCTTGCAGAGGTGTTAATATTTCAATCAGATTGTTGAAGTATATCTGTTCTTGATTCGAACTAGATTCTAGATAAGGACTTTTACAGCGGCTGTGTCAGAGGGATAACAGTTGATATTTTTTCACGTTTAGGTGTTTACAGCTATGCAGGGTGTTGAGGGGTTTCGGGGTTACGGGTTTGGGCCGTTTTTTGACACTCACACTCGGGCAAAGCCTGGCAAGGTCTGCAGCGATACTGGTCTCTTCGTTAACTCAGGACTGGCACGTGCCACCAGCCAACCATGACATGTCCATCCCGCAACATTTGCCCGATAGACACCGCTGTCAGACACACTGATTCCGTAAGCCACAAACAAATGTACAAGCATAGACATCACATCATGCTGACAACAGTCTACCCCTCGAACAATCAACTAGGACCCACACAAACTAGTCACCCCAGGACCAAGTTGCGTTCTCGGGGCAGCCCTGTGAAACCGGTTCTCATGTACAGGGGCTCAAAGCAAGCAAAGTCAGCAAGGAGTGTGTCTTCAAGTGCAGTATCCATGCCACGCTGGTACCGGGCACTCTGGCTTCAGATGCATGCAACCTTGCCAAAGCCGAGCCAGTGTGCACCAGCTTTTCATCACTTCATATCGTGCGCAGTGGCATCCAGCTGATGCATGCAGGGCGCACCCTCAGCGTGCCATATTCCAGGAGAGGTTGTAACATCAGGTATGGCTTGTATGCAAGGTCGCTCTACCACCAGAGCATCATGCAGGATGCTATGTATGGGCCATGGGCCTGTCCTCGTTCCTGACAGGTTGGCCACGCGGCTTGCAATAAATTCTGTGCCATGCAAGGAATTCTCAGCAGCATCATGCAGAATGCGAGGCACAGGCCTCTTCCCAGCAAGGTTGGCCCAGGGCTTGCAAGAAAAATCCAGTATGCAACGAACAGCGAAGGCTCAACCGTTGGCTGCATCATGCAGGCGGTAAACTTCGTGCAGGCTGCTATCTAACAGGGCTCGCGCATACTCCCTGCAATAAGTTCCATCCAGATACATCGTGCAAGACTGGCTTCCTTAACAGGATGCGAGGAACTGCACTTTTGATTGTGCATGCCACTTGCAGCGGTTCCCACAGACAGGTATACCAATTCTTCCCATTAAAATATAGGCGGCCACTTGGTCCGGCCTGGACCCACTGCTCCCGCCGTTAGGCAGGGCGGAGCATGTCATGGTACAGTCCATGACTGTCTCGAGCCAGCTCATAGTCAGCGCGAAGAAACCACGAGCGAAGCCGAATTCGGGCGTAGCAGTGCGACAGGTCCCTGTAGCTAGGACTGGTCTCCGGCTCCAGGTCCCTCCCTTACCTTGCGGTTCATTCCGCAGTACTTCCATGCATCGGCGCTCCAACTGAGCCCAGTAAGACTGTATGGCAGGATGTTGAGCGATCTCGGGCAATAGTCCGTACCGGTGGCATTCCCATCGCGATGACCGGCAGTGCTGGAGCCTGCTGATCGACACGCACAGCCTGCACCATCCAAATGGGGTGGCGCACCACGAGCACCTGGCCCTGCCTGGTAGGAAATGCTGAGACGGCCGATGGGCTTGCCCAAGCGTGCGCTGCTGGAGCCATGCTGATGCAGCCACCTTCGATCCCAGATGCCTAAGCGGATGCTTTGCTTCTTTGAGCCCACTTGAGCCGTAGCCATTTTTTTGGGCCGTTTAGGGTTTGTGATGTTTACCGGTATAGGGCTTATGAGTGCAGTTGCGCAGGGTTTTCACTCGGTATAAGGGGCAGTGGGTCGAGGGTGTCAGGGTTGAAAGGTTTAGATCTATAGCAGGCAAGGCTCCAGGCAACGAAGCGTCCCTCCCTAAGGGCGGGGAACTTTATGGGGATGCTCTCCTACCAGGTCCAGCCTTCGAGTCATCGGGGAGCGCTCGACACCTCAGAAATCATACCAGCATAGAGTTCTCGAGCTCTACGGGAAACCCTGCCAAAGAGTCATCTTCGCAAGCCCCAGACCACACCAAACCCTGCAATTCAGCGGCCCAAATAAAAGTTAGGTTGTGGGAGGTAGTCCGATGCCGTACTTATATAGAGACTGGAACAATATGAGCATTCTATGAAAACTACTTCGATTCCTCATTCACATATATATATATATATATACACATGTATGTATAAATGTGTATATGTATATATATAATATAAAATATATAATATAATATAATATAATATAATATAATATAATATATTATAATATAATATAATATAGTATAATATAACATAATATAATATAATATGATAAAACATAATATAATACAATATAATATAATATAATATAACAAAGTATAATATAATATAATATAATGTGATATGATATAACATAATATAATATAATACAATATGATATAATATGATATAATATGATACAATATGATATAATATAATATAATATGGTATATTATTTTATAATATGATATAATATAATATAATATGATATAACATAATATAATATAATAATATATAATATGATGTAATATGATATAATATGATACAATATGATATAACATGATATAATATAATATAATATGATATAATATAATATAATATAATATAATATAATATAATATAATATAATATAATATAATATAGTATAATATAATATAATATAACATAATATATATATATATATATGCTACTGATTTCACAGCTCATGGTTCGGAGCTCACGGATCCGGCGAGGGGCATCACTGCCTCAAGAGCCGAAGACGCTTCTGAGCTCCCGGAAATAGCGAGGGCCTCAAGCTTACCTCTGGTAGTAAGGAATGGAAGAATGGTAGCAATAGTAGTTATAATTTTACCCCATTCCTCCATTCCCTACTAACCGAAGGAAAGCAAGGGGGGGGTAGAAGTTGAGGGCTTATAAGGCTACGGTTTAGGGTTTCGGCACTCACACTCGGACAATCCAGGCGAGGCATGTGGTTCGAGGTCTGTTGAGTGAAACGATCTAGAGAGGTTTAGGGTTTAGGGTTTTAGAGTTGTTTTTGGGTGTAGGGTTTAGGGCTTTCAGGGTTCAGCATCTGATCTCCCTGCGGGGAGTTCGCATCCACACGTCGGACTACGTCATGGCAAGATCGACATATCACATTAGTAAACCAACAATTGAGCATGTCAGCAAGCACATTACAATAACAGAACCATGCAAAGCAAGCAAAACAAGTACATGAAACTGATCAGCCAACGAAACGTAGGTGAGTAAATGGACAGAAAATACGCACTTGACCCACCCGACCTGTATCGACACCTATACCAACCAACACATGTGTGTAGATCCTCGTATGCATCGCCACATTCCAGTACATGCCGACATGCCTGACGACATGTTCGTAAGGGCTGGGGTCAGCTTGCAGAGGGCTCCACTCCAGCCGACCTTTCAAACCAAATCCTAGGCGCATTCCCCCGTGAAGCCGAAGTTTAAGCCAACAGAAAAAATACTGCCAAAGCTGCTTGTAGCAGCAGCCAGTTTCCCTAACTCCTACACCCCCAGACCCTTCAACCAATCAACAATCAAGCTTGGTTTGCCGACTGCTGGTTTGAACACACGAGGGGACGTCCAGGTGGAACGCACTAAATTGCCACCTTGTGACTCACGCGAAACTTACTTTCTGGTTTATACTGTTGAGCAGCAATGACAAGAACCCAAAGGGTCCAAGTATCATTCTGGTATATATTTACAAGGTATTTTGGGGGGTCTAAATACATAACGTTATGATACTTGTACTTGGACCCTTTGCGGAAATCCGCCTAGTTTTACGACTCCTCTTTCCGCCTCTCTCTCTACCGCTGTATCGCTGCGGTTCACTGCTTTCGCATACACTTCGGAGCACGAGAAGACCGTTTCTGGTAGTCACCAGCCGTGATTTCAGCTTGTGTGGACGCACTGCGCTTCGTCAGTCATGTGAAATCGAAGTGATAGATGATAGTACTATTCCTTCACAGTTCAGCATCACCCAAAAGGCACCATTGCAAAAAGATGCCAAGATTACTGACAAGCTTAGGCTGAAGCCATTGCCACCTGCGCCAAGTGTTGCAACCTGGCTCACACAAACTTCCGGACCAAAGGCAAAAACAACATCGATGTTCGTCGCACAGAACTTCTGATATCCTATGATCCTTCTCTCCAAACCCGTCCTTTTTGTGCCTCCTGATTACTTCGCAGAGGTCATTGTTTGCAAAGGCAGCATGCCATGACGATGAACAACTCACTGAAGGGTATGAAGCTGTTGCCTTGGACTACCTTCACTGCACTAGGAGTCAAGAGACGCGGGCGCTCACGGAGGGACATCCCTTCTTCCACAGGCTTGATTAGTGCTCGCCCGGCCAGAATCCCCAAGCACGTCGCACTCGTGGCGAGATGCGGAGGCTAAGTACGCGCAATCTGTCGTTCATCCCTGAACCGTGAACCCCCGGCTGATGCGAGCTCCGAAGCCTCGTGTGCATGCCGAGACTGCCAACTTCAAGCTTTGGTCCCAGGGTCCGCACTAATAAGCGGGCTGAAGACCTGAAACCCTGGCCTAGGCCATAACAGCTGAAACCACCACAGGGCCACTTCTCTGCATCCTGAGCTCCCAACGTCATCCCCGGAGTCTTCCATGAAAGCTCGCCTGAACAGATGAGGGCATATAGCAGTAGTAGCAGCAAGAGCAGTCGAGTACTACTGGTATAAAGGGAAGGTTCAAGTCAGAAAGGGCTTGAGGAATGACGAACCCGCGGAAGGCTTGCTTTCCTGCGCCTTGGGCAGGCCTCCTCAGTAAAGGCATGGTGTACGCCACAGTTGCTCGCTTCCCACTGAGGCAAGACGATTGATTACGATTGCAGGTCCACACTCTCTAAGCTTCTTCGACCCATCAAGTCAAAGAAGAATGGACCTACATATTGAATGCGGCCAAAAAATCCACCTGCCGGTCAATGAACGCAGCAGCACTTCGTCGGTGCACAACCACAGACTGCAAAAAAACTGTTCCCTGAAGGACCAAGCGGAAGTGCACCACAACCCTGTCCAGCTCCAGACGCCTGCAAGGAGGAGGAGGGTGTTGTCCGAGACTGGCGCTGCAGCCACGATCCATGCCAGCTTGGACACCTCAGGGCTTGGGAGCTTCGATCCAGCCGGAGCTTCGCTGTCCGTTTCTCGGCCAGCGGAACAAAGGCAACTCCGGCTGGCTCCCACGCTATGTTGGAACACCATATACCAGCCTCGTTTGGCAGCAGGCGCACCTCCAGAAATGCATTTCGCATGTATGCACAGAGCCGCGGTGTTGCACTGCATGGCGAAGAGGCCAAAAGGCATGCAGTACTTTGCTGGCACTATCAGCTGCCACTTAGAAGACATCACATCTGCTTACTTCTTTGCCAACACCTCGTTGTTGGCTGTGGCCAATGAACTGGTACGGCTTGTCTTCTGTGCTTCACGAGTACACAGTACAATCGTATCATGCTATCAGGTGCGCATGTAGTACATTCAGCAATGATTCATACACACATGGCAAATTTTTCAATGCAACAAGCATTAGCTACTACTAAAGCAGCGAAAACCGCACTCACGATACCATCCGAAGCTCGGACACGAGATAAGGCCTCTTCATCTGCTAAGCTGGATGTTGCCTGGAAGCAGAGGGTTGCGCAACTTACCATATTCTGCATCTAGGGCCCGAAAATTCTGACAAGATCCACTACGCCTTGTGTATACTTAATAACTATAGAGATATTTGCAGGCTCTGTACAGGAGTGAGGCTTTTCTCGTTGCGAGGTTTTATGTTATTGGACAGCCCTAAGGCCCCAAAGTAGTCACCTTTTTGGGGCTCGTATATAGAATCCTATAATATATTCCCAAAAAGGAACTACTTTGGGGGCCTATGGGGGACGACATGACTTATGGAAGCGCCAGCTAAGACTGACACAGAGTCTACTGATCGGTGTGGCTTATGCCCTGCACTGCTGTCAAAGAAGCCTCTAACTGAACATCCATATTCTGCATACTTGCTGGAGTCCTCAAACATCATTCAACCAGTACCTCGAAGCTCAAGCCACCACCCTAGGCAGTGGCCCTGTGAAACGCTGGGCTACGAACTCAAGGCCCTGATCCCAGAACGGCCTCGCTAACGGCTTCGCGGAGCGCCGGCAAGAGGCGCTGTAACGTCTCCTGCCGTGGATGTTACAAGTAGTGTTCCACCTTCTTATACAGGGTTTAGGGTTTAGGGTATGGTCCTCTTGTATGTATTGCCGGGCTACGGCTACGGCTCTCTTGTTGCCTTCAGACTTTGTGAGGCCCTCCTTCACGTGAACGCTTGAGCTGTTGGTCCTCTTTCTAGAACTGTCTTCTTGATGGATCGAGGCTCGACGAAGATTTGATGCTTGCTGCTGCTGCTGCTGCTGCTGCTGCTGCTGCTGCTGCCACTGCTATATTACTAGGTCACGGTAACCGTCACGATGCTGACGCTTGTTTAAACTGTAGTGATGGCCATACTCTCGACCTCCTCCTCCTCCTACTACTACTCCTACTCTTTCTCCTCCTCCTCGTAGTACTAGTAGTAGTAGTAGTAGTAGTAGTAGTAGTAGTAGTAGTAGTAGTAGTAGTCGTAGTAGTAGTAGTAGTAGTAGTAGTAGTAGTAGTAGCACCACCACCACCACCACCACCACCACCACCACGACCACGACCACGACCACGACCACGACCCACGACCACGACCACCGACCACTACCACTACCACTACCACTACCACTACTACCACTACACTACTACCACTACTACTACTACTACTACTACTACTACTACTACTACTACTACTACTACTACTACTACTACTACTACTACTACTACTACTACTACTACTACTACTACTACTACTACTACTACTACTACTACTACTACTACTACTACTACTACTACTACTACTACTACTACTACTACTACTACTACTACTACTACTACTACTACTACTACCACTACTACGACGAGGAGAAGGACAACAACGACGACTGCCACTGTGAGGAGCGGATAGAAGACAAGGTGCATTGCTGCATCACGCTAGTTCCGAAAGCCATCAGACGACTGCAACTGGCCCTTAGAGCTTGAAGGGGCTCTCTTTATCGAGCAAACCCTTTTTGATGATTCGCTCAAACCTCCGTCCGTACCACAACAGAAGTGAGAGCCGAGACAGGCTCCTTCTGCTTCAGCTTGGCCAGCGCGTAGGCAGCCAATAACAAGTTCGGAGCTGGTAGTTCCCTTGACATCAACTTCGACAGCAACATTTCAGGTTTCAGCTCTTGAATGCAGCAGCACTGGTGCAAAAAATCCTCGCGGCAAATCAAAACACAAACCAAGTCGTCCTGCTGAAGATATTTTTGAAGATGTTGAGCTGGTGCAGACAAAGCTAACGGGCGTTCCCAAGATCACCACCAACATCAAGACACTGGCAGCAATCGCCCAGCGAGTTCACTCTTCTCTTCTCTACGGTCAGCTATGCCACATTAGACATATTGGACTGGGTCAAGATCGCAACTTTACGTTGCAGATGCCAGCATCGTGGGAGCTCAGAAGCACGCTAAGCCCTGACTGCGAAGCCAAAACAAAAACCAAGTGCCCTGTTGAGCCAAGGCGCCTCTCACGGTTTAGCCTCACGAAGGGTATAACGGAGTGTTATACAGGTTGTTATAGAAGGGGCATGACTGAATAGAACGTTGTTTTGGGGTATGAATTTATACATATATGTGTATGACTGAAACCTACGGTTATCAGTCTGAATCCCCTGAGGTAAAGCTCTTCACGAAACCCACCTTGCCGGGAACACGCAAAGGCCGTCGCATTATTGCCAACATGCATGGGGCCATTGTTGCAAGTAGGGGCCTTACTTACACTTCTGCGCGCTTCACCCTAATCCGCAAAACTTGAAACCCTCAACTCTAAACCCCTAAACCCTTAACCCCCACCTGACCCTAACGTTGCCTCGGACGCTCGAGGCACGTCCACAGCACATGGTCCACCAAAATCCGGTATCTCGGGGTGTAAACTTTGCTTTGGGCTTTGGGGCCCAGGGGCTTTAGGTATTCCTTGTGTTTTCTTGTGAGGCGCCCCTAACTCTCAAGGCCCTCTTTGTGACTCTTGTGCTTGAAGGGATTGGCGGGCTCGGAATCAAGGGCTCATGGCATAAAAGGACCGTGCTTGGTGGCTGTGATCTTTGTCAGGGCCTATGGGAGTTTCTGAAAAAGGGACCCTAATATAGTACCCTAAATACTAGAATCCTTATGATAAGGGGCCCCAAAATCAGGTACCCCTAATTTTCGGAAACCCCCCTATCTCTCAGAAGCTCAAAGTCCGGAGTTTGGGCTTCGAATCCGGGGGCTCAAGCATCCCGGGATCTTTAGCTTTCCTTTAGGGGTTCAGGGTTTAGGGTTTAGGGTTCAGGGTTTAGGGTTTAGGGTTCAGAGGGTTCGTACAAGGCTCTCGGTTACAGGATCGGGGAGTTTCGATTTAAGGGGTGTAAAATGAGAGCCCTCGCCCTTCGATGGCGATACCTTTCTTAAGGCAATGCAGTTGCCAGGCCATAGGCCCGCAAGAAGATCAACAAACCAACCCTGCTGTAAGTTTTGCGGCTCTGCGCTGGGCAACCTCTTGAACTTCCCCAAGACTCCAAGTATACAAACAGTATATACCTACTTGGGGGTCTAAAGTCTATAAATACTACCTACTTTGGGCCATCTGGAGTCTTGAACTTTTTCCAAGCCCACACAACATTTCAGGCACGCGGCTCGTAGCGGCCCATAAAGACATTCTCGCCAGCCCGAGCATACAAGCAAAGGATGTAAAGACCTTCTGCAGGTACCTTCGGAGAGCCCAACTGGTAAGCTGCGAACTGTTCCAAGTTTGGGGATACGATTTTTCCAGCCGGCCAAAGTGGTGACTGCAAAGAACTCACACACACATATGTAATTGGGTGCAACCCCACATGGGCTGACAAGCGGGCTCAGAGTTGCCTAGCGGGTAAGGAGCCGAAGCCATTATAAGCATGCTTGTACATATAGGGGTTCCGGGCTGGCTATGACGGCTATGAGTAGGCTTGTGCCTTAGCTAGGTTGTGGCCTTCAGTTTGCTTTAAAACTAAATGTCCCTTTAAGTGTGACTTCACGTCTAGAAACTCTCCCTAGGGATCAAAATAGCCCAAAAGCCTCGTATGGTATGGTCTTTGGGCCCAAAAGCCTCAACATATGAGTCCTTAGATCCCTACACCCTATAGTGATCCCTTTAAAGGACCCCTTACAGATCCCTTTAAAGGAACCCTATATGAGCCCTTAGATCCCTAGGCCCTAGGGTCTCAGCACCTGAAAGATGCCGAATCCCGAAACCCTGGAGCCGGCCATTGCGACAGCCAAGGGCCCGGTTTAGGGTTTAGGGGTTTAGGGTTTAGGGGTTTAGGGTTTTAGGGTTTAGGGGTTTAGGGGTTTAGGGTTTAGGGGTTAGGGGTTTAGGGGATTTAGGGACTCTTATATGGGGTTTTCCGAAAATCGGGGGACCTAATATGGTACCCTAAATAGCCTGAAGCTAAAGTGCTTCCTAGAATCTTAAAGTCTTAGATGCAGGAGGAGCCGCCAACCCTAAACTTGGTCCCAAATCGAACAAAAACCAATGTCCGAAGGCTCGCGTCCTTGAAGCGATCTGGGCCACTGAAGGAGTAGCATGGTGCCTGTGCTCTAAAGCTTCATCCTGGAGAGCCCCTCAAGCAGTACAAGCACACGTAACTCTATCGTACTTCAATATCTGAACCAGGAAGCCCTAACAGCCCAACACTATAAACCCTAGAAAAAAGACATGTAAGCTCATCAACTTTAAACCCCGCTGCCCTAAACACTGCGAGCGGTATCGATGTCCAAGCCGAGGTGCCCAAGCATCCGGGCATGGCACCCGCCTCCGCCAGCGCTTGGCCCAGCGTTCCACATCGGTCGCGGGGGGCAGCCCTGGATGCGAAGCTTACCATTCACTTGGCACAGTTCTCGAGTTAAAGTCTTGGGCTGGATTCATTTTTTGGATTTGGGGTTCAGTGCAGACTAGTGCAGGTTCGGATTCTGGGACTTCAGGCTTTCAGGGTTTGGGGAGGGCACGCATGATGAGCCGTATAGAGCAAGGGTACAAAGCACAGCTGATGACCTCTGCGCGCCACAGACCTTGCAAGGTGCAGCCCCTGACTGGGTTCGGTTCGAGGGCCGTTCTGCGGAATTCAACAGATGAACTAATTAGACAAGGTGCTGCACCCTAAGCCGGATTTAGATATTCCTACTCACACTGCATATGTGTATGTGTATGTGTGTGTATATACATATATACATCTATATATGTATATGCAAATATTCTGTGTGTGCGAGTATGTGTGTGCATATTTGTATGAGTATGCGTTATGCATATATGCATTTTTGTTAAATATATGTAGTGTATAAAAAGTATGTGTATACACACATATATATATATATATATATATATATATATATATATATATATATATATATATATATATATATATATATATATATATATTATAGGTGTAGATACAGATATGCACATAAAAATGACGTCTCTGCGCCTTCCAAGAGCGCTGCGTCCTCTTCGCCAGGCGCGTGGATCCGAAGAGTTGGCCTGGAGCCCGGCCATGCTCCTCCGGCACTCTGGGGCTTAGGGTTTATAGGGTTTATAGGGTTTTATAAGGTTTCTATATGGTTTTATAGGGTTTCTATATGGTTTTATAGGGTTTCTATATGGTTTTATAGGGTTAATGTGGTTAAGGATGCTCCTCCGGCACTCCTCTCGCATTGCTTGGAAGTCTATGCCTATGCCCGCTCGCGAGGTTCGACATAGGGTTTAGGCTGGCTTAGGCTTTATGGGGTTTATGGGTTTTCTCATAGGGTACGAGGTTTAGAGGCTTTTTGAAGCTCAAAGGGTTTGGGGTTGATAGGGTGGCCTTTTGGCTCACCTGCTTGTGACGCTTAGGGCCTTAGGCCCTTTCAGAGGGCTTCTTCTACGGCTTGTAAGGCTCCTAGGGTTCGGGCTTGTAAGGTCCGCTTTTTGTGACACATTTCAGACCCAATCCTCCTATCGAGTCTCCTCACTGCGAGGCATGAGGTGAGATAGGGTTTCACAGTGGAACACCAACAAAGACAAAGACATGACCGACGCACGCGACCATCTGGTAGAAAAGGGGACAACCACGGAGCACATCGAGCCAGGACAACCATCGCAATAGGGTGTCCCACGAGGCATAGTCAACCCCATCATAAGCCCCTGTAGACCCCGTCTTGTAGGGTCTAGGGAAGAGGATCAAAGGTCTGATTTTCGGGCTTCGACGCTCGGACCAGGCCAGGCGTGTGAGGGAGTGTGAAGTTGCGTGTCCATCTAGTTATTTACATGTTGGGTGGGCTGAAGATTTCAAAAGACTACAACGCCCCTCCACAGATATAGTCCAATCTCGGCATCCTAAATATCCTGCACTCCATGTCTGTTGCGTTACCCAAAAAGCCTGGCACAGATGTGGTGGCTGACACGCGCCGGCGGCCAACCCGGCCTGTGCAGTGGGGTTTTGGGTTTAGTTTAGTGCCTATAGAGTCATCTACCTTGATCCAGTATCACCCTTCTAAGCGTACGGGGTTCAAGACTTTTGCAAAGCCCATATACTAAAAATTTGCCATCGGGAAAACCCGGCGGAGGTTGGGTCGGATAAGAAGCCAACATCAAACATAAAAGACTGAACCCGAAACCCAAACCCAACAAACCTTACACAACCCTCCGAAAGCCCAAAATTCCAGACCCCAAGAATCCCCACACCGAAAATTGAAGCCTTGACAGTCGAACAATAAGTTCCTCAGGACTGCTTACTACAACTATGGGATAGCACCACCCACACTCTATTCTACTTGTAGAGGCCCTTTCTTTTTACACAACACAGCAATATAGAGGCCTCAATCATTTGGATAGGGTTTTGTGGCCCATTATACTGTAACTATACTAAGGAACCCCCAAAATACCATAATCCGTCTCATAAGGCCCCTTTTGGGGGGTATATTCAACCATGATGATAGTAATGAGCCACCAAAGAGTGTAGGTGTTTCTAAAGCCCCTTTGTAGTGACTTGGGGCTCGGAGGCCTTCGGAGAGCTTTCGGAGAAGCCGCAGCGAAAGGGGGCAGCGAGGAACCATATGAGGCTGGGGGCTGATTGGACTTACAGGAACGCAGGTTTGTGGGTTTAATAGGATTTTATAGGGGTTATATGGTTTAGGGTTTGCAGGGGTTGAGGTTCCTGATATCGGAAAGTTGGAGCTTTGGAGAAACCAGGGTTCTATGGGTGGGCTTTCTCCGGTGAGTTGAGTTTTGGGGGCTTTGAAGAGGCGGGTCCGGAGGCCAAGCGAAGCTTAGGGCTCAGGGGTTTCGCATTTGGCTTTGCAGCATTTGATTGCGGATCTCGGGAGATTTGGGACTTTCCGAAAATAGGGGACCCTAATATAGTACCCTAAATAGTAGGATCCTTATTATAAGGACCCAAAATAAGGTACCCCTAATTTTCGGAAACTCCCATTTGGGTTAGTAGGGTTAAGGGGGTTAGGTCCGGTAGGGTGAAGCTTCGGGTCTCGATGCCCGCAGTTGTGCATATCTGTCGCTTCCGTTGATGCAGAACCGAGACTGTCATACCGCACCCTGAACTGATTCATGTTGCACTGTATCAGTATGTCCAGTAAGTTGCAGCCAACGATTTATGTATGGTATAATTATACATGACTTGCATGACAATACCTGTTGCCAACTTTGCCGCGTTGTACTTGTTACCACACTGCCGTCTTTGGGCAGCTGCTTGGAAGCAGACGCATCGCACATGAAGCGAAGGAGCAGGCCCAACATGCAAAGCCCTCAAGGTCCAAAATCAAAAGCCCAGTCGGCAATCTCTCACCCACCGCGGTAGTCTTCCAGTTGTCTCAGAAGCCTTTTCCCAATTTTGCTGAGCGTCGGCTACCACCTTGCTTCCTCTGCTCTGTCAGTGCAGTCAGTGCAACCTGACCTTCATAATCAGAGCCAAATATGTAGAGCTATCAGGATCCAAGTAGTCCCGCTCAAGCACTGAAAGCACCCTCGGCAATTGAGATACTTATAGCAAGCAGTGAAAACATTGACAGCGTACGTAGAGCCACGCAGACGTACGTCCACGCATGCACTACATAAAAAATATATACATGCACATTTACACATATGCAGACAAATGCATACACACATGCCTGTATATGTGTATATATATATACATATATATATATATATATACTTGTCACACGCACTCGACAAGTCAGGCGAGGTTTCTGAGGCACTAACACTCTTGGATATGTACACACACAAATACTGTTGTTTGCCTGACTTGTTTCCGTCCATTCATAACTGCTATTTGACGACGGCTTAGACGACGAGATCGTTGTGCAGATTAGCAGTACTGACGTTCGGAAAATCAGGGTGCTGCAACGTAGACCAGTGCAAAAAAAGCACGAGTGGACAATACAGTTCACTGCTTGCTCCACCCGGAATTCAGCCCGGGTGTCAAAGGTACCCACTTTCAACCCTGCAAGCCTCTTGCCTAGACGAAAGATGCGTGTATGCATCGGTCGAGCATCTGGCAGTTGCCCGCAAAGCCTAATGTAAAGGCCTTAATAATTAGAATAGGGTTTTGGGGCCCAATATACTATAATTGTAATAAGGAAACCCCGAATTAGTAAGGTCCCTATGGTAACCGAATCTGATCAACCCTTGGGTGCCGTACATCTGCCTTCGCCAAGGCCTGGCCATGCACCTGCGAGGTGAAAGCTTGGGGTCTTTGGGTCTAGTATAGGGGCCTAAATTGTTACGAATACTATTCTGGGATTCCTCATTGTAACTGTAGTATACTATACCCCAAAACCCTATTCTGACTATTAAGGCCCCTATCTTCTATGTCGGGCCGGTCGGGTGCACCTGGCCCCACGCGGTAACTGAAACCGAGCCGAGCAGGCCTTCGCAATCTGTGGATCCGCTTTGAGCATGACCACCGGGGCCTCGGCCTTGCCATGTTGGAGAACGAGATCATATATGGTGGATATACGCGAGTATAGTTAAAGATATAGAAAATAGTATGTATGCAGAATGTAGAGCCTATACATCCTGATATACATACCTCTGTACGACTATACATATGTATCAAAAAATATGTATACATATACATAGACATATACATATACATATTTATACATATTGATTCATATATACACATACAAATACACACACATCTAAAAACATACACATGTATGTGCTGCCCTGGAAGATTTTGCCGACTCAGGTCTACCAGTAGCATTTTTGATTTGCGGTTGCAGATGGCGACACTCGGCGGCAGGTTTTGCGGGAGTAACGGGGTGATGTCAAAAGAGCGCTGCAAAATGCTGCTTCCGCGAATATTGCAAAGAACACCCCCCTTCTTTCGCGACATCCGCACCTGATAACCCAAACGTCCTTACTTAAACCTATTGCATCGTCTTGCTATACCCTCCCATTGGCAACAGATTCCCGGCACAAACTTTCTTAGATCATCCCGGCTCGGCTCGCTCTCTATCAGCGCTCCGTCCGCCGTAAAAGCGGGAACGATAACAGCAGCAGTTAAACTACAGTAGGTGTAGTAGTTGTTGGTCGTGGTTATGGTAGTGCTGTAGGAGTAGGAATGGGTGATAGTAGTTGAAGCTGCGAAGCAGGGAGCACAGAGTAGGTACAACAATTGGAGAAAAATAGGAACCAGAAAGAAAGGTATCCCGATATCATCCCCTTCTCGCCCTATGCCCAGCACTTGCAACACATGTGGGAGTTTCCGAAATTAGGGGTCCTGATTTTGGGGTCCTCATAGTAAGGATCCTATTTAGGGTACTCTACTAGGGTCCCCCATTTTCGGAAACTCCAATATCATCAAGTACCTCGGCCCTCAACCCCCGAGACCCTCTCCTGCCAAACTGCTGCAACCATGACACCTCGAAGCAAAGAGCCCCCAAAACCCTTAACACCCCGTAACCCTCATTCCTAAGCCCTGTGATCTCATGCCGGAGCCCCAAGACGAACCCCTAAGCAAACAGCCCTGAGACTTCTTCGGCTACTTGCATAACGGAGCCTGATCTTCTGCTGACTCCTTGCTCCCATCGTCCAGACCTTGTGCGTAAGGCTTCAAGGATTGAGAAGGACTGACTAGTGCTTAGGTCCCGGGGATGGACTCTACAATACGTATGACGTATGTATGTCTGCATGTACGTGTGTATATCGGTTCGTATGTGGGCAGGTATGCAGGTATGCATGTATGTGTGCAGATAAACACACTAGCAACAAGACACACAAGCACACTGACAGCCAAACACACAAACAAATACACATACATGTGTGTATATATATATATATATATATATAACGTTCATTTTATAGTGTTTTTTTATGATATACATTCGCTTCGTATGTGTATGTATATTTCTACGTATGTGCAGATGTGTGTGTGTGTGTGTGTGTGTGTGTGCGTGGTCATACTTGCTATACTACTAGTGATAGCACCGCCATTACACTGCATGAAGGGCACTCAATACTGTTGATGATATAAACCCTGCATTACCTTAAGGATCCCAAACTATGGAAATTATGGTACATTCCTTATTATGGGTAATGCAGGGTTTATATCATCAACCGTATGACTAGAAGCTCGGGCCTCTGGGGCCAGAGCTCTTCGACACCCTCCTGGTCGTCTGCGGCCCCTTCAGGGCAGAAGTGTAGTCCATGCCTTTGGGATGCAGCGCACTTGTGAATCCCAATGTCTCCCTAAACATCATGTAATCATCCGACATCTACCACCCCTCTCTCCGACAAGGTGGTCAAGCAGTATAGTGTGTCGCTTCGACTCGTCGGAGCTGGGTTTCGGGCACTGGGTGGGGAGGCGCTGACGTCTAAACGTGCATCTGCGACTCAAGATACAGCTGACGCCGTGAAGCGCTTCCGTTCATCAGAGAAGGCCCGGGCATCTAGTGATCCCATGGGCATAGAACCTGGCGGCATCAACAACGATCACTGAAAACAGGGCCTGAGTTACCTGCACTGAATACCCGAACGAATAGCAGCTGCTATGTAGCAAGAAAAATCTGCAAAGCGACTAGATATCTCACTCTTATCGCCTTGAGCCCAAAACCTTATACAAACCTTTCTTCAAGCTAAACCAGGCACCCGGAACCCTACATGCCGGCGTACGGTGCAAAGGACGCCGTCAAAGTCGCCTGCAGCAGCAGTTGGTCCTTCGAGCGCGGCCATGAGCCGCCGCAAGCGTTGAGGCTTGGGGCGTCTAAGGGTTCTTGCAGGGTTCGTTTAGGGTTTCGGCGCTCACACTCGGACAATGCAGGCGAGGCATGTGGTTCGGAGTCTGATGGGTGAGACTTGGTTTTAGACTTAGTTTAGGGTTTCGGGGTTTCGGGCTTTATCGGAATTCCTTTGCGATTGAGCTTTAGAGTTTAGAATAGAATAGTTAGAAGCCCGGGGGGGCAAGGATTTTTCATCAACATCTCACCACCCGTCTGAAGCCTAGCGACTGGGAACCCCCAAGACGGGAGCCTGCAAAAAACCCCGAATCTCTGCTTGGAGGTTCATGTGTGGTTATGCGTATAGGGCAACTATTATTCAGAACCCATATTAGGGGACTTCTAAGCCCACTTATGACTACCCCTGAACCTCCAAGTGAGACAATCGGAATCCTCGGAGAAGACATCGTCCAACTTCAGGGCCTGTCATATGAGGCAGCAGGCAGGGCGAAGGGGGGGAGTCAGGGGTTCATGGTAAGCGATCTTTGTCTACAAGTTGCTGTGCAACTACAGAGTAAGTGTAATATCTCTACTTCTGTCACCACTGCCCGCGCAGTGTACAGTAGGGCTCCGGTGCTTACTCTCATCTTTCAATATTTCTGCTGGGTAATTTCTGTCCCCCCATATCGACAGGACTTCGCATGAGCGCAGAGCTGGTGTGCTTTGTTGTCGTTGCTGTTGCTGCAGTTGTCGTTGTTGCAATTGAAGATGTAGTTGCAGTTGTAGTTTTTTTTATAGTCGCGGTGCAGCTGTGTTGGTGGATGTTGCTGTTACTGTTGCTGTTGTTGCTTCTGTTGTCGGTGTCGATGTTATCGTTGAAGTTGATGCCAGTGTTATTGCTGCTGGTGCTGTTGGTGCTGGTGCTGCTGCTTCTGCCGTTGTCGTTGTCGTTGTTGCGGTTGCTGCTGCTGCTGCTGCTACTGCTGCTGCTGATGGGCGGTGGTGCGTGGGTGGTGGTGGGTGGTGCGTGGGTGGTGCTGGGTGGTGGTGGGCGGTGGGTGGTGGTGGGTAGTGGTGGGTGCTGGTGGTGGGTGGTGGTGGGTGGTGGCGGGTGGTGGTGGGTGGTGCGTGGGTGGTGCTGGGTGGTGGTGGGTGGTGGTGGGTGGTGGTTGGTGGTGGTGGGTGGTGGTGGTGGGTGGTGGGTGGTGGTGGGTGGTGGTGGGTGGTGGTGGGTGGTGGTGGTGGGTGGTGGTGGGTGGTGGTGGGTGGTGCCTTGGGTTGGCAGGGCTTAGGGGTTCGGTTTTTCCCGTGGGTACAAAAACATTGTTCGGAACTCAGCCTGGCAGCCCACTTTCCCACGTAAGCGGGGACTTTTGCTTCAGTTACATGGGGCTGTATTTCAAGGCCCAAACACAACATGGTTTGTTACCTCTTAGTACCGTCGCTACTTAGCTGTATAGAATGGTGTTCAACCAAGTCTACCTAGGTTTTTCCCGAGGCCCCAGGCAGCATTTCGGAGATCAAGCTCTAGCTTCGTTCTTTCTCATGATCACGGGTATCGTGGAACAAACGGTGAGCGCGATCGAAAATCCCGGAAAATTGGCTCGAGACAGCCGTCACACATCTTCGGCGTGGCGTGAATGCAGTGCTTCGGGACTGGAAGGGAGAGGTAGCTAAATTAGACCTCAGCCCTCGTGTCGTTCTCTTGAGGAGGGGACCGGCAGGTAAACAATAACAAAGCCATGCAAAGCTCTCATCCAATTGGCACGCAATGGTCAGGACAAACCGTGAAGACACCGCGATACTCGCCCTTGAATGCCGAGAGGATCCAGAAGCCGATGACAAACACTCGCTTGAAGTGTTCCTGCTTGTACCGCGCGGGCAAAGGTCTTCGAATGACAGCTTTCTCCACATCCGAGGGCATGTCGCACGCAGTATCACTGCTGAGAGTTGAGGAATATCAGCCAATGCGTCAGCGCGGTCTGCTCTGAGCGGCCTGCCTCCAGGCCCGAGCTTCTTCTGTGATCGCCCGGAGAATCGTAGCTTCATGAACACCTTCCTGCAAGAGTGTCTCTGCCTCGCCGAGTTCAAAGGCCATGAGAGCATTGGTGGTCCCACTCAAGGTTGCCACTTTGCCATGGATATTCCGAACCACATGCTGAACCTCGTTGGAGTCCTTGGTCTTAAGGGCAGGTCTTGCGATCGTCCTACTTCGGTTGATGATATAAATCCTGCATTACCTTAAGGACCCTAAACTATGGGAATTTTGGTATATTCCTTATCATGGGTAATGCAGGATTTATATCATCAACCGTTGCTCTATTCTGCGTAACCCTGAACAGCCGAGAAGTACCAAACGAGTCCGAAGCTCACTCAAGGTCACAATGATGAAGCTTTGTGTACGGCCACTTGGCAGGCATGGAAGGTATGGGGCAACAGGAGGAGTGGTGTGGATGTAGTAGCGCAGCAAGTGGTTCCTTGCTGATTTGCATGGCACTCACAAAAACTGCAGTGCACAATCTGGTCTGAAGATCGTTGGCAAGTTCAGACATCGCATCAGTCATCATTACATTACAAGTGCTCGATTACTCGTTCCCCTACTCTTTCCTTAGATCACACCGAAGCAGAAGCGATGCTTTCACCCGTGTAGGCTCAAGTCTTTGCACAGGGCCTTGTGCTCCCCTAGCCCGACCTCGGGCAAACCTGCCACACAGAATGCCGCAGGCTCTGTGATCACCGCTGAAAGCTGGCTGCCCGATTGAACTCCCACCTCAGAAAGGAAGGAAGGAGAGAGCCAACTTCGCATGGAACTGCCGCCCCATGCCCATGAAAGGCTCGACTCCTCAAAGTCTAGCCGAAAGAAAACATGACGCTGCAATAACCTGCCTGCTCCAGCCGATGGAGAGGATTCAGGACCTCGTCGTCCAGCAGGAGCATTGGTCGACAAGCCAGCCGATGCTGAGCCTCTTGAGGGTGGCAGTCTTTATCAGCCTTTGATAGTCTGCGTATTCAAACCCCTCTCCGCTAAACAGACCCTTCCGAAGGTCCTGTGTAGGCTTGGGGGCGGGGGGCGATTAGGGCTCGAGCGGTTCAGGATGTTGTATGGCTGATGCGGGCACGGTGTCCTGGAGACTTCGTCACGTGAACAAGTGCACAAAGCAATCATGCTTTGTAGGTGAATGCACTGGTGTGTCGAATGCCCGCAAGCCAACTACTCTAGGGCCTGGATCACCAGGCTAAGCTCGAGGGCAGTGGTGATGCCTTGGCGCAGCAAAGGCTGAAACAAACCGGTCAGGGATCCCTGCAGAAAGCCTGCCAAAACTCGACATGAGCGGCTGTGATGTTGCAAAGGTTATTGGCCGACGTGAGGAATGCTCCAAAGCTCTGAATCACGCACTTCAGTTCAGCTCTCGCCAGCCGTACAGCCGCCCCAAACCCTTACCTTCGGTTAGTAGGGAATGGAGGAATGGGGTACAATTATAACTACTATTACTACTACTGAAACTCGTCCGTTCCCTCCTAACCAAAGGTAAGAACCCTCAACCCCCAAAGCCCTAAACTGGGCGCCCTGGCAGTCCACAGCTTCCACTGACAAGACCTCGCCAGTTAAGGCCGACTTCACCACCACCTGGCCCGAGGCCCCCCAACAAGGTGGCTGATGTAAGGGCCTTAGTAATAAGAATACGGTTTTGGGGGTTCCTTATTTAACTCATAGTACAATATACCCCCCAAACTCTATTCTAATCTTTAAGGCCCCAAAATTAGGGATCCCAAACAGAACACACAGGACAAACGCAACTCTCAACCGGGCACTCCCCTGACTAAGTCTCCGGGGTTGTGATTTAGGGGCCTTGGCACATTCGGAGAGGGCTGTGGAAACAAATGAGAGAGTTGCTATATGGGAACTCTACAACATGGTTTGAGACATGGGCTTTTCGTGCTCAGCCCTAGCTTGATATCGAATTCCTTAGTCTGAAAGTCATCAACAATGGAGCTCTGCATCCTAGACCGTGGTACTATACAAATGGTCGGTTACGGTATGACTCTCTGTAGGATAACTCATTCTCAAGTACACCCAAAAAGCCTGGAACCCCTAGCAATGGCTGCACCTCGAAGTTTCCCGTGGCCAGCCGGCGCAAGGGCTTCTGCAGCTCTTGGACCCTTCGGTGCTTTGGGGTTCTCTCTGGGTTTTTACCCAGGACTATAAAGCAAAACATGCCAAGCTCTGTGTATCAAAAGAAACCAGCGCGACCCCTTGCCGGAAGATGATGTAGAAGCCCCAATGATCCCGATATAAACCCCTGACTTCTTCCGTATGGCTCAGTCGGGGGGCTCTCTTCTTTTTATGAGAGTTTCCGAAGATAGGGGACCCTAAAAGAGTACCCTAAACAGTAGGATCCTCATTTTAAGCACCCCGAAACAAGGTACCCCTAATTTTCGGAAACTCCCCTATTGGTTTCCAGCCAGGCTACCGATCTTCCAGGAGGTCCCTCGGCGTCCGGGCGACAGGGACGCCAAGGATGCCCACGCGGTCGAAGAGGGGCTCGAAGTCCCCCGGCATGGCTCGAGAGATGAGGCTTAGGGTTTAGGGGTTTAGGGGTTTCGACGCTCACACTCGGACAATCCAGGCGAGGCATATGGTTCGGAGTCTGACTTTAGGGGTTTAGGGTTGGAGTGGTGTTGGGGGGGGCGTTTTGTGTCGGGTTGGAGATGGGGTTTATGTCTTCTCGGATTTGGAGCTGCTTGGGCATTGGAGGGGGGATGCGATGGTTAGGATGACTCGGCTTGCGGCTGCCTCCAGAGTTTTCCTTTGAGCAGACAAGAAACGCTGCGGGATGTATGGCCTGCAAGGGCTTAGAGGTGACAGCGTCGGGACATCATTGTGGCACAGGATTTCTTTGTAGCAGTAGCTGCAATAGTATATGGTAGAGTACCAGCGATGACACAAGTCGTCGTCGTCAAGGTGCTATTCAGGTCCAGGTGGCGATGTTGTTGATGGCCAGTGTCGTGGCGGCAGTAGTATTGCAGGAGGTATACGTAACCGGACCAGCGGCAGTCATTACTTGTCCTCGAAACCCTCAACCCAAACACCTTGACGACATGTTGGAGCGACATTTTGTAACGTGTCAAAGCCCAGAGGGTTTGTGCAAAGTGTGCTGAAACCCTCGTCGCCACTCTCTGCTCAGACCTACACCCTCCGCCTCGTTCCCCAGATGCTTCGAAGTTACAGTTTCTGCTTACGAGGCTTTAGGTTTGGGCTTTTGCGTATAAGGCTTTAGGGATTCTGCCCCTTGCGCCCGCTTTTGCTGTGGAGGCCTGCGGCTCTGCGGCAGCATTGGCATCTTTCACCTACATAGGCTGCTGTTTGCAGGCTTGAGGACGTCCCTTCGTAAGCTTCTGGGATGGAGAAACCCGGCCAGAGGGCCCGACAAGCTCCAGTACTTAAAGACTTAAGTTAGAATCCTCAAAACCATCCACCTGAGACCGTAGTACCGGGCTGTACAAGAACCAGAACAGGGATTTCAGGAATGACGCAAATATCATAGTACGGTCACGGTAAGGCGGCAATTATAGGAGTTATTGTGAGCCCTAGATATTTTAATGCCCCACTTGGGGTTCATAGGTAGTTATAAGTAGGGATATATGTAGGGTAACTATACACATAACCCATATTATTAGGGGACTTATACCCCCACTTGTAAGTACCCCTGAACCTCGGAGCAATGGGCCCCGAAACCCTATTCAAACTACTGAGGCCCCTCTATCATATGACTTCATTAATTACTATAGATCTTCCATTATTATAGATCCCTTATTAGAACGCTTTAAAGGAACCCTATTCTAATCAACCAAAACCCCCCAAGAATCCCCAGAGGCCGCCAAGGTGCGAGAAGCGGGGGCTGCACGCCGAGAGCGGCGAGAAGTGCTTCCAAGCGCCGACGGGAAGGGCCTCAGTAGCGCTTTAGGGCTTCGGGCTTTAGGTGGTCTGGGGCAATATATGGGAGCTTCCGAAAATAGGGGACCCTATAGAATATAGTACCCTAAATGATGATGGACAGAGCCCTGCATTGCCTCTTGACACTCTGTCAAGGTGCGAGTTTGTTATCAAGAAATCAGCCATGCGGTGCAGGTTGCGGCTTTCTTGAAGTTGAGTCGACATGGCAAGACACGCAGTGATGCAAACAGCTAATAGGGCAGACATCAAAAGGCTCGATGCAGTCCAACGGCTGTGCCATCAACTCCTGCCTTGCTTGAGTTGCCACTTCGAGATAAGATTCCGACAATCGTTTTCAGGTTAACGGCTATTAAGTTATTGAAGCACCCGACTTTCGAGGTTTCTCTCTCTCTCTCTGCAGGATCGTGGACCCTCATTTTTGTCCCACCATCTCTGTGCAGCTGCTGTACATATGCGCTCACAGAAACTGCCATCCAACCCAATTGGCTTCGTCGGCGTGTGAAATATGTGAGCGGCCAGGGCATGTGAAGCCGTAGCTGCGTCCCGAGGTCCTTCAGTTCAGCCTCCTGCCAGGTTCCCAATTAACTTGAAGTTTGAGGTCTCGGTGCTCACGCTCGCACTGTCCAGTAGTTTGGGGTTTAGGGTTCAAGGTGTTGGGTTCTATGGGAGCCCTTGACCTTGCAGACTAGGTCTACAATGTTCAACGGGGTCTGCAGCTACTACCCAAACTGCACCCCGTCGCCGCCTTCGCTTGATCTAGGTGATCTGCTCCAACGAAAAATAGCCTGCCTTCCGCTTGGGCTGCTGGACTTCGGGATCTGCTTGCAGGTCAGGTGGGGCGTACTGAATTGCGTGTGGACACTGGCGCACCGCTGCAAGCACTACTTCTCGGTCGCTCTTCATCCTGTCGCTCATGTCTCGGAGGGTGTAGCCGTTGGCCGCAACACATGGTAAGACCAGTTCCTTCATGTCCCTGAACCGAGGTGCTGCTGAACCCAGGGCAGAAGGTTCTCCGCGGATAGCCAACCGCACCAAAGCCTCTTCGTTCTTGAGGTCCTCACTCACATACCCCAAGGCAAATGGCGACCGGCGGATGGCTTCCTCCATGAACGCCCTGTCGCCGACCAAGTGCTCTCCTATGCACCGCAAGCACCGGGCGTAGATGGTCACACATTGCAAGATGAACTCTCTCTCGGCTCGCAGCTCTTCACTTGCGAACTCCAAAACGGGATAGCTGTAGGTCCACGCGACGACCGCCAGCATGCAATATCTGTCACCACGCACCTCGGCCGGTGCATTCTGCACCAGCTCCGAGACGTCACCATCATGCCCCAGCATGTCGGACAGGGACTCCAGAAACGTTTCCTGCTCCGCCGTCCGGCTCAGCAAGTTAAGATGGACGACATCACCATCACGAGGATGATCGAGCAGGTCCCATAGCTTCTCAGAGTAAGACCTGTCAGGGTGCCGGTTGGCCTGGAGAAGGACATCACACAGCTCAAGCTCCCCGAAGAAGAGCCGCTGCCTATGTTCTGACCACTTCCAGTTGGCTTCGACCGCTTGCTTCAAGTCACGAGGCCTCCACTCGCCGTAAGCAGTCAAAGTGCCAAGAAGCGAAGCCATGGTAGACACTCGGACCTGGAACACAGGGGCTTTGTCGCGGTTGTCATCGACGCCACCGAAGGCCGGGAAGGTGTCATCGAAGGGCTCCATAGTTCGGGCGGACTCCTTCCTACTTCATGCACTGCTAGAACCAGTGGAGCCTTCCCGCGAGGATACGACTGGTGCATTGCACAATGGTTCACTGCTACCCAAAGACCCCGGACCGCATGCAGCTCAGTATCAGTTTTCGACGACCACGAATTAGGCCGATTCCGTATTCCCTACGGCCTCAGCATTTATACTTCGGGAACAAGGGGGATGCTCTTTCGTAGGCATGATGTAGGATTTTGGCCATGGGCCTGTTTCACTAAACGAAGCGTTTGGCAGGCGATGCAGCGTCTTGAGGCTGGAGCTTGGCAGGTGCCCGTCCGTCGGCTCCGGTGTGTTCCTTGGCGAACTGGTCCGAATGGGGTACATGTCTACTACGAGAGTATGTTGTAGTAGAAAGTCACTTGGGAAGCTTGTTCGGAGACAAGAGAACTTAGGAGAACGTTCGAATTTGATTGAATTGTGCCGGTCATCCACTATGTAAGATATTGGTGGGTCTTTGAGGGTCTGCAAGTATTCCCTGGAAGCTTGCCCAACCACAACCACTACACGGTCCCTCTCTGGGCTCCGGCGGGGCCAGAAACTCCAGCGTCCTGGCATATAGTAGGTCATAGTATACTATAATCTATCGTAGTACCAATGATAGTGTGAGCAGATCCATATCTGGGCTCCTCAACACGCATCGGCCGTATGTGGGCTAAGGTTTAGGACAATGAACTATCGTGGCAATCATCGCGTTCTGACTGAGGGATTCTGTCAGAGTCAGATTCGTCGTCGTGATCGAGGCCAGGGGCTCCAATTAAGACTACGGGGGTTCGGAACCTACTAGTATTGTTGCAGACTTTGGGTCTGCGGCTGCGGGAACCCTAGCCACTAAACTCACTAAACCCGAGGATTCAGCGGTAGGACGCGGCCTCTGCGCGATCTCGACCACTGTGAGCGCCAGATGAGTTAGCCTGCGATGCAAAGGAGCTTTACGAGCTTGGGTTCCTGATCTGAGCATACGGGGTTCCTCTAAGGGATCTATAGGGGTTAAGGGTTTAAGGGTTCATCGGTTTTTTTTGGGGCTGCTACCTGGCAAGGACGAAGCCCGCATGAACGGTAATTCGGTTTCATTTTATTATTTTTTTGGCTCCCACTTGGCTGATCCGAAGACCGCATTGCAGGTCACAAGTCTGACACGAGTTGAGTGGCTGCAGCAGTTCGCAACCCACTCAATACCCGAACTATCACTGCATCTAGCTGGCGACTCATCCGAGTATTCGCAAGGACACAAGGTTCTGCAGTGCAAAGTGGGAAAAGTGTACAAGGCGATCGTGCTCCATATCAAAAACAGCCGTTAAACAACACTACCTTCTCGCCACCAGTACGAGATTTCGGAGCAAAACGCCTCAGCTGTGACTACCAGTTCAGCCCATCCACGAACACCGGTTAGCAACACTAAGGCAGTACCACGAGTACGAGGCTGAACATGACCTACTGACGCGTTCCATGGCCAAGAAACAGAGAACTGCAAACAATAAAGATGAAGCCACTCAGTACGGCGAATGGAGCGCTCTAGACTGTGCTACTCGGGCTGCCCCGTGGCCCACAAAACTTTTTCTTGTTACGAGGTCTGCTTCTGTTTCTTCTTTCAGTGCTCAGACACCCCTTCAGGACACCTCGATGATCGAAAGTATAGCTTTGCATGAAGCTCCCATACGTTGTCTCGCTACACTGACAGGCAGAGGCAGGCAAATGCGCAGAGCTGTTCCATGGCAGCAAACATCCTGCTTGCCAGACACCGAACTCGTCCAATATGGAATCCCAGGACTGAGGCGCCAAACATCCTGCTTCCGAGAGACCAAACTCGGCCATTTTTGAATCGCATGACCCATGTGTCCCATCCCAGGATATTGTATGCAGCCTCTTGTCGGCCTATATGCAATCCCAGGAAAGAGCTTGATCCAAAGTGCAACTTTTATCGGCACTTGGAGATGGCACTCTGAAGCTTGGCCATCGCCAGAAGTAGGCCAGCATATGCAGGTGGCAGCCATATTGCAGAAGCAAAGTGTCAGCTGTAAGGCTGTGGACAGTTCGCGGATGCCAGGTCACTACGCAAAAAGGCCCAGTGATTGCTGGGAAAGCCCAGCACAAAAAGGCCCAGTGATTGCTGGGAGAGCCCAGCACGTAGGACAGCCCATTTGCCAGCAGAGAGACGCGTGCTCGAGGTTTGCTCGGGGCGCAGTGCTGAAGGTCATGGCATCAGCTCGGGCGCGGGTTGGTGGTTTGTTAGGGAAAGTATAGGTGACGGGTTGGAAATGCAAGGAGGGGCTACCGACAGACCGACAGCAGACAGTGCGGAAGGGAGACAAGGGCGCAAGGCAGAAAAGGCAGTGCAGCAGACAGTGCAAGGTGCAGGGCAAGGAGACAGTGCAACAGGGCAGAAAAGGGCAGCGACAGAGCAGACACTAATGCAAGCCAAGGAGCGATGGATGCATATTACACGCATCCCTTGCGGACCAAGCTTCTTAAGTGCAGTCGGGTCACAGCCAAGGAACACCTGGGACCTGTGGCCTGTTTAATCGTCCAGCACCAGCACCACATCATGCTCATCAAGTTGAGACTGTTTGTGCATAAGGGCCTCGACGAGACTAAGCTGCCTAAGTACAGGTTCCCGACCCCACAAGCTAGCACGAGTAGCAGCAGCAATATCCTCGGCAGTGGGGAGGTGGAACCCCAGATCCCAAAGGCAGCCCCTGACCCAAACCGACAATGTGCTTACATGAATTGTCGAAAACGCAACGAGGATCACTCTGTCGGGTTGATCCGGAGCATGGCCAGCGTGTAGCCGTCTCCGCGAGTCGAAAAGCAGCGGATGCGTGATATCGAATATTGTCCCCGTGAGGGGCAGGTCCTTATAATGTTTGACATGCATGCCTGCAGCATCCTGTAGCCACAACCCCTCACCTGGTCGGACTGTCGTCAGAGCTTGCACGAGCGCTTTGGTTGGGCCATTACGAATATCCCGATGGACCTCACTGTAGCAGCCCTGCCTCAGCACGAAAGTAGTGTATGCATGCTTGGGGTTGAGGTAGGTGAGGTACTTAGTGACCACCATGGTGAACAAGGGCAGCTGCAAGCTAGAGTTCAGAACCATGTCATGATTTCTCGGGGAGGCCCCACCTACTACATATTGACCATGTGGGGAGGTTCTCAACACAGCAGGCGGGAGTAGCCGGAAAAGTTCCAGGAGGTCCTGCTTGCATGGGGCTCTCGACTTCTTAAGTACCTGCAAGGCTCGGAGTTCAACCGCTCTGGCTCGGGGCTCAAAGGTAGGGTGCGGGAGTCTATGTCTAGCCAGGAATACGGGCTCGTCTGCTCGGTTCGGTGTGCTGCATTCCTCCTCGCTGGAGCTCTCGACGACTTCGGGCAGAGATCTACAGATTGGACCTCGGTGGGGTTGGGTGGGTGTAGCAAGATCAAGTGCCACAGACGGTGGAGATCTCAGCTGCTGGAACATGATATGTACCCTGCCCTTGTCAGGCTCGCGTGAGTCCCAATGACTGGAGCCATAGCCGTGATGCACTTCACTGCAGCTCAGGACTGCACCAGCGGTCACACGCATGTCACTTCAGCTGAGAACTTCACTAGCAAACTCGCAAAGGACGACCCAAACTTTTGGGATGCAGTGCATGCAGTGCGAAGGTAAAGGCAGTGACAGTTCAGGGTGGTGCAAGGAAAAGTGCAGGGAGCAAAGGTGCAGGCAGTACGAAGGCTGTACACAGTGCCGAGAGCAACAAATCGAAAAATTCAACACAGAGACGCCGATGATCCAACCTCAGGGCTCGCAGTACATGTGGTACAAGGCTACTTGAGAAAACATCACTGCAGAGAGCTCGCCTCAGTTGGATCGATCAGAGCGCCCTGCACACATGCGCAAAAGATGCTGGTCGCTGCAGAGAGCTTTCAGTTGGATCCATCAGAGTGCCCTGCCAGCATGCGCAAAAGATGCTGGGGATTTCCCACCATCACGGTCGGAGGCGTGTTCCACGAAGGGGCGGAGCCTCCCGTCAAGTGCACCAGGTTCGGTGTGTGCTGTGGTGGTGGTGGCACCACCTGAGTCACCACAGCCGGCGGATTGTGGGGTGGCGGTGGCAGTGGGCTTGCCAACTGCTGCTTGATGCCTTCAAGCGCTCCATCCAGTGTTCCCAGCTGGTCCTTGATGGCCTCAAGAGCTTTCTGGCTCTCTGCGACACCCTCCAGGAGCTCGCGCTCGGAAGGGGACGGTCCAGCCACCCGAACTGCCGCGAGCGTCTTCTCACCGATCTCGAGGCCTTGCTCAGCTGCGGCTTTCGCCTCCTGGGCAGCCGCCATCGCACTGCGACCGATCCCACTGAGTCCTGCAAAGCCATTGTGGACTTTGCTCGAGAGCGTTGCCAGCTCCTTCAAGACCTCCATAAAACGGCGGCCAGCTTCAGCAGCTGCGTCCTTGTTGGCCTGGCGATGCTCTTTGTGATTGGCCCCCAGTGCCTGGACGTCTCTGGTGATGCCCCGAAGCTGGTCTTGCGTGCCATCTGTCGAAGTTTCCAAGTAAGCGTGTCGCCTGCCACCAAGATCGCCAAGTTCGTCCAGTTTAGCGACTATTTTATCTTGGATTTTGATCATGCCCTGCATAGACGACTTCAGGGAGTCCACTTCCGCCTGGAGGTAGTCGAAGTCAGGTGTGCTTGTTGTGGGCTGCGTTGACGAAGGCGTCGCATGGAGGGATCGCAGGTTCTGCTCAAAGAGGGTCTGGATCTGTTCCTGCAGCTCTCCACTCATCCATTCCTTCATGGACTCCATTGCCGCGGTGAGGTCTCCCGAGGGAGCAGGGACTGCGGTCGCAGTCACCACAGGGATTGCGGTCGCAACACCACCACCAGTCCCAGTCCCATCTGCTGTGCTGGGCACGGTCGGAGTCGGAGGCATAGAAGTCGGAGCCGGTGGCACAGGTTTCCCTCCGGTCGCGTCAGCAGCCACGTCACTCATGATGTCTGGCAGCAGGGCCTCGAAAGGGTCTGGGAGTCCAGGCGGTGCTGCAGTGCGGCTCGCTGACTTGTGGTCCTTGGACTCCATAGCTGAGGGCATCGACTGAGTCGGTGCCGAAGGGACTGGGTGGGCACTCTTGCTCTGCAGAACCCACATGAGGATCATTCCAGCTAGGCCCGCCAAGAGCCCAACCACGAAGCCAAAGACTTGGAGCATGTCCGTCATGGCGGCGCAGGGTAGGGGAAAACACAAAAGTTCACGGTGCTTTCGCCAAAATTCGCTGCATCACAAGATGGACTGAGAGAGTGGACTGCATTTACATGACCGTCCCGCCCCCCCCCCCCCGCACTGCACAACAACTGCTTCAAAGAGAGAAAGACGAAAGAGACATGGTACTTCAGTGCACAGCCAAGGTGTGGCGCTTCAGTGCTATCATGACTAAACAAACATGCAAAGACTGACAGATTGCGGCTGTTCTGAAAGGCTCAAGGTCTCAGACAAGCCATGGCATGAAGACTCCCGTGTGCCGTGGAGTCACAGCCGCCTTAGACATGTTGTGTGTGTGGTATACTGTGCACGAGTGGCCGAGGGAGCGCGCCTTCTTGGCGAAGTGATCTGCAACTTCGTTCAGCAAGAAACCCTTGTGAGCACGGACGTGGCAGGCTTGAACGTAACAGGAGAGTTCACTCCACCTGCACAAAAGGTCATTCGTAGCTGACGCGTGATGTGTCCCTATGAAGTCCCCGTTCAGTACCTGAAGCACGTACTGCGAATCCGTACAGAATTGCACAGGAAGGTGTGGAAACCGTCGGCGGACTTCCTGGATCATCTTTAGGGCATGAGCAGCGGCGCGCACTTCCGCCTCGATATTGCTACACGGGCCGGGAATCCGGAAGTAGCTCACTATGGCGTCCTGAATGTCCCCATAGGGGGGTAGGAGGACGACAGCGCCCCCGCCTGGTCCCCCCTGTGTGTTGTGTCTGCCCTGCGGAGCGCTGCCATCGGAAAAAACCCGAAGCAGATGCTCAGACTGAGACGGGTCAGTGACTCGCGCCTCAGGCTCGAGATCGATGCTCAAGAAAGAAGAGGGATGAGCCGTCTCGACTGGTACATGTCGGGTGGGCAGGAGCGAGAAGACATCTCCGTTCCTTAGTAGCATACGTCCTCGGAGATCGAGTTGCTCCAGAGGCATGTCGTAGTACCTGGTGAGATCGCAGCTATTGGCATGAAGCCAATAACTGATAAAGTCCTTCCACTTGTTTCGATCCTGTGCACCCTCAGTCCAGGATAAGGCGACACCGACGTAACCCGTTTGTTGCAAAAAGTGGTCCCACTCTAGCTGAATGAACCGGCTGGTGTCCGGAGCTCTCCCAGGCCTAGCCCTACGGATACGAGCATGGTTACTGAGGAGCCAAACAGGTCCTCGCACTTGTAGCATGAGGCGCAGGGGTATCCTGTCCCCACGCCCGTAGCGTGCAGCATGTCCCCAGTAGGTCCAGAATGCTTGCGCCTGCGTGGCTTCCCATCTCCTGTGCTGGACGCACTGTGCAGCGGCGCGACTAGTGCGTCGGCGAGACAGCCATGCATCCACCGACCCCTGGAACGGATCACGTGTAAACCCCAAAATGACAGAGAGGAAGGTCGTGTGTGCTCTTTTCAAGTACGCCCGAACTGTCTGTAGGGGCCGTGCCGTGGGAGACATCCATCTCCAACGGGAGGTGATGAAACAATCAAACACTCGCAGTCTTTGGGTCAAGCCCACCCCGGCTTGACGGAGAACTCGAAAGTAACCCCAGAAGGCATTACTGACCTTAGCCATTCGTGCCGCAATGACCGACACACAGGAAAGGTGGAAGCCAAGGAGCACTCCCAAAAAAATCATCGAGCCAACAGCTTCAATGCCTTGGCCACTCTGTAGCCTGAAAGGGACATCCGAAGTGCCTGGGGAGTGCAGGTACTTACACTTTTTGGCATTGAAATGCAGCCCGATAGCCTGAAGAGTTTCCTCACTGTCCCTGAGGAGTCTCTGGGTCTGCTCCCTAGAGGTCCCCAGGAGTACTAGGTCGTCTGCGAAAGGACTGAGGAAAAGCTTAAGCCCTGTCTCGTCGGCTAGCCAGGAGTCCTCGGAGTCCTGCCACCGATCCTGGGTGGGTGTAAGAAAGAAGTCGATGACCCTGGCGAATAATTCGGCAGAGTAGGTACTGCCCTGCAGGATTCCTTTGGAGAGCGGTTGCTCCCACCTTGTTCCTTGAAGGCTGAGTTCGACCTTAGTCTGCACAATGATCTCCAACAGGAGTTCCGCCTCCCGGCACCCCGTGGCCGTTGCCAAAAAGGCAGCGACGGCTTCATGGGACATGCTGTCGAATGCAGCTGTGATGTCAAGTTTCACTACATACAACGTTTTGTCGTATTGTTGCGCCAGTCGGATCGCGTGCTGGACGGCACAAGCCGCGTCTAGGGTTTGTCTGCCCGGCAGTCCACCGACCTGGAAGGCCTGGATCCTAGGTAGTCGGGGCCTAAGGCGCAACATGAGAGCTTTGGTGAACACTTTGGCTACCGTGGGTGACAAGACTATGGGACGCAGGTCCTTGGGACTTTCAGGAGCCGCAGTTTTGGGCAAAAAAATGACATGGTTGGAGAGCCAGGGTGTAGGTATTGCACGAGTACCCCACAGCACGTCGTTGAAGAGCTCAACAAGGTGCTCGGAGAGGCTGGTTTGCAGTAGTAGCTGTATGGCTTCGTAGCTGATACCGTCTGCCCCCGTGCTCTTGTTGTGCTTGCACTGAAAAGCCACCTCTTGGATTTCCGTTAAACTGAAAGGAGTGGGGGCTTGGATAGGCCCCGCGCGTCCTCGGAAGATCGCCAAAGCCAGGCCCTGTGGGACGTGATCGTCCTGGGTATACTTCAAACGGTAAAAGGACCTGAGGTCAGAAATGGCTCGCACGGACCCACCCGCTCGCATACAGTACGATCCTTGGGTATATGCAGAGGAGTTGCGTTTTTTGAAATAACTGAGCGCCCTGAAATCCCCCTCTGCTCCCTTGGCCAGGAGGTCGCTCAGCCACTCCCGCTTGGCCACTTTCCTCTCATCTGCAATGCGCTTGGCTAGCTGTCTGGCTGGCAGGCCTCGAAGTAGTTTACGATCCCGGATCAGTTGCTTGATTTCGGGAGAATCCCGATAACGACAGCTAGTGATGCGCTTGGAGCTGTGTTGGCAGATTGTGGTGAGGTGCTGCATGGTAAGGTCCTGCATACTCAAGTCTAGCTGTTCTGCTAGCTGCTCGCATTTGGAGCTGAGTTGCGGAGCATCGACCCACCACTTGCCACAACGTGTGTTGAAGAAGCGACGTCGTCCTGCCCGCCCCACGGTCTCAAGGGTGAGCGTGATTGCACTGTGATCCGAGCCTACAATTTCCTCACTACCTACATGAACCCTGTCATCACGCACGGTCATAGAGGGCAGAGAAAACAGAAAGTAGTCGATTCGAGAAGACGCTCCTCTGGTATTGCGCCAAGTGGCCGAGACTGGTCTACTGTGCGAAAGGCCAAGTTCTCTAAGGAGTCGGCCAAATGGAATGCCTCTCTCATCGACCCGGACAATGTCCAAGATGTCGTAATTAAGGTCGGCGCACAGACAGACTAAGTCATGGTATCTCCGCGCCGAGCAGAAGTCTAGAATCTCCTCGACCTGGGTCTGCCAAACGGGCAGGCAGTCCTTACGGAGATCGTGTGGGAGGTGAGCCGTCATAATGAACTGGCGCACCCCTTGATGTTTGAGGATGATTCCCAAACCTGTGCAAAAAGAAGTTGTAGCCTCAACCCTCCCGACCCATTCAGTGGGAATGCCAACGGCGCTCCCACGGAACGAATGCGAAGGATCAGAGAAAAAGAAAGTGAAACTACGGCCTCCAAGATAGACCTCGTGGTGCAGCACCGAGTCAGAGCTCGGGCATTTCTCAGGGAGTCCCCCAAGCTCCTGCAAAGCAACAACTTCTGTGCCTGGCAAGTCCGTGACGTCCCAGATCCGACTGAGGTCCTCCAGGGATTTACCCCTTAGGTTCCAAGACGCTACGTGTACACGGCTCGCCGGCACAGCAGGGCGTCAAAAGGCCCCGCCGGCCCCATAGGGAGTCGACGCCGGGCCATAGTCGATCCAAGCCTGCTGGAGTGTTTCCTTGTCGCGCCCTGTCACGGTCTCGAAAGCCTGTGAGCTGAGGAACCATACGGTATGGTTACCCTTCGCATCTTCTATAATTTGATCCGTGGGGAGGGGTTCATGCCCATCGTCCATGCAACGTATGAGTTTGGTGTGACCTACGAACACTTGTCCCCTCCAGACCATCTCTGGGGCTGGGATGGGGGGGCGGCACGCCAGGGGCGGGAGCTTGTTGTAAAAATTTTTGGTTAGGACTACTGCCCGGATGCGGAGCCGTTCCTCAATCGGTCTGTCTTTCTGGATCCACAGTTCAGCATCGTTCTGGCCTTCGATACCACTGGTGCACTTCATCGCTTTGAGTTTGTCAAGCAACTCCTTCTGGATCAGACGTTTGCGGGGGAGGCTAGAGTTCTCGGGAAAAAGAAGTGACACTCGCAGGAAGTTGGTGCGACCAGAGGGGCCTGTTATCTGCTCGATCAAGGATTCAGCCTGCGCGGCCTTAAACATGTTACGCACCTCTTCCTCAGCTTCGTGACTGCGGGCGTCCGTCCAGCCCCCAACCACCAGGCCAAGATCTTGCATGGGATCACGGTTCGTGTCCTGAAAAGGGTCTCTGCTCCCTCGTGGGCTGCGTGGACTCGTTCCGCGACCTCTCGGAGTGCCGGGCACGTACCTGACAGGTGTAGGCGACCTTGATTGTTGCTTCTCGAGATCTGCCACAACTTTCTCAAGTGCTTGCAAGCGGGACAAGGTGCTGTCCTGGCGATCAGTGGTCTCCTTCTGACAAGCTTCCAAATGATCTATGCGTGTAGCGTGCTGTTGGACCGTAGCTCCCATCTCAACACAGTAACCGTGCGTCTGATCACTCTTGGCATGCAACCCTTGCAAAGACTTAAGCAAGTCTTGAACCCATTCTGGCTGCTCCAAATTAGGGCGAGCAAGGCTGGGGAAAGCGCCTACGTGGGGTTCAGATTGGGGGGGGGAGCTTCCGTCGTTCTAAGCTCGTCATCGAGAGTGAGATCAAAAATCTCATGAGATCCAAAGGCAGCACTGTGGTCCAGGAGAGCGGGTTTCCCCGCTCCACCGTCGTCGTCAGGTTGTGTCATGGCAGCGTCCTCCTCGTTCTTGGGTTCCAATTTGATTTTCTTAGGTTCGGGAGCCTTTTTGTCCAAGTCACCATCAGAGCTCTCTTGCCTCGGCGCCCCTCCCGGTAAGGGCTGTTCAAGGATGGACTGGTGGCTACCTACAGGTGGCAGCTTCGTGCTTTTGCTAGGAGAGACAGCTGGTACCTTAGGGACCTCAAAAGCCAGGGAAGGTTCGGCGGGTTTTCCATTGTTACTGGCTTGCCCACTCTCAGTTGCAACAGAGTACGGGTTCGTAACAGGAGTCGTGGGAGCATTCGGAGCCTCTCGTTGTTTGTTCCCCCTGGCACGCTCGCGTGTCCTTCCTCTCTCAGAGTCTCTCTGCATGGCAAGAGACAAATAGCACTAGGAAGCGAGTAGCAGCTCAAGACGATAAGGCAAGGCAGACAGCGCAAGGGCAGGCAGGCAGTCCGGGCAAGGAAGACAGTGCAGAAGAGAAGAGAGAGAGAAGAGGGGAGAAGGAAGTGGACAGTACCAAGCACAGAAGGCGTGTTTACTTTGCTATACCAGTGCTATATGTCTCGAGCCGACACGCTTGAGCCAAAATGGCTTGTTGTTCTTGAGCCGTAGCCATTTATTATTATTTTTTTTTTTTTTTTTGGGGGGGGGGCTGGTCGGGCTTGGGGCTTCTGGCGTTCGTAAGACCAGTCTGTTTAGGGCGTTTAAGGCTGAAGGGGCACGGAAGGCATGAGAACCTCCAGAACTCCAAATGTTCTAACCGAACTAGAGCATCAGCAGCCTTTTCGGCATGACGGCGTGGTCCTTGGCAAACTCTTGCGAGTGCCTGGGACAAACCCGAGCAGGTCGTGATCCCGAGAAACCAGGCTAGAAACCGGGTAGATCCGGCTTGTTGATTCGCTCTTCGGCGCCAGGGACAATGCTTGTTCAGCCTCAAGTCATACATGTAAATGCGAAGACCTGAAACCTAAGCCTAAGCTCCTGAGCTCAACATGGTGTAGTTAGAACCGCTGCCCCCAAAACTCCACAGAACTGGGTGTAGGGTCGTGTCAAGCATCCCTGCATCCGAGCAGCTTGAGGAGCATACTGCGCTGGCTGGCACCTTGCGACAGCAAAGGCTAGTATGCTGCATGCCGGTGGCAAGGAAATAACTTTGGAGGGGCCGTGCCTGTCACATCTGACCAAGAAAGATGAGAACTCGTAGATACCAAATAACGGCTGCAGACCGCGAGTGAAGGCAAGGGACATTACCGATTCGGCTCCATCCTTGGAGGTTCATGGATCGTTTTAAGTAGGGTAACTATACTTATATCCCATATCAGGGACTTATTGCCCTACTTATAATCACCCCTGAACCTCCAAGTAGTGGGCCCCAAAACCCTATTCTAACTAGTAAGGCCCCTATATCCTGTAACTCCATTTTGATAGATCCCTGATTGGGACGCCTTAAAGGAACCCTATTCGGCTCCATAAGGATCCATGCAGGATGATCCAGCTGACGCCCGAAACCTCTGTAGTTGTAGGGCCCAGACCCAGCTGCACTCGAAGACGGGAGCCCAGCGTGCCCTCACCTTCCTGGGAAAGGCCTGGATGGAAGGGGGGAGTCGGACTGCAGGCTTTTGCATGGGGACTTACGTAACATCTTCGGCGTTTTGAGGGCTTTGGGGGACAAATGAGACAACAAACAAACTATGCCGCCATTGTCGTTGCTATGAGATGACCTTGGGTCAGGAAGACCTTGGTCTCGCGGAAGCTCAATTTTTTCTGCAACGATCGTCTAGCAGCTTTGCTTGGCACAGTACCCCCCCCCCCACAACACGGAAGGCCTGACCCTGCCTACCATAATCTGGCGCCAAAGATTTGCACTCAGCGGTTGAGGCCATGGGCCCCCAGTATGGGCCCTTGTTTCTGGGATCCTTATTATATACCTACCAAATACCCATACAGACTCTGAAGGGACCCTATAGAACTCCCTCAAAAAAGTCTAAGGGTCCATATAGAACTCCTTCAAAAAGGTCTAAGGGTCCATATCTGGAGACCATACTTCTAACCTCAGATGCACAAGCACCGCAGATGAGCCTAGAGAGTCTATGAAGATTTCCCCTGGGGTCTGAGCTGCGAACCTTTCAGCCATGCCTTGAACAAGTTCCGGAGCATGATGGGCCTTGTCTTGACACAAGGGTAGTTGTAAAAATTAGGGTCCCTTTTTGGGTACCCGCATGTACCCGCATTATATACAGTAATAGGGACGCAAAAAGGGACCAACATTTTGACAACCACCCACAAAGGCGAGCAGCGTCTGGCAGCCTAGCATACAACGGGCTGAGTTGTTGGACCTGGAAGCGAAGCTCTTCAGGGCTACCCGGGCCTGGCACCAGACGAAGCACAAAAATCCGAGAGGGTCGAAATGCTATGGAAAACCAACTCCTGGGGCCCTGGGCTCGCTGAGGGAGCCCCCATCGAAGTGCCACCGCGACTCGAAGGATTTCGCGAGTGCACGGGCATACTTCAGGTGGTCCTGAGGGTGTCTTCCCACCCGCCCAGTGACAGAGACAGAGTCGCACTGCAGGGAATTCCTGGGATTAGGGTGCTGGCTGAAGGGTGATGGGCATGGCCACTCGGGCGACGCAAGTAATCACGTCCACATGACTTGTTTGAGAGGTATAAGCGGTGTCAAGCATAAAACTGAAGAGTTCGGCCAACTGTGCAACATCCTGAACGCGAACAAAAAGGAAATATTTCGATCGGGGCTCCCCACTGAAACCTGACCCTCGAAGCACTAAACCCCACCCAGAACGCTTCCCCACACCATGCCGACCATAAACCCAAAAACCTACACGGTAAAACCTCGAAGCCCTGAACCTTTATGAACAACTCACACTACCCCACGCCCCCCCTGCCTTGATGACCATGTGCATGGGCGAAGAGAAGGGGTCCTGCCCACTGAGGGCGGCCGCCTGGGAAGTTTGGGGCTCGGCGCTCGCACTCGGCGAGGCTCTTGGCGCATAGATGTGCATAGTTGGCGATGAAAGCTACGCTTTGGGCGCTTAAGAATGACAGCGATTGGCGCTGAGGTCTAGCGAGCTAGATTCGGAACTACAAAGGTCCAAGATTTGAGGCTTAGACCGCATGTTCCTGGTATCGGAAGTCATATCCCCGCCTCCCTCCACCCTTGTTCGGAGAGCTGCTCTCAGTCTGGGGGTTTCGTAAAGAGTGAAATTCAAGCTGTAGGCAGGAGCCTTGGGGCCAAACAGACGTCACATGTATGGACCCTTAAGGCCCTAAGAGGGAACCGTTGTCGACTTTCCATGCAGTTTCGGTGGATGCAAGGCTCTCACATCATTGTTGGAGATCTTTTTGAGGGTGGCGCTAGAGTGGCGTTTGGCAGAGCGGCAGGCTTTCAAAGCCCAAACCCCTAACCCATCATAGAGTTTCATCACTCGTGACTATGGTAGGTAGGAAAGGCATCGAGACGTCAAGCAAGTGCCATGACTCCATCTCTGGTTTTATCCACATTATGGCTCGCTTTAAATATTGTACACTGAAGCACGCGCAGCTGATGGTTCGAAGACGGCCCTGTGTACATCATCTGTGCAAAAGTGTATTTACCTTGGAGAAGTTTGCCAACTCAATACCCTAAGCAACAAGCAGAACGATAAGATGGCCAAAACCCAAAACCTAATCCGAGACCCTTGAACTCCCCAACCTTCAATCCGGCGAGAACCCTCCACCGAGCGCAGGTCCATAACGACTGCATCGGCTGCGCAGCCGAAAAGGGCACCGAAAAGGACCAAGCGGCAAAGCCGCAGGTCCTTCCGTCCATGCTCTTTCCAAACTTCGACTAAGAAAGCACTTGTTCAATCAAGAGTCAAGCTGGGTTGAAAGCACAACCAAAATCCTCGACACCCCACCCCCTTCCAATACAACGTCATGATCACACATCGGAACCCCACGCAATCCCTTAAACAGACGCAGACATACCCGAACCTGGAGTAGGCCAGGGCCGTTCAGTATTTTTAGGGTTTAGGGTATATTACGTCCAGACCCGGTATTTTTGCTGACAGCACGTCCTAAACCATAGAACTTAAACCTGAATGCAGAACACAACTCTCCACCCATCTCAGCTCTGAGCCCCATACTCCCAAAGGCGAACCCTTCATTAATCCCACATCCCTGAATTCAGAACAAGCTTCCATGGAGCTGAGCCCCAGGCCAGGGGGAGCACGATGGCCATGCGGCCAAGGATTGTGATCCGCGCCTGCTCATCCTGGCACGCCATCTGGGCTTAAAACTATAAAATCGAGTTTTGGAGCATAATGTACTACACTTATTACAGCATCCTAATAGCAATGAGAAGCCAAAATCGTACTGGCAATTCATCTTTATTACGTAGGCCCCTGTATTGCACAGTCTAGGCCTAGGCCTAGGCCAGTCTTTGCTGCCGGCAACAGACAGCCAAAGAGTCCCCCCATTGAGTCCTAAGAACCCAGTTGCTTCTTAGCCTTCCTGCAAGGTACTTGAAGCCCTGTCTGCTAGATCCCCCAACCACCTCTACTTTGGAACGCCATACACAATGACTGTCCTGCAGCTCTTGCTTGCTTGCTTGCTAAGGGGTGTAGGCCTCCAGGGAGACCCTGGCCCGTAGGCCTACCCCCACAACGGTTCGCGACGGTCTGTCTTCAGCTCTCTCTCTCTCTCTCTCTCTTCCTCTCTCCCTCTCTCTCGCAAGGGCTGGACGAAGCGGTGCGACCCCTCCCCTGGAGTCGTCCGTGCTTGACGGAGCGCGGCGATCACATGTCATGTATAACCTTCTGCAGACCTGGGACAAGTTTAAGCCTATCCTCGCAGGGAGTTACGTCCTCTCCGCGCGCAAGCGTCTCGTTCTCTCCCTCTTCTTATATTGGCCCATATTGCTTTCAATTCGCCCTGCATCTGCCCTCTTGGCGTCTCACCCGTCTCGAGGTCAAAGCACCCAGCTCCACGAGAGTGCACACCTGTGCAACAGCAGTGCCGGTGGAGGAAACGCCATGAGCCCAAAAGTTGAGCCACTGCATCTGTCCATGCGAGTTCAGGGGCCTCATTAGCCTCTCCAGTGACACGAGCCAGGGTGGTGTGAGGAACATGCACCATTTCGTGTAGGGTAATGGCGAGAGCCGACTTCACACACAGAAATAATACTCTACATAATCTATTATAACTCTATCATATATGCTATACTATTCTGTACTATACTATACTGCTATGCTACGATATTATACCAATACTATACCACCTTAGCCCTCGATTTCGGAAACAGGAAACCAGCCAAACAGGCCTGAGTCTGGGGACTCTCATAGGCAGAAATGTAAGACAGGTGGTATTGCTTTTGCAGTGTCCGGAAGCTGCAGTAAAGTGGAACACATGAACTACATGTGCGACTGCAGGAGAACCCCTGCGCAAACGACGGTGAAATCTGAGGCGTCCCACTGCATCTTCCAGACGGTCGCTAGGCGGTGGCTGAACCTCAACATCAGGAAACTAATCGACTTAGAGCTGCAAGCTCGCACAACTGAGGTTCAGGATGAGAGTCCAAGTCCAAGACTAGTCAGCTAACCGTTGATAATGGAGGAGCTAAGGAGCCAGGGATGATGATGATCCCTATTAAATAAGGAGCTAAAGAGCCAAGGAACCCCCAAAACCACTGGTTAGTCAGTCCGAGCACCTACATAGATGATGGGAAATGCCTCTTCGATCCCTTTGTGGCTTGAGAGCGCCGGGGCCGCTGCCGTCAACTGCAGCAGTCGTCGCCTGAGGAACACGGGTACAAGCAGGCCGCCGAGAACGAGATTAGGGTGCAGGATTTCGGATTTAGGCTGGAGGAGTTGGGCCAAAGGGGCAGGAGAGCTTTTGTCTGCCTGAAGCATGCAGCCCGGCTCCCCTCTCCTCAGGTTATGGATACCCTGCTTGCGCATGCCATAGCTACTCCACACTGAGGCCTAGAGGTTTCCTGCCCGTCAACCTGAACTCCAACTACTCGGAAGCAAATAGCAATCCCAAAAGCCTTTCGTTGTCCTCCGAGAACCTGCAGATTCTCAGCCCTGAACCATGAACCCAAACCCTAAACCCCAACCTGTTACATAACCCCTTCTGCTGCAGGCTTGCACACAAGGAAGCCTGGTAGTTACATCACCCCTTTTTTTCAGAACGAGCTTTGGTTGTATGCCGGCAAGCACTGCTCTCACTCGAGGTCTTCGTTAGATAGCAGCAAACGCACCCCCTAAACCCTAAACCAAAAGCCCTTAAGCCGGGCTCGCGGACGCTGGAAGCGCTCCCAGGCGTGGAAGGAGCTCGGAGAAGCGATGGGAGAGCTGCTTGACCTCGGCTGAGAAAGGGTTTAGGGTTTACGGGTGTAGGGGCTTTAGGGGTTTAGGGCATTAGGGGTTTAGGGTAAAGGGGTTCATGTTCTTGGTAAATTTCGGTGCGAACTTATCGAGGCTTCTACAGTGACACAGCAATGGATCAGGGGGGGGTGGCAATGCTTTCAGGGTCTTAGGGATGTAGAGTTTTGCGCGAGGCCCCGAACCGACTTCTCACCTCATCTCCTAGGGAAGACCGGAGGGAACCTGTCGTCGCAAAATGCGCGCGTTGCTCCAATCAGATTGTTTTCCACACCTCGTTGCGTATAGCTTATCATATAGGCATCGTGCGCCAAAACCAGCGAGAACTGGCAGCGATATGCACTTCAAGTCTGCATGTGGCATAGTCAATCGTCAGGAGGATGTGAGCATGCATGCTTTGGGGTGTCTAGGTGCATGGTTAAAGCTCTCGCAAAGGCATGTCCTTTACGCCCTTTCTCGTCATAAAGGTTTGTTGGTCTGGAAGCCATGCACGTTTCACAGCACTTCGTAGCGATAGACTCACGGCGGCTTTTGCTCAGGCATCGAGTGGGATCCTTCCTTTCTGGGCTCCTTTGAGGCTACCCACAAAGTAGGACAACGGGCGGCTGTAGCGGAGGTGGCATAGGCACCTCGTCTGTGCACGGTGTGAAATCCACCGTTGCACAGGTCTCGGCGCTATGCGGGCTCGTCTTCTTCTTGTGCTTGGTCCGTCTTGGGACCTCACTTGATGCCAAAGGCGGGGACCCCACCTGACGAACATGCCAGCTATACAATGTGAGAGCCAATTAAGCTTCTACTAATCGACTTTATATAGAAGCGTCCTTACGAAACAGACCGGCTGATCATTTGGATTGTTGCACAGAGGAACGAAGCCCCGAGCAATCCTTGTTGCAACAGGCTTGTGACTTCGCCCGAACAATCTGATTAAGAAACCCTGGCCCTATAACCCCCAATATAATAGGATTCATATAAAGAACCCTAACAAAAACCCAAGGTTCTTAATCAGGTTCCTATACCCGAAACAGCCACCTGGCGCACGGATGCGGGACGGTGCAGCGACACGTCTGACACTCCAGCCGTGCGCGCCATCACTTCTAGGAAGTCCTGCGCGGGTGGGTTTCCCTTGGCGCGCTCCTGGCGGTTGGAGGGTTTAGGGGTATAGGGTTATAGGGGTTAGGGGTTTGGGGGTTTAGGGGTTTACGGGTTTAGGGGTTTACAAGTTAGGGTTTAGGGCTTAAGTTTAGGGTTTAAAGATCTATATGGTCTAGGGTTTAGGGTACTCCTGCTCCAAGATCCGGGTCTCAAAGGACTTGAACTTCCTCAGTGCCAGGTGTTCATGACATGACAAAGCAGGAGGCAAACTCTGTTCAACATTTCTGCCGCCAACCGCGACCTACAGTCATGTATCACAAACGAAGGCATGCACTGCATGCACTATGCCATGACCCTCTCGCGGTCGAAAGGCTTTTTCCCAAACTTCTTCTCGCGGATCTCCCGCTCCTCCTTAATCCTCTGCCAGCGCTCCTCGTGCTCCCTTTCCTGGGTTCTGTGGTCAACCGAAGTTACATTATTGAAGCTGGCATGATTATGGGGCCTCATAGGGTTTTACAAGCATTTGCGAACTGACTTTATGCTGCCATGGCAAAGAACACATACAGTAAAAGTCTAAGACAATCTATAAATATCGGTTATGGTAGCTTCAAAGACATTAACAAATTCCCGAACCCAGTCTCGAACTCTTGAAAGGATCTACCGATCTACCAGACAATCTACAAATATCGGCTGCGGAAACTATCAATGAATTCCCGAACCCAGTCTCGAACTCTTTGTAAGGATCTACCACCGGTCCGCGCTGTGCTTCAAGGACCTGCAAGAGCTCTTGCTTGCTGAGTTCATCGATGTCCTCCATTCCGACTAGGACCTGCTGGTAGAGCTTCATCATCTGAGTGTAGGAGAGATTGTCCTGAATGCTCCGGCTTCTGAGGACAAGCACTGCCTTACTAAAGCATCACACCAATACGAAACTCTCAACCTCAAAGAGAGGTCCCAAAGACTGACCAAGAGTCAATATGCATGGAGGCATGGGCTACAAACAAGTCTGGGCCGTCGTAGACATAAGGGCCTCCTAGGAGCCACTCGAGAAAGTCCACCGTGCGAATCTTCAGGCGCAAAAACGTGGAGTCTGTCCTGGCAAACCTGGGGTGCTTCAACAGGATCAGGCCATTCTGAGATCGGTATGATATGGGGCCGTCATCATTGCGGCACTATAAGGCCAGTGGAATTTTGACCAACGCTTTTAGTAAGGGTGCAAAGTTGCAACGATGGCGGCGTTTGGCCAAGGGCATGACCAAGAAAGGTACAATGCGAAACGTAGATTCCAGGTGTCGATTTCTCCAGCCCCCCAACGTATTTGTACATTCAAACAAATATCCCAACTCGATACGGAGTAAAGGACCAACCTGGATCAACACCCGAAAGGATACACTCTTTGGAGTACGACCATAATACTAGAAGCCCTGACCACTCAACCAGCAAAAGCAAACTTTGACCGACTGTGGGCACCTCTCAAACTGTGGTCCAAGAAGGCTGTCAAACCGCATCAAGTCCTCAGTATTGCTTCATGGTCGTCCGGGAGGGCTTTTTCGGGCTAGGCCTCTGAATCCCCTAACCCTAACTGACACTCAACCGACTAGGATAGAGGAGTATAAGGCTTTAACGTACACAAAGGCGGATTGTTTGAGGAAAAAGATCATGGCGGTGACCGGTCCAACTCCCATATAAAGTGACGGCCCAGGGTCGTAAAGCTCATAAACGATCCTCTCCAGGTTTGGGCGGCCGCCCAGGCGAACAAAGAGGCATGCGTCTGACGCATCCTCCACTTGGTCCATAGCGGGAGGGACGGTGAAACTCTTGAAAAAGTCGTGTGTCTTGATTTTATAATGTTTAGTCTCTCTATATATCCGAAAATCCCCATACCTTGACTTCGTGTCACGCATCCTTTCTGTAAGATCCGGCGAAAAAGCCAGCATAGTCTTGTGCTCGTGGGTTTCGCGTCTAACAGCTAGCAGTCTTTATCTTTATGCCCCCGTTAGGTTATGGCCCAATAGGTTGGGTCTGCATTCTCCTGCTGAATCTACTCTCAAACCTTTTTGCCAAGCCGGGCTCCAATGTAAGCCCTCTGTACAGGCAGGCTTGACAGCCAATAAAACAAACTTGGCGAGCGGCTGCGGTCGGGGACAGTATTTCAAGCTGCGAGCTTAACCTGCATCCATCGAAGCCTGCTAGTACATGTGCGAAGCTCAGTGCAAGTGCATGACTCCCGGCAGATGTGGTGTTGTTGCTGAAGTCTTCATGGTGCAAAAGGGGGCTGGAGGTTGGGTTGCAACTTGATTATTTGGTTAGCTTGTTAGATCGCCGCGATTCAACCCTCCCAAACCCCATCCACCCACTACGAGTGCTAAACAGTCTGATGCTCAGTGCCACCAAACTGGTTAGAGTCACTACTCTATTACTAACTGGTCGACCTGCAGGAGGGGCTCACTGGGTCGCACACTATTCCACGCGTTGACTGATGTTTCGGGGACGGGGCCGCACTCAAGACAGCGTAACATGTTGGCGGAACCGTACTGGCATCGTCCCTGGAGTGCGCAATGAAAAATGCTCAAAGCCTACAAATCCAGTCGCCAGGTAATTACTCGGCAAACGTAACTGGTAAGTACCGACGAAACGTCTCAAGTGTGAGGCTCCAGGAATAGATGGGACAGGACTAGGAGGACTCGGTTCGTGCTTTGAGTTGAAGGAGCAAAACGCCACGAAACTCGGCAGTCTTCTTTCTCGCCGGCTATGGCAGTACGCCACCGTTTCCTCCAAGTCCATTTCGGAGAGCACGCTGGCAGTGAAGACGAGCCTCGCATTCAAAGCATCGGCCATCATGGAGGCCAATGCCACATGCCCCGAGAACCATCCCCTGAGCTCTGAAAGGCCCCAACTAGCGTAAGTAAACATGACCAATACGGCTTCTGAAAAGCTCATCAAGGTATCCAACGAAACCGGACAAAGCAGACGAAGACGTAAAGACTCTCAAGTCTAGACACACGCAATCGCCGAAGCCTAGTACAACCAGCTGAGTCAAGATCGATTAAACCCAAACCTCGAAATCTGCACCCACCAAACTGAATAAAAGTTGAGCTCACCGTCAACCCGGACCTGAAAACAGGACCGCAATCAAGTTGCATAGCTATACATGGCTACCTATACCATTTTGGGGTTCCTTATTACAGTTACAGTAGAATGGGGCCCAAAACATGTGTGCTTAAACCTTCGACTGGCCAGCCTTTAGCCCCCCTGCCCGCCGAAGCCAGACGCCACATCCCGAACCACCCACCCCCCCCCCAGAGCCACACAGCAAGCATTCGACCGGGTATCTTTGCCTGGCCTCGGCGCGGTGCAGAGCCATAGCAGCTCCGGTCTCTACCTTGTCAGAGGAGGGCAGAGTCGTTCGGATCATGACAGGGCGGCCGAAGTAGAGGACTTTTGTGGTGGCAGAAACTTGGGAGTTCCATGGGCCGCGCTGAGATCCGTCGTTGAGGCTTTTGGTGGCCGGGGCGTCGAGAGCTTTGCTGTTGCTCCGGTAGATTTTGCGAGTTCCTGCCAGTGCCGGTGCGTTGCTGTTCGTGGCGAACTGTCACAGTAATTACTCGTTCAGCCACTGAATGCTACTGAGGAAACCTGTGTTGGCGATCCAATTCCGGACTTGCCGCCGTGCACTTTGATGCAACGGGACCGACTGCAACCTCGAATGTCGCTGTGCACAGCAGCTGGATGGCAAGAGTTTAAAGCTGCACTTCATGCCACTTTGCGCTGTGGCTGCTCTCTGGGAAACGACAATCACTGCGACGCACGTGCTGGCTCTGAGATTGGCAAACTCTGAACATCTGGCCCTGCCTTTTCGAAGTGGCTGCCGATGGCACGCGACGCGGGCACGATGACTCTCGCGCTTGCATCTGTGGTCCCGAGGGATGTAGGGTATCACAGGACAGGAGGTCGATAGGGTGGAAACAGCGAGAAACAGTATGCCAACAATGGCGAAGGAAGCATAATCTGCAAATCTGTTGCACGTATAGTCCATGGCGAAGCTGTTGTCGTATGAATCTTAGCTAATATGAATCTCACGTATCATGCTGGCCAGCACCCATTCTTGGAGTTAGTTCTCCGACAGCTGCAGTGGGATGATCTGCGGCCTAGCTGCAGCCCAACCTGAGCCGCGAAGACCCAAAACGAGCATCTTGCTAGCCACAACACTCGGTACAGAAAACCTCTAAACCGTGTGATGCCTTGCAATCTCTATAGACTTATCATTATCAACTTGCCCGAAACCCCAAAACGAGCACAAGCCTTGACGAACCGCCTGTGCACCGTCCGCTGTAGCTTGCCGCCGCTGTAGGCGGAGCTTCCGCGCCTATGGCCCAGTTTAGGGTTTATGGTGATGACCTAGGTGTGTGTTTCGGGCTTAGGGCTCGGAGACTTACTTGTTGCCTCCTTACTTCTCGGAGAGATATTGGGGGCCTCAGGGTTGCATTTGGGCCGGATTTGTGTAAGGCTCGGTGCCTATGGGTTTGGGAGTTTAGTTTTTTATGATCAAGCAGCACGTGCCGTTGGTCTGACTAGACCTTTAAGCTCGTGACGTTATATATATATATATATATATAATTCAGAGCCATTTATGGCTTGGAATGTTCCCACCCTGGAAGTTCTCAGGAACAACGGCGAAGATCATATTGGCGAAAGGCTGCGTAAAAGTGTTCCCACGCGTTTGTAAAAACGAGCGAAAGGATCGCCCACGGGCAGAGCCTCATACACTTCTCAGGGTTGAACCCTGCAGAACTGTGAACCGGGCCCCAGCCCTTTTACACAGGCGTCCTTGAAGAACCATTTTAATACCCACTGAGGAACCAAACCCTACATCCTAAACTCTAAACCCCCCTAACCCCACATCCTAAACTCTAAACCCCCTAACCCTACCCCCCCATGGAGGAACCAAAAAAAAAACATAATCACAGCCGACCTCATGGAACTCCTCGCGAACTTTGCCGCCTGCGACTGGTCGGGTGATGCGTGCGACACGCCTCTCTTCGGTTCAAAATCAGAATCAGGGGGTATATTGCAGTATATATATATATATATATATGTAATGTAGTAGCATAAGGCCGCCTGAAAGTACCATTACGAGCATGTTACGACTGCCTTGCCAGCTTCCTAGTGCCACCGTGCCGTGAACTGCACTCGGGGAGTCCTGGCAGAAACCATAAACTCTTCACTCAGATCTTGCACCCTATGCGGGCAACGGGCAAGCGAGGATCCTAAGTTTATTGGGCTTGCCGTGGCATATAGGTAGTCTGTTGATGCGGCCATCGGGTACAAAAGCGGCATTTTGGTCTCTTCGGCGGCTTGCATGCCAGCTACGCTTCATCCGCTTCGCGGAGGGTACGGAGAGGCCTTGGCATCCGGCTCTGATTTGGATGGTACCGGGCTGCTTCCTATGCAGGGGGGGTGCCAGAATGCCCAGGCGATCTCCGCGACTGCGAACAACTACGACACAAATGATTGACAATCACATGCAGCAACAACCTCTCGTTCTGGCAAGAGACTCAACATCCATAGCATGGTCATGATGGTCCTAGTTGTGTAAGCAGTTGCATAGAATGCCAGAAGAACTCGGTGGACAGTTGGAAGCCTAAGAGGTCCCTCCAAGTATCTCAGCCGCAGCAGGAAAACCCAAGAGCCAGATTCAGCCCGGACCGCCCGCTGCACCCATCACCTCAGCCCAGCAATAATGTAGGGGCCTTGATAATTCCAACATGGTTTGTGGGATTCTCTGTCTCTCTCTCTCTCTCTCTCTCTCTCTCTCGCTCTCTCTGCCGTGATATCATCAAGAGTCCCGCAACGCAAGGGCAGGAAATCGCAGGCTAGAATATCGGGAGGCATAGCGCGAACGCTGAACCTCCGTCATTCTTCGAGCCCACTGGACTGGTTTTGAGGGTTCCTTATTGTAATTATAGTATACTCTCCCCCCCAAACCCTATTCTAATTATTGAGGCCCCTAAATTAGATCATACAACCCCTCGGTGTATCCACTGCCTCTTTCAGGAGCCCTGACAATCGGATCCCCGTGACTCGTGAAATCTCGCAGTCCAAGGAGGCTTCCCCTGTAATCAGAGCAGCAGCAGTAGCAGTCCCAAATCCTCAACAAGGAACGAACAAAAATTGGAGCCTGATCCGAACAACAACTTCTTGCGTTCGGTTCTTCTAACAACAACACCAACACCAACACCACCACCAACAACACCACCACCTCACCACCACCAGCAGCACCACCAGCAGCACCACCAGCAGCACCAGCACCAGCACCAGCAGCAGCAGCAGCAGCACCACCACCACCAGCACCACCGCCAACAACAACATCAATAACAGCAACAACAGCCACGACGACGACGAAACCGACGACAAACACGACAACGACGACAACAACAACACCAACACCACCCAAAACACCAACATTCCAATAGAAGGAGACCACACAACTTGCAAGTGTGCGTCGACTTCAAGCGCTGAAATCGGGACAACTCCAGACTCCGATCCTGGAAGCGCTGCCGTGATGATGCTGATCGTTGTTTAGGGTTTCGGGCGCTCACACTCGGACACTCCAGGCGAGGCATGTGGTTAAGAGTTTACGGTTTATAGGGGTTTAGGGTTCAGTTCCTCGCAGCTGTTCATTTAATACTTCGGATTCTGCTGTACTCGGAGACTTAGGACTTCAAGTTTCAAGCCTGTAGCTCCAGTACATCTAGCTGTCCGGGCCCTGTGCTGTGCTGAAAGTGCCTGTACAGGCCTAAAGCAGCGGCGCACACAAGTCCCACGACTGAGGCCTTGCTAAAGTTGCCAAAGAAAAAGCTTGAGCACTCAAGAATGACAAGATCCACAACCTCAACAGTCTGAGGTCTGAGAGTCTGTATCGGGGTAATGGAGCACCGTCATCTCCAGCTCCACCTCTCGGCGAATGTGCTCCAGCATCTCTCGTCCAGTGAAAACTCGTCCATTGATTTCCTGATGCAAGTTCCCGCAACCCCGCAGCCGCAACCTCGAAGCCCAATCTAATGCTTCCGCAAGGACACATGCACGTAAGGGGTGCTACTGTATCTTTACCATCTTACATCCGGTCTGCTGCCGCAACTATCCAAGTATAATGCTTAGGCCCCGGCTTTGAGAATCTAAGCCTTTCACGATGCTTGGCAGAACCATTCCTGGAACTAAACTACGGCAGTGGGTGGACTCTAGCAGAGTGCCTCGCGCTGAATACCCTGCGAAACCAAGGTGTCGTTTCCGGCTGCGCATGGACTTCAACGGTGCTTGTTCGCAGTTCACAGACTTATCGCTGTCTTTCACCCGACTTATATACAGGCAACACACGGCGCACACACCGAGATCTTCTGACTTATGCGGAGGTGAACGTGCATACAGCTGCATGCATAACCATGACTTATTGGTGTATGTATATATGCATGTACATATCCGCGCCATGACACGCGCATACGTGTACATGTGCATTTCTTGCAAGAAACAACCTCGCGAGTACAGTGACACAGAGAAGGTCTGTCAGGCCCAAGCTTCGACGATGCGATCGCCCGGGCACACGGAAGCGTCGGGATGCGATGCGTTCCAGTCTGCAATCAATCCCTGATCACTGATGTGGCTTATGACAATGCCGGTGGAAGAGTTGGTGTACCTTGGCTCCACAGGCAGGACCGGGGTCTTGGGCTTGAGGTCTCGGTCCCAGCGTAAAGTACCCAACTTCGATCCAATCCTATAAGAGCCCCCCTCAATACATTCAGGGAACAAATTTCGTGGGGACCCTACTATGTACGGAAGGTACAACATGCTTCGATGTGACCATGGGATGATACGGGAGGGTTGAAAGCACAGTTGAGGGCTGGCAGACACCGGAAAACTCAAACCGGCAGTTGTCATCGTCCAACGCAGCAGATCTGTTAGGGGCGATAGTACAGATATCTTTGACTGCACTTCTGGGTTCAGGGTTTCTGGATTTGGTTCAGGGTTACTGGGTTCAGGATATCAGGGTACACCTACAAACCCAATGCACTCTTAAGCCTTAACATGGGAGCGTCTACTATAGGGGCTTGAATATACCATTTTGAGGATTCCTGATTACAACCATAGTATACTGGCTCCAAAACCCTATTCTAAATACACGGTGCTAGCACGGTTTGGGCTGTGGCTGGGGTCCCTAAATTTGTACCCCTGGTTCATGTGCCCCTTTTTTGCAGCAGGCCTCGTTGTCCAGCAGCCCGGTTACAGTAACAGCCCCTTTCCCAAACCCTGAACCCTCACCCCTAAACCCTTTTTTGGCAACTGGCCTGCTGCGACTCCGCCAGGACGAACACTCTCCTAAACCCTTTTGCAACTGGCCTGCTGCAAACTCCTTTTTTACACCTGGACTACGCATATGCCAGCAAACTCCTAAAACCCCTAAACCCGATCGCCGAGACCAAGAGGCTTCAGCTGCACACCCAGCTCTCCGGGCTTCACCAAGCACACCTTGGCCATGGGCCATAAAGCGTAATATAGGGGCCTTAACAGTTTCAATAGGATTCTGGGGTGTGATCGGACATGAAGTCTGTTCGGGCAAACGACACTAGAGGGCTTGTGCCTCACCAGTACTTGTTAAGGGTTTTGGGGTATATTAGACTATACCTGTACTACGAGCCCCCAAAATAGTATGGGTAAATATTGAGGCCTCTACAGTAGAAGAAAGTACTAGAAGCCATACCAATACTGATCCTAATGGTAGCATGATATACCAAAAAACTCGGTCCGAATTATCAAGGCCCCCAGGCCCCATCTTAGGGTATCGAGGTCTTTGAGCACTAGAATGCTTCCGAGCTTTGGTTTGGCTTCGTGGTTGCAAGCCTTGCACTCAACCTTTCTCCTTCGAAGTCAAGAGAGTCTGCTTGCCACTGTGAGAGAGAAATTTCCCAAGACCCTAAACCCCCAAGCCCTCAAACTCCTAAATCCCACAACCCCTTTTGCAGCTGGGTTCTTAGTGTCAGCTGACGAGTCTGTGAAGCTCAGTTCTGTTGACTGAGACCCCCGCTTGACGGGAAAAGACCCAAAACCCTAAACCCCACAACCCCACCTTAACGCGCAAAGGCCCAAACCCCAACCCCCAAAACCGCCCACCCCCTTAAGCCTTAAGGGGAAAAGCCCCAAACCCCAACCCCCAAAACCTCCCCCCCCCCCTCGTAAGGGGAAAAACAAGGGACCTTCCGGCGATCAGGCCGGAGGATGCCCAGCATCAGCCGCGGAGCGGCTGCAACTGGCTCTGCCTTGCTGGGACTAAAGCAAAGGGCCTTAATAATTAGAGTCTTAGAGTAGGGTTCCCTTTAAAGGGTACTGTAAAGGGGTCTGTACGGGACCTATGATAGAGTTCTATGATATAGGGCCTTAAAAATGAGAATAGGGTTTTGGCCCCCTTCATAGTATAACTATAATAAGGAACCCAATGGGATAATATAGGGGCCTTCTCATATACCAGAATATAATATGGACCCCCCCAAAAAAATAGTATAGGTAATTATTGAGGACCGCATAATACTGCGCTTGCTCCATGTCTATGAATCTATGGTACTTCTCGCCTCGGGCTTTAGGCTTTTGCTGTTCCGAGGATGGGTGCCATTACAAGCAAAATCTAGCACCGACGAATAGCGCTCGTAGTCAGAGCAGGGCTGGACCTAGCTATAGAGCAGTGCCAAAACGCTGCACGGACGGTGCTGGTGGCAGCCGTCCTCGTCGTAGCAGCAGCAGTCGAAATCGTCGAGTGGTAGGAGTGCTGCTGCTGGTGATGGTGGTAAGGCGGCAGCAGCATCAGCATCAGGATTTGCAGTCGTAACCTAGTTGTGATTGCTAGTCCTCTGGCCGTCTCAGCTGTGACTCCTGTTTCGTTACATGCGTTACATGTGTATCTGTAGTAGCTCTGAGTACACGTAAAAAATATCTCTTCCCCGTATAAGAATGCGATTCCTGGCATGTTCCTGATCAAAGGATCTGGGCCCTTCCTGATACTATTCAAGCTGTGTACAGCTGACGAAACTTCAGGGATTTGTGGACTCCAGGCATTGCTTGCGACGGCATGCCCGTCTTCCTCTTCCTCCTCGGACGTTTTTGCGTCTCAGCTCGACACCCAACAGTCTGATGCGAATTCCGGCCCAAACTCAGCAAGCCTAGCCAAACACTGCGGTAGCCAAAGCAATTCCCCGGAACTATAATTTCGCTTGAATGGGTTCTAGAGGCCGGAACAGGGGCCAGGCGATACTTTTCCTACACCCTACAACTGAAACCCCAGGGCGTCCACAATCTCTAGACCCTTTAAGCCCTTGCGATCCATGCCGCAGGAAGAGAGGACATCTTCACTCGCAGGAGCTGGCTAATCTGCCCGCACGTGCCATTGAGGCCAACAATGGAGTCCTGAGCTGCGCTACACATGGGGTTATATAGGAATAGGTTTAGATACCTCACCACGTAAGGAAATAAATTACCTTCTCTCCCCCCCCTCTCTCCCCCCCCTCTCTCTCTCTCTCTCTCTCTCTCTCTCTCTCTCTCTCTCTCTCTCTCTCTCTATATATATATATATATTAAATATTTTCCAACCCTCTCCGACTCCCGCACTCGGCAGGTCAGGATTATATATACATATATATGAGCATAGTAACACAACAAGCATAAGGGTAAGCACTACAACCCGACAAACCCTTTCAGCTTCCGAAAGAAGCATAGTCCGGGTTTCGAAGGGCCGGACGGCTTGCTGCGGATGATTGAGGTTGTGGAGGTCAATCAGTCCCTCGTGGATACCTCGTGGAAGATCCAGAGTTTCAAGGTTTCGGGGGCCTTGGGGTTGCAGCACTTCTGAAGGGACGTTTGGAGTGAAGACGGTGGCTCTGACATACCCCAAGGCTCCATACTTGCTCCTTTTGGGGAATACCTTATAGGATTCTAGTTATGAGCCCCAAAAAGGAACTACTATGGAGCCTTAGGGGGTAGTCCATAACCCTCCCTCTTGTAGAGCCGTCGAGTAGTCTCTGAGTGGACCTGATCGCCATCACACAGCTACCCAGACCCCCGGATCTAGAAAGCAGATCCCCTAATTTGGGGCCCTACACTACTAAGGGTACTTTTTAGGAAACCCCATTAAGGGATCTACTTTTTGCAGCAACAGTAGCTGAGAAAAGAAGTGTACAGCTTCCAAGTCGAATTGCTTGTCTCGGCCAATGCAGGAAGCTACCCTAAGGCTCCATAGAAGTTCCTTTTTGGGGTTCATAACTAGAATCCTATACGGTAATCCCCAAAAGGAACTAGTGTGGAGCCTTAGGGTAACCTTGCCTATATACCTACGAAGCAAAAGCATGGTTGTTGACTATCAAGGGTTGCAGTGCAGAGGCTAAGGATATGTAGGAGTATCACAACAGAAGGGATCCCGCACCGTGCACCAAGAAGTAGACTTCTGGAAGGAACTGAAAGGGGCCAGGCGTATCAGAACTAACATAGGGGCAGCAAAAAATTAGACTAAGGTTTTGGGGCCCATTGTACGATAAATATACTAAGGAGACCCCAAAATACTACTAGTAGTTATTTAGGCCCCTATATTCAGGAATAAAACCTCAGTCGAGTGGCCGGTAATGAGAGAGCCTCTCGAATCCAGGTTATCCACATCCAAGCCCAACGGCTTCGGCTGAAGGCCCATATCTAGGGCTACCTTGGCGATTTCTGGGCCCCAAAACGCTACGCAACCCAGACGTTGAAATCAAAAGGCTGGAACCCACGGATCCGACTCAGGGCTTTTGGCATTTTGGGGCTTGGGAGAAGGTCGACTGGGTAGAAAATCCGGGAATCCAGGGCTTCGGAATTTAGGAAGTTGGGCTTTGAAGAGGCAGGGAGCAAGAGTTTGTAAGCCGAGGAGGGTTCGTGTATGTCTTAGTCTAGCCTCGGCTGGAGTTGAGAAACACCTTCTACAGCGACTACATCCTGTCGCAGACTCGGCACGACAAAAAAGCCCACTTCAGGGGCATGACCGTCCGTAGCCGCAAACAGATCTGCCACCTCAGCCTTGTCTGGCAGCACCTGTGCCAGTGGCACTTCTGCCGCGTGCTCCGACTCGTCGCCGAGGCAGCAACAGTAGGCGGACATCATTTTCTGCTAACCTGGCCTTGCCTTTCGGCGCTTGTATCATCAGATTGTGAGACACATCTCCTCGAGCCGGGGTAGGCCCTTCCAGCCAAACGGCCATGAGCATTCCAATGCAAGAAAGCTTTGTCTCTGAAAGCAAATCAGACCAAAGCTGGCATAGGAGCTTGCTGTAACTCTTCTCATGATGCAGCTTAATATGTGTGAACTCTAGTTCACCTAGCCAATGACAAGCATCTCATGGGGAAGCGACATAGATAATGCCTAGGCTGCATCCATCCATGCCCTTCCATCCATCCCTCCGTCCGTGCGTCCGTCCGTCCGTCCATGCAGACAAACAAGCACACAACCAACCATCATATATGCATACCTACCTGCCTTCCCGCCTGCCTGAATACCTAATGCCTATGCAAAACAAATGCGTGCATGTATGGGATGCTTGCTATAAGCATTGGCATGCATCTTGCATTCTGCAAGCGCTCTCGCAAAGAAAGTGCCTTTCGGAAGTTCCAGCTCGGCGACATCCAGTCGGAAGCCGCCTCTCAGAACAACTCGCACCCCCAAAGCCGTGGCAGAAGCAACGGGGAAGTCCAAGTAGCATGAATTCCGAAGGCGTTTCGGGTGTGCCGGCTGATAATTCAGGGAATAGTACTACCATGGTGATGCGGCTTCTATGCGATCGCTCACCCCTCAAGAGCTTGCTCGATGCCTTGCGCAGCCTGGCCGAGCTCGGAGGGAAAGCCTGCAGCTTGCCTGGGGTCGTGTAGTTAGTTTACCATAATCAGGAAATCATATTAGTTTCAATAGACTATAGATCACTAGTCTGGCTGGTAACTTAAATTACTTCAAATTCAGAAACCATACGATTTGCTACAGAACCCTATTATGGTAACTTCTCTTAGAAGTTCCTGAACAAGAGCCCAGTGGCGTGTCGCCTGCCAGCTTCAAGAGCTTCTGGGCCTGCACGGAGGGAGCCAGGCATCGGGGATGGACGAAGTGCTGTCCTTGTACGGGCTCGTCATGCCGGAGTTTAGGTGGGGTTTAGGGAACTATATGAATTATATGGTCATGTCGGAACTTTATGAACTATATGGGAGTTTCCGAAAATAGGGGACCCTAATCTAGTACCCTGAATAGTAGGATCCTTATTTTAAGGACCCCAGAATAGGGTACTTTTAATTTTCGGAAACCCCCATATGAAACATACAAACCTGAGATATGCCACTGCCTCAGCAATGAGGAAGCAAGCTCAGATACCAAGCGCTTCGGGGCTCCCACTCTGCGCCAATCCGGGCGAGTCATGTGGTCTTGAGTCGGATGAGTGAAACTACAATTCGAAGTGTTGAGACCTGGGGCTGTGGGGGCCTACGAGACGAGAACTCAAGCAGCTGAGGCTGTCCAGCAGACTTTACAACGGCCACGACTCATGCTTATAGGGTCAGCGTTAGTATCTGTCTTCAAACAGAGCTATGCAGGGCTAAACGACGGCAAGAGACACGCTTTTCTTCCTCAACATTCCAGAGCTCACGAAAGACGTGTTGCGTCCTACTTACCCTTAGGCCACGCGGCGGTCGAATTACAAGTCCTATACAAGTCCTATAGGGCAACAGCCTCAACCCTAATCCAGGGGGAGTGGCTGCCCTGCGACCGCATGCACCAAAACAGCCGACGGGCACTGGGGCTCAAACAGCCTCCAGACGTTGCGGATGCGTAATCTCCAAGCAGGACAGTCCCTAAACCCTATCCCTGAAGTTTAATGTTTTGGGTACCATGGAAACTATCACATAGTTATACATAGTTCACACGCACTGCCTCTTAATCGGGCTATTAAGGGCTGTCCTGCCCTCTCCGCTTTGCGGTTCTAATCTGCACGGCTCGTAAAACTCTGTGGTCTCCGAGCATGTGCACACCGCTTTAAAAGATCCTCCTTGGAGTCTTGGAGGTTCGCAACTGATATCCCCTCACTGGCCTTACATAAGTTTTCTTTGCTCAATTACTCCAGTTAGTTTTCCACTTCTTGCTACTTGTGCGAGTCCTCTAACCCTCCAAGCACCCCTTCTCCAGCACACCCTCAGACCATGATCTCATGTGGCACCACAGCGTGGAGATACTCGGACACGGTCACCTTCGCAGGGCCGCCGTAGAAGTCAAGGAAAGTGATGCTTTTCAGGTCGATGGTGAAATACTGGCCGCCAGTGTGGGCACCGCCGTGGGCCAACCAAGGTGCAAGGGGATGCCTGGCACCCAAGTTGACCTCGGCTTGGGTCACCTCGTCACCTGTCAGCGCGCGAAGTGTGCCCGTGAGTGCAATGCGGGCGCAAGTGGGGTCTTCAGGATCCATCCCATTGCAGATGCCCTTGGGGCTGACGCGGTCCGGAAGTGCTGCCTCGGTCAGCGATATCGTGACATGGCTGTCGGCAGCGACATCCACTGCTGTAGGATCAGGCGTTGGTAGGTACAGCACCGGCAAGCCCGTGCTGTTGGCGCCGACACCGTCGGCTACTGAGCGTGCGTTCCCCCATGGGGCGCCGTGCAGGTGAACCGACTTGGTGCTCACGGTGCCCCAAATGCTGTGGTAGACCAGCCATCTTGCTCGCTGGGCCGGCCGAAAATACGGTGGAGGGTTGCCCCACTGCTCGCCGTTGACGCGAAGAGGAACCTCCCAGGGCGTGGTGTGTTTCGGCTTGGCTGAGAGAAAATCCGAGAGCTTGACGACCTGACCCCCGCCGTAAGCGTCCAGGATCCAAATGTCCGACGGCACCAACTCGTGCACCCGAAAGCCATGGCTTGCGGGCCAGTGAGCCATCTGAGGATGGCGTGCGAAGAGCCCCGCCTTCCCCAGTGCCTCATCCTCGCCGGAGACCTTCTTCAGCAGGCCCGTGGCAGTCAAGCGCCCGCATCGGGGATCCTCAGGGTCATGCTCCGCACGGGTGGGGACGATACTTCCGCAGGAGGAGTTCAGCGCTGCCTGACTGATCGTCAATGCAGCCGGAAGGCTGTCTTCGTAGTCACCCATGAGGTAGAAGAAAAGCCGTCCTGTAGAATTCCCGACGGCGCCATCAGAGAACGACAGTGTGTCGCCGACCGGCGCGGAGGACGCATCGAGGGTCGACAAAGTTCCCCAGGACGCTTCGTGGACCAGCCACCGAGCGTTCTCGGCAACCTCCTCAGGTGTGCGGGCCACCACCAGTGTGAGGAGAGGCAGAAATCGAGCCCACATGGCGAAGAGGGCTGGAAGACGCGCCAAGGAATTTCGCTCCGAAAGCTGGGCCAGAATGGCTGGAGCCGTAGCCATTAAGTGCTTACACGTGGCTCTGTCTGGTCTACTCTGGGCTGCAAGTAGAACCTTGTAAACCCCTAATAATCCCTATATAGTAGAGCCTTTAGAAAAGCCCTAATGATCCCATGGGCGGCCTTGAGGATCCAGGCCTCCAAGCCTTTTCGATGCGAAGGCAGGATAGGCAAGATGCCCCCTGGGCCATGCGCCACACTCTGGGGCTTTGGGGTTTCGGCGCTGACACTCGGACAATCCAGGCGAGGCATATGGTTCGGAGTCTGAGGTGTGAGACTGCAAAGGGGAGTAGTCCAAGTATAAGCTACAATTGTCCTATCAAGCACATAAATAGGCGTTTAGGGTTTAGGGACACACCCTGGGGCTTCGTTATGAAGCAGTACTCATACAACTAGAAAGCTGAAGCAACAAGACTGCGCAAAACGACCCTTAAAGCGCTTCCTCATTGGTTGCAGTCTCCACGGGGGCAGAGTCGGAGCTACATTCTCAAGTTTTGAGCGTGCGTGCCCGTGTCTACGAATATATAAACCCTATATATACACGGGTAGATGGATAAATAGATGGATACGACACTGTAGATACCACAAGTACCAAGAACAGGTGAGCTTGATGATAGGTCGGTAGGCCGGGTAGCTAGATGTAGAGGTAGACAGCAAGTTCGATAGTCTCCACAAATGGATGCATGGATAGATACAAACAAATGAGGAGCTGAGAAATGAACGTAGGAACATATTATATATTATTATACACAAGTACATACACAAGCATGCAAAAAAAACAAACCAGATACAACTCTAATTAGTAGAAGCAGCGGTATAGGCCAGGCACACCAATCAACATGTAGCTGTGTATGTATGTAGAAATACGCTTAGAGTCTTACATCGTATGTGTATGCATGCAGCCGCATGCATGATGTGTTTACGTGAACATACACAACACATACATACATACACCGTATTTCATGCAATGTATGTAAAGTATGTTCAGGTAAAATGTATGTCTGTGTGTATGTCTGCATGCTTAGGTGTATGTCTGTATGTCTGCATGTACGTATGTATGTACGCATGTGTGTGTTTTGTTTTGTTTCTGTGTTTATTCATGCAGTTATTCTTCATTTTATGAACTACTCTGTGTTGTATGGGGGTATGACCCATTTTATTACAGAGTCTTATACTGCAGTAGATTTTCGCGGTGTAAATACATACATGTCATACACGTGGGGATAGGCATTATACCTGCTAAGAAACTGTTTAAGAAACTGTTTACTGCGTACGTTGGGAGACGGTTTCTTTCCGGGCAGAGAACGCAAACCCAACGGCCCTAAGAGAGATATGCAAGGCCGGATGCCTCCCAAGGTCTGCAGATGTTGGGCTAGCTGCCACAGCTTCGAACTGCTCATGACCTGAGCTGGCTTCAGGGTTTTATGGCCTTTTGGTTGGGAGTTCATCAGGGTTCTAGAAGGGTGTTCGGGCGTGTCGGGCTTCAGGGATTTCGTGCTTTTGGGCTCTAGGGCTTCCGCTTGAGGGCTTTAGTTGGGCAAGCAGGCTGTGGTAGCGGGGTTGGGGCTACAGGCTGGGGATCAGGATGTGGAGCCTGGAGTTGCAGAAGTTAGAGGCTTTGGTGTTCAGGGCTAGAGAGCGACGGTGTTTGGCGTTGCTGGGTCTCGAGTTTAACGTTGTGTTCGGTCGCCTCACAAAGGGTTCGGAGTTCGGTGGATCGTCGACAAAACCTAGCATACGAAGAGGGAAGGCGAGTTCAACCTCCGCCAACGACTACGAGGCCCTAAGGAGAAGAACTTCCAGGAGTGTAGGCGTTTTGGCTGCATCTTAAGTCTACGAGAAGTGGCTGAATATCCGCCTGGGAGGGAGCGGAGCCCCGGTTTAGCGCTTCTCGGGCTGACGGACTCCTTCAGAGCACGAAACTAGAACCCTGAAACTGTTAAGCCCCAAGCCGTAGCAGGCAATACTTGTGTCCAAGAATCGTTAATAATTTAGACTAGGTTTTTCGGGGTACTGTAATCTTAGATTTAGACTAGGGTTTGGGGTGTAATTTTAGGAGTCCAAGAAGCTTCCAACTCCTGCGGGTGCTTGAAGAAGGCAGGCGGTGGCGAGGAAGGTGGCACCTCGCCCGTCCAAGCAGAGATGCTGATTGGCAGTTTCCGGTACAAACTCAAACGTCTACATCGGCTCAATAGCTACACTGTCCTTGCTCGGAGCTCTGGAACACCAAAGCCTGTATGTTCTCAAAGCACGGTTTAGGGTTTATACGTTTCAAGGCTAGTAGTATTTTGGGTTCTTCCTCCCCTGAAGGCGCAAGAACCTCTAGGCGCGGCCGAGGGCCCGGCCGGCAGCGGCGGCACTGAGGGCGCAGGGGCTTTCAGCCGGAGGCCCGTGCGAATCTGCATAGGGCTGCAGTGGGGCATTGTTTGGACACCCTATAAACCCTAAGCCCTGAACGCTTTTAACCCTGTCCCTATATACCCTGAAAGCCCGATAAGCCCCATAAACCATTGAAGCCCTATACCAGCGCTACAAGCCAGTAAGACCCTATAAACCATTCATTAACCCTATAAGCCCGAGAAGTCCTATAAGTGTCGAGGGGTCAACTTCCAGAGTTCTGCTTTCCGGTCCCGAGCTCGCTTTGCAAGATCTCTCCATGCAGCTTAGGTTCAGGGCCCTGGGTCCTTAGCCCCGAATCCCTCACATCGGGGCCTTCATAGCTGGTTCTTGTGTATCTTGTATCGTCTCTGTATATATATATATATATATGGTAGTCGGAACCCCGCAAAACAGTACTGGTAAGTAAGTATGTAGGCACTATCAGCCGGCCCAAACACTCCAAGCTTGAAGGGCAGGGTCTGATCTCTTTCGGGCTCGAGTGGCTGCAGATAATGTGCGCGACTATGGGAAAGAGAGGCTTCTCCAGGCAGGTTTAGGGTTTATAGCATTGTGACTACCGGAGCGAGTGAGCCTTTGTGCTGCATAAACCCACGAAGCCCAGAACATTGATCCTGCTGCCACACCCTCACATTACGATATGCTGCAATGCTCTGTAGAAATACATGCGCAACAATGTCGGAATGAGAGAATGACGTCATTCCACAGTAGTGCTTACTATCACGTTCAAGACTACTTTACTAGTACTACTATACCGACGACGATGTCGCAATGCGCCAGGATGAGAACAAACGCCTGTACGTACATTCTGTTCTTGCACTGTGTGGCATCATCACTGTTAGTCCACTTTTAGCCCTCTCGGCGCCACAGGGCCAAAAGGCCCTTGACACCGTTGCCCTAAGGCTCCAGAGTAGTTCCTTTTTTGGGATTACCTTATAGGATGCTAAATATGAACCCCAAAAAGGAACTACAATGGAGCCTTAGGGTATGCACTCACCAAGGCGGAGGATGATGTCCCGTCCCAGGGCATCTGATTGCTCCGGTTGTCGTCTAACAAGGATCCGAAGTTTGAGGCTTCCCATACGAGGACGCTACGGCTCAAGTCTCTCATCTTCTGAAGCTCCCACTTCGAAGCCTGGTCGCCATGTAAAAACTCTAGGCACAAACCCTAGCTCATACCCTAAACCTTGAATCATAAACTCTACACCCTACCTCTAACCCTGAAGCTTCGCCGAGATATGATGTCCCTGCTTCGTCGCCTGAGGTACGGATTCGCCCACGCGGACCTCGAGAGTCAGGAGGGGGTGAAGGCATGTACTGCAGGCGCGACCAACATAGAGAGAATGAGAGTTGAAGAGTTTAGGGTTAAGAATAAATTCCATCGCGCAGTTCTGCCGCAAAGCTTCAGGGACTAACATGTTTCCGATGCTGCCAATCACTCCGAGTTGCTGATGGTATGTGAAATAATCGGTCTGGCTGACCCGAAGTCTTGCTGGGGACCAAAGGTGTAGTGCGTGTGAAATGCGTCAATTCAACACCCACGCGATTGCTAACCAAATTCGAGCTGTCGAAAATGCAAACAAACTGATACAGTATACACGTGCACCTATCGGACTCTTCAGTAAGTCAGCCCTGTCTCGGCAAGCCATGTCACATTGGCCGCAACACCTCCGACAGCACAGCGGCCACACGCATCCAGTCCTCACTAGCCGGACAGGGCAAGAGACAAACGTTTATGATCTGCTAGTACAAACTGGCCAAACTGGCACAAGATACAATTCATAGATCATGTATGTATGTAGCTATTTCAGATTTGTTTGTTTGCTTGCATCTGTACATCTTTATACTATGCAGATGGATGTCTATGTGCGAATGTGCTCGATGCAACAGCCATTTGTATTTGTTATAGCGCGCCTTCTGTAATTATCATCATGCCCTATTCCCACTCACATATGCCCATTTGCGAAATCTGTTGCAGGCGCTGTAGATATGAATGTCCCTGCCTTCCTACAGCCGTCTTGCTGGCGGCCCTATCTTCGACGGACAACGAGAGGAAGCTGTTGTGTACATTTAATTAGGGTTTAGGGTTTAGGGTCTAGGGTTTAGGGTTTAGGGTATCAGCTGCATCAGTACGTGGGGGGTCCGTGAATGTGACAGTATACACAGGGCTCTATTTTGTACTATGTTCGCTTGAATGCTACCTGCTAAGAGCCTTCTCATTGCAGTAGACGAGTCCGCGTCTACATGAAATGCACAAGCTGCAAGCTTCTGCTGGTTAAGCCCGGCGGTTTAGTTCAGCACAGTAGGTCTTTGAAATTCGTTACCCCAATACACAACAAAAACACACACAGTGTTCCGACGACGAAGCTTGTCCAATCGGAATGGCGACACACAGAGTAAACTAATCTGCTGCTCTAAACTCGTAGTGCAGTTGATCACGATCGATTAGGACTAGGAACAGCCGCCGCGAAGACTAAGTTTGGGCAGCCCGCAGCAGGACGTTGCGGCCTCGATTGTAGTTGTAGCCAAACTTTAACGCCTGCAACAGCTGCAGGAGCGCTGCAATCTGGGTGCCGTACCGGTGTAGAAGCCACTATAGCCGGTGATCGCCATGGACTAAGCTGAACTCCTCTACCTCAAGGGCTGCTAAACTGCTCTGAGAAGGAATAGACTGACTAGCCGACTTCCAAGTGAAGCTCGGTAATATAAGGGTAGTTATAGTATAATGGGCCCCAATAACCTATTCTAATTATTAAGGCCCCTATATTAAGCATTAAGCCCACCGTCCGGTCAAAAGGTGACTCCTCCGCACACGTGGCGCTTTGGCACACGGCACAGGATCTTGACACCAATGGCAGCGGCAGAAATGTAGCCGTGGCTGTGGTCCCGGCAAACAACCACCGAAACCGTATCATGACCCCCCATTTCCCAAGCTCTGCACGTTCAGGTACAACTTCTCCAGAGGAGCCTGCCACGTGAAACGCTGAATATGAAGGTAAAGGTACCCTAAGGCTCCAGAGTAGTTCATTTTTGGGATTACCTTATAGGATTCTGAATATGAACCCCAAAAAGGAACTACTATGGAGCCTTAGGGTAGCTATAGGATTCAGAGGTTGCATGGTCTACATTGTGCTACGCTCCCCACAAGACCCGAACTCCGGCAGCCGGATTCCTGCTCAATCTCAGGTGGGTCGTACTGCGCCATCTGCTGCATGTAGAAACTCCTGAACGGATTTGGGTGGAAGATCCGGGAATTCACCTCCAACCTTGGCGAACTTATAATGCATTTAAGAACAGCGCTGCGGTGACTTGTAACGAAGACACCTGAAAGCCTCGAAGTGAACCCACCGCGGCTCATCTTGAGAGCTCTTCAACTTCCACGAAACTGAAACTCGCACGGATAGGTCATATCCGACCCCAAGTAGAAGAAGCAATACCTACACGCCAAGCCCAAGTCAAGGCAACATCGCGCTGTGGCGGTATCTGAGGGGCTTCCCACGAGGTGACGCATTCCTTGTGTCAGTGTGGTCGCACAGGCCCCTCAAAGGCTGGATTCATGCTTTGGCCACTGAGCGGGCCACCAGTCATAAGTTCTGGGGAATTCGGTGGCAACCTTGGTCGTTTGTTATGCTGTGCACAACCTCTCCTGGTCCTTTCATGTCAGTCTCATCCTGTACACTGGAGCGGCGCACCCTGCCAACTTTTGCATCGCTCGCCCAACCGAATGATCCGCACTCGCGATCTTATATACACATGTATATGCAAGATCGCATGGTTAGACGATGCATAGATACATCCATGTGAGTCACGTCTGCAGACGATATATCACTTGTGCCCAGAAACTCCCACGATAAGACGGGAGTGCGCACACACACGCACGCACAGACGACCCGTGAACCTTCTGGGCCCTGACGCACCAGCGCGCTAAACCCTGAACCGCACGAAGCCGAAGGCTCGAATTGCGCGGGAGTTTCTGCCTCGGTACCAAACGGATGGCCACACCGGGGAAAACGCGACCTGGATCAGGGTTCTTTTTGCAGGGGTCCAGAAGGTCTTTATCGGGCTGCATATGGGGCCGTACAAGGGTATTGGCTTAGAGGCTTTGGATGTTCTCTGGCCTGTCTGAGACCGAGCGCAATGAGGCGGCAGATTTGAGCTGCCTGCCTTACGCTCCTACATGCTATGCGCTGAGGCACTGTGAGTTCCGTGCTATTGGCTGTAGCCGCAAGATTTATCTAGACTCAGGCTTCGAGAAGCCTTAGATTTCTCGTCAGCTCCAGACTAGGACGATAGTGGCTCGGGCAGCTGGGCGATGCACACCAGAGTTGAAGTACGTAGGGTAGTCGAGACTGACTGAGCTAACTCCGTGTCGCGCAGCTCCGTGCGACAAAGATCAATGGCCAAACCCACCATGCCTGCAAGCCTGAACTCGGAACCATTGTACAACACCCTGTGAAATGCCCAGAGCTTGTCTCCAACCAATCACTAAACAATCATCCTAAATCCCCATAGAATCCTAAAGGCCTCTAACCTGTCCTGCAAGCAAGAGTTTAGGGTTCAGGGTTTCAAGGCTGGAAAGATGACTGGACCATCCCGATTTCCTTGGCCGCTCGGCCTGCGCGGCCCGACCGCTGTGATGCCGCGGCATGAGACACCCACCTCAGCATTCGTTTTTTAATGTAGGAGCCTGAAAAATTGGAGTAGCTTTTTGGATTCTTTATAGTATGGTTGTAATAAGGAACCCTAGGGAATAAGCTTGAAAATTATTCAGGATTCTGTAGTACTCACTGTCTTTGCTTTGCTTGGGGATGTTTGGGGCATGAGGCGCCAGCAGTCCTGACACCCCGCTCTATTTGACACAGACACGCACACACACACACACACACACACACACACACACACTCTATCTGTCTCTTTCTCTCTCTCTTGGGCCTTCTGTCTCTCTCTCTCTCTCTCTCTATCTGTGTCGCTTCGTGGCATCTGCCTGATTTGATGCTTCAGTGGGCGAGCTTCCGGGCAACAGTATCACCGAAACCCAAACGGCCCTCAGCCGCACCATGGGCATTGACGGTTGTTGTGATCACAGTTGGGTCACTCACCGCCAGTGCTGGTGGCATGGGTAAGAAAGACACGCGAACAGTGGCAAGGGCTATCTGAACTCGTCGCAAGCATGTCTCTCTAGGACAGCAGCCAAGATCTAAAGCACGATGGAGTTGAGGCTCTTAGACTTGAAGAGGCCTTCCATGCAAAGATCCTCCCACGTCACACGACGAAAGCAGCCAAGATCTAAAGCACGATGGACTTGGAGTTCTTAGACTTGAAGCCGCCTTCCATGCAAAGATCCTCCCAAGTCCCACGAGGCAGGAACTGCGTCAGCAAACAGCGAACGCCGTGCTCTGATCGGCCTGACACATGTCACTTTGGGGTGTTAGGGCTTACAGACGGTTTTGCGTTGGCTCACCAGCCAGGAGAGGATTGGCTTCAGAGCGTACGGTGTGAGATTCCTGTGGCTTCGAAGTTTAGAGATGTACAAAGCCACGCTGGGTAGGTCATCCTAGACTAGACTCAAGAGGCTGGGCTCTGCCACGTCGCGGATTGCTTTGGATCTGCAGTTCGCTGCTCTCTGGTCTCCTATTACATCTGTGCTTGATATGTCGCCATGTCTTGTGGTGCGAAGGGCAGGAAGGCGCAGTCGTCGTCATTGTGGTGGTTATTGTTGTGGTTGTTGTTGTAATCATGAATCGGTCGGGCCATTCCCAAGCCACAGGGGTGTTCGAGGAGTAAGTCGTGGGGGCTGGAGTCTAGCTCGAAGACCTGCGACAGAAGTCAGCATAATCGTACTCATGATCGTCATCATCATCATCACCATCATCAAAGAAGCAAGCGAAACCGCGCTGATATCACCCCACAGCACGTCATAATGAAATATATTGAAAAACTTGCTAGAATCTGAAACGGGGCAGAAGCTCGTCAAAGATCCATGCGGAAGTGCAGCGCCATGATTTTGCGTGAGTTTACTGTAAGGCTCATAGTTGCGAGTTCTAAGTCCGCCTGCTGCAAGTTGCCGGCGGAGGCATGCGTCAATGACGACGCGCACCTGCGAAACACACCGTCCGGGATCTGGTGCACTTGATAGGTAGAAGGGCGAAGCAACTTCAACCTCTCTCTATCATCTGTTTTGTTTCCTTCTCTTCTTCTTTCTGAACAAGGTCTGGCTTCTCAGAGTGCATGTGCAAGACAAACAGCAATTTGTCCTGTGTTCTCAGCACGGCGTGTCCTCCACATATATGTAAAACACACATATATATATATATATGTGTGTGTGTGTGTGTGTATATATATATATATATATATTTGGTCACCCCCCCCCCCCCATGACAGACCATCCCCTTTAAAACATCGCTCCCACCGGCGTGTTCGTGCTTTTTCCGGAGTATCGAGTTTGAGCCCTCCGAACGTATCCCTGGAACCACCAAAAGACTGAGACCAGAAAGCAGCACGATAAGGCGCGCGGGTGTCCTACCAAGAAAGGAATTACAGAGCACACGTGTATGGATGAGGGTTGTGCTGACACACTACATAGTAAGCACTACACAGTAATCTTACTTGAGTCATATATAGAGCAGATTCCAGCATTTCCAAAATTTCCTCCCCTAACTTTCCAGATTTCCAAAATTTCCAAAATTTCCAAAATTTCCCGACCTAGTCGACAGGATTTTTCCAAATCATAAGGGCGGACTTTTTGGAAATTTTGGAAATTTTGGAAAGTTTGGAAATTTTGGAAATTTTGGAAATTTTGGAAATTTTGGAAATTTTGGAAATCCGGAAAGTTAGGGGAGAGAATCTTGGAAATTTTGGAAATGCTGGAATCTGCTCTATATATGACTCAAGTAAGATTACTGTGTAGTGCTTTTAACACTAACGTTGACATGTATATTAATGCTTTCAATTCCCGACCTAGTCGACAGGATTTTTCCAAATCATAAGGGCGGACTTTTTGGAAATTTTGGAAATTTTGGAAAGTTTGGAAATTTTGGAAATTTTGGAAACTTTGGAAATCCGGAAAGTTAGGGGAGAGAATTTTGGAAATTTTGGAAATGCTGGAATCTGCTCTATATATGACTCAAGTAAGATTACTGTGTAGTGCTTTTAACACTAACGTTGACATGTATATTAATGCTTTCAATTCGAATATGCACATTACTAATTCTATTATTAACATTAATACTCCTACGCCTACCAATAGTCATATTCATATTGATATTAATGCCAATACTGACAGACATCTGCGTATATTAATGTCCGCAGATATACATACCACTATCTGAAAAGCAAATATATCAATGCATTCGTGTACTAACGTAGTATATTCGTATTTAATTTGTCATATACCCAGTTTCCAACGTGACAATATACTACTTGTTAACGTCTGATTATACTGTATTGATATGCTAACTTGCTAAGACACGAATACTGTAATATGCAAGTACACTGACACATGGCAATGGTATACTAACATATGGATATATCAAAAAAGTTGTTAGATAATGTACGAATGTGATAAATGAAGTAGCATACCAGGATACTCATACACTAATATGTTAATAATCGAA